ACCAACCATTAATACGTATGGTTTCCATCCATAATATCCATATTTATATCCATAATCCGTGGGTATCCTTAATATGTCATTCGTATTCCATGCTTCCTAGTGAATATAACCATTAGTAACCTAATTATATTACTAATATATAAGTTTTGGGAACCAGTACCTATTCTATTAACATCTATCAGCAGTCTTCGCGTATAGGGATGTATAGGGGATCAACAGTTAATCCATTAAATACAGAAACTATAATTGGTCATATTATAATCCCATAGTAAATATAAAAACCATAGTACTAGAGTAACCCATAGTATTATGATACTATATCATAGTACTACTCATCCCTATAGCACTTTATAATATTATAATAATAGTTCTATTAATCCCTATTCATCCTCGTAGTACTATATAATAGTACGGTTAATTATATAACATTATATAACCATACAGGATGGGCCCCCCCAGTGATGTTTGTTGGTTTATAAACCATTATAATCCCCATGAACTAGTTCGTTATATCTACCATAAACCATAGAATTTAGCCACTGAAATAAGGCAACTGAATGCTATCTACAAGATGGGGCCCCATCTTGTACAAGTGTTGGAATTATGGTGGATGTAGCATATAATCGTATACATATATATATATGAACAGTACTATATATCTAACCTATATCATAGTACATTATATAACCATATTTATCCCTATAATTGATTGTATCATAGTAGTATTATAACTTATCACATTATATTACTATTATATATGACTATCCCTATAACATTATATTACATTATCCCTATAACAGTATATCATCATATCATAACATTATATAACATATATTATGGGGTAAATAAAACTGGTCATATATGTTGATTATATCATAGTAATATGTCATAAGAAAATGGGGCCCTAACATTAAAAAAAAATGACCAGCTTTCCCCCCATGTTCTTCGACCCGGTCGAGGGCCGGCCTTGGCGAGTTCTCGGACGCTCCACAAGCGCTTGCCGCGCTTACTGGAGGCAGATGGATCCGTGGGGTTGATCTCCTGCGGATCTGGGTTGAAACCAGCGAAAGATATGGGAAACATAGGGCAAGGTATGGAAATATGGGGATGGGTCAAAACCCTGGTACCTAGTGAACATCAAAATAGCTGGGAAATGGATGTTCATTCCCCTAAAAATTATATTAATAGGTATTGATCCATACGCATATATAGATAAATATGGTAAAATAGGGCAAGGTATGGAAAATATGAGAAACATATGGGAAAAATAGGGCAATATAATATGGGAAACATATGGGAAAAATCTGTGGGAAAAATATGGAATAGATATGGGAAAAGCGACAAAGATCTGGAAGATCTGGGTCACGGATAGATACGGGTATGTCTGAAAACATGGAATGGTGTTTCATGTGATTGATTGGATATGGTTGATAAGTGTCAGTTGGCAACTAGTTCATTATTGAAATGATGTAATATTGGATAGGTTTCAGTTGGCAACTACTTCACTACAGGATGGGCCCCCCAGTGATGTTTGTTGGTTTATAAACCATTATAACCCCCATGAACTAGTTCGTTATATCTACCATAAACCATAGAATTCAGCCACTGAAATAAGGCAACTTAGCCTGGTTGGTGGTTTCAACCCCTCTGAAAAATACTAGTCAATGTGAAGGATTATCCATATATTATGGAAAATAAAAATCATGTTACAAACCACCAACCAGTAGCTATCTTGGGGGCCCCATCTTGTACAAGTGTTGGAATGCTGGATGTATTGAGTTCGATGTCCAGGTGGTGCAACGGGGATGCTAAAACTGGGTCGGTTCCTTACCTTTACCAAGTATCCTTTACGGTACATACATCATCATACATCCATCACTTGGTTTGGTACAAGATGGGCCCCATCTTGTAGATAACATCCAGTTGCCTTATTTCAGTGGCTGAATTCTATGGTTTATGGTAGATATAACGAACTACTTCATGGTGGTTATATGGGTTTACACAACAATTTATAACTGGGGGGGCACATCGTAAGTGGGCAGTTGCCGAGGTATAGAGGTATATCCCAAAGACATCCCAAGTACTAAGTAGGGGCTTTTCATGGCTTTTCCCGCCACTTACGATCACCACTTTGCTATTTGTGGCAGCATTCAAGTATACAACAAGAAACTGTTTTTGGCTTATGAAAATTGCTATGTCTTGTTGGTTTTAAACAGCTCGCCTCTTTGACCATGAATCCCATCTTTATTGATATTCCTCGCACATGGGTCTTAATCACACTCCTCATGAAAACAGGTGGTATGATATAATATAATATAGTTATCCATGGTATATCATGGTATATCATGGTATGATAATGTATGATATATATATATATACACATGTATATATATATATATATAGAGTATAACATACTATAGTACAACATATATAGTGAACCCGTTTTGATAACCAAGCAACACACGGGCAAAGACTTCACCTTCATCAGAACATATCAAAACTGACGGGTCTAGAGTCGATCTCAAAAACGGATTGAAGTGGAAGAAATTGGTGCATTACTGGCAACATGTGTTTATCATTGTTTATCATTTATCTTTTTGGTGGTTGACCTACTCTGAAAAATGATGGAGTTAGTTCGTCAGTTGGGATGATGACATTCCCAAGTGAACGGAAAAAATATACTAGTCAGTTGGGATTATTATTCCCAATATATTGAAAAATAAAAACAAATCCAAACCACCAACCAGATAGGCTTTGAATCGGGCACTCGGGCTCAAACCTTCGGGATTCGAACTGGGGATGCATCTCTTCTTGATTCCAACATGGAATCCGAAACAAATTATTTTGGCTTCGATCACCGGACGGAAGCCCCAAACTCAATTTAAGTGGCTGTTTGAATGAGTAAAATCTTGCCTTTCTGGTTCCAAATTTCTACCCTTTGGTTATTTAACGTAGCTATCGTATAGATGGCCCATAGAAATAGATGATAGACATGATGATTTACCTACTAAAAGTGGTGATTTCCCAGTTAGCTAAGTTAGTCATAACCAGATGGTACCAAAAAAAACCAAGCGACACGTGGTGCGGTTCCTCATAGAGTTCCTTGAAATCCAGCATGACTTTGGGATCCAGACCTGGCCGGTAATCCCAGGAGACAACACGATGAAATTGACAGCAGCCATAGCAGAACTGCTTGCAAATGATGGAGATGATCTGGCAGCCTTCATGAAACTATATAGTATAGATACATAAAAAATATATATATATATATATTATTATATATATTATAATTTATATATATATATATAAATATTACACTAGATTACAATATATTATATGATATCATACCCTATGGATCCAAGTACCTTCCTAGGAAGTTTTTGGGGTATGATTAGGGGGTTAAGTACCTTCCGAGACAGTGTTTGGATCCATAGGGATACATATACATAGACACAAAACATAGTAAAAGTTGAGGTACTTGGTGTCACGAAATTCAATAGAATCTAAAAAACTTGGTCAATTTCAGCAGTAGCAAACTGGGTTTGTTCATTTCGGCAACATCAACATGTTCTCTCATTGCCACGAGCACATGCCATGCTCCACTTGGAGACCTTTAATGGTCAAGTCTAGGAAGTGGCGATTATAACCATGCGAACTGGACATTAAAACTAGGGCGCAAGGTAGAGCGACGGGTGGTGAGGTATCCTCCAAACGGAACACTCTGGAATTCGCGTGAGGCAGATACACAGGGGATGTAGTTACCCCCCAAGAGGCATATGGCTTTGTCTGAACATAGGGTAGCCCTAAATCCTCTGGTGAATCCTAATGTTCCTATTAAATGGTCATTTATGGTCATTTAATGGGGGTATAGCCCATTTTCATGCTGGGAACATGATCAGCTGCGCCTGAGACCAGATCCGTGTTGGGATGCAGAAGCATCAATAAGCAATCATTCATTTCCTTCCTTGCTGGCCGAAAGACCCAACCATGGCACCATAGTTTTCCATGGTCAATCGATTCCAATCATGGCATCTGCATCTGTTTAGCAGTTTACCTCACCGTCCAAACTGCCTCTCAACCTGCCACCGGACCCGAGTGTGTGTGTCAGACTTCAAGGTCAGAAAAAAAAACATGGCTGCCACAAACTAAGCAAGTTAAACAATGTGTGAGCCCCAAAGAAAATTGTCCATTCAAGAAGGCAAACCTGGGTTCTAGCAGTTGCAACATGTTCGAAGATTCCCAACTGATGGCTTCTGGGCAAGTTATTGTTAAAGAAACACAACTCAACTGGAAATAAGCAAGTGCTGTGACTTATAACTTGGCTAACTGTTGGGTTTATGATATAACTATAGTATTCATGGAGGTTATAACATGTCAATGTTACAACACTAATCATGTCTGGTTTTAAAAAAAATAATAATATACTGTACATATTCTTCCTACTTGTAGGTGTTTGACGGTCATGCCAGAATCCTCAATCAATGGCCGTCTTTTGAATCTCAAGTCGAAACAGGTGCGTAATAGGTTCTCATGGATTCGTCGCACGTGGCATTGGGATCTATCGGTCTGTTCGTTGGCTGGTGGTTTCGAGCTGTTGCGTGGAGTGCGGAAGATCCCAAGCCTTGCGCGTGTGCGTGCAACTGTGCATACTCACCAGTTATCTCAGAGACTTCACCTTCATCTGGCTTTGGCAATTATCCAGTCATCCTTGCCATTCTCTTGGGGGCCCTCGGTCTGATTGCAAACCTAGCAGTGGCATTCAAAGTCTCTTGGGTTTCCCGGGGTGACGAGAGGGAGCTGTCCTTTGTCGTCTCTCACCAAAAGGGCTTTGAGAAACAGAAGGGTGTCTTTAGTCCAGCCAAGGGTCTTCAAATCCTTGGTTGACGAAAATGAGTTTGTTACAGCCAGGTGACGTAGTTTATGTTGATTACGGCGAAAATCAATCGGTGATTCATAGTAGATTAGTACTGGCAGAAGTTGACCGATCACAGCATGAGTTCATGATCCTGACTCCTGATCAAGACGTGTACTGTGAGATCCTTCACCAGAGCAACCCCGACTATGTGGGCTTCTACTTGTCTGGCGCCAACAATGCTCTACCTCCTGGCGTCCCTCCTGCCCAGATCTACGGCTTCAGGCCAATGACTGCTTTGGAGCTTTCAAACTTTCTGCAGATGGGAAGGGGCGAAGCTGACCGTGAGAGAGCGAACAGGGATATGGCTCCTTTGGCTGCAGCTGGGGCTGGTGCGGGACAAGTAGCTCAGATCTGGGTCCTTGCAACTATGGTTGAGGGTCACAAGGTGGGTGAAGAAGTTTTTCCTCCTGCTGGCTTTCCTACTATGGGCGACTATGGCTTGATGAATGTTAACGATCCTAGGGGAGCACCCAAGACTGCCATGATCAAGAGGATCAAGCCTGAGGATCTTCCCACGGCCTGCGAGGAGCTTGTGCAGGTGGCTAGGAGCACTGAAGCGGTGGATGGCGATGACAGAAGTGCTTCTGAAGACATTCGAACCATGTCAGTCAGGTACTCTGCAAATGGTGACCGCCTCAGGAACTTCAAGGAGACGGTCGCCGAGATGCAGGAGTGCGAAATGGAAGACTTTCCGTTCCAGCCAAGAACTTGCCTGGAATATCTCCGGGCGGTGGGAACAGTCGCTGAGTCCAGTGTTGGCCAGCACAATGCTTGGGTTCAGCAAAGTCGCATTCCTGAGTCGTCCAGGGCAGTGTACGAGGACGAGGCCTTGTCCCAAATTCTCGACACCGCCATCTCCTTCGACTGTCTTCAAGTCTGCAATCTTGCATGTTTTGAGCTCCTTGTCAGACGGAAGCAATTGATCGCAGAGGCCCACCAGTTCAATCCATCTAATCCTTCATATGAGGGAGCTGAATTTTGGATGGGCAGTCGTTACAAGAGTGGTGGAGCTATTGTAGTGCCGGCCTTGACAGAGCATGTGGCCAAGCAGCTCCAGGCTGAAAGCCAAATCCTCAAGGAGCGTCGCAAATTGGCAGAAGCAAAAGGCACAGGTCGTGGAGGAGGTCCAGGCAAGCCGCCGAAAGCTGGTCCAAAAGGAGGGCCACAGGCGGCAGAGTCCTCAAATTAGTGGTGGTGCGTGGAGGTGTCTGCAGCCGGTGCCTCTGCGTCTTTTTTTTTGGCTGCGCAGTTTTGACCCTGAGCGATGACTGGTGGAAGTGCTCTTTTTCACCCTCCTGCGGGGGAGGACAAACGTTCCCGTGATGTTTCCTTTACCACAGGTCGCCTCCACACCGATCACCAAACCAGGGCTTTCCCGCGGCACTCGGCGTCGGTTACTGACAAAAGCTGCCTTCAATGAGCGTGTGAACATGGCCTTGCGCGCTTTGAATTCAATGTACTTCGGGGAGAAGGCCACCATGAGGGCAAAGAGCGTAGATGACCTCTCAGGGTTGCCTCTGGTGCAGCGTGACTGCATACTCAATGTGCAAAAGCATGTCAAACTGCTTGGGCCTCCTCCCATGGATGCACGATGCCAAGGAGCCTTTGCTGCGCTCCGGGCAGCCAGTTCCTCATACCATGATATTGAGCCTGGCGTTGGTGATGTGGTGGAGATGGATATCAAACAGTTGTCACTTCCTTCAGGGAAGGTGGCTGGTGTCTGTCTCGGCCAGAATCTTTGCGGTGCTGTGAAGGAGATGGTGGAAAATTTTGATTCTTTCATGCTGCAAGATGCTTCCGTGTGGACCGATTTGGAGGCGGAGTCAATCAGGATCAAACCTCACAATGATGCCAGTTTAAAGGACAGAAGTGCTTACCTTGAGTTTGTTAGTCATCTGTTCAGGTGTGGGGTTCTTTCCTTCACTACCGAAGTTAGGGGTCGTGTTGGTGCTTTCTGTGTTTCGAAGAAGCCCAAAATGGTTGACGGTAAATTGGTTCCTAGGCAAAGACTTGTTTTAGACTGTAGATCTGTTAACCTACAATTCCGAGACCCACCTCGAACTGAACTTGGCTCTCTTTCGAGCTTGGCTGACACGACACTCCCGGAGGGTGAGACTCTCTACATAGCAACAGCTGACATTTGCGATTGCTTCTATGCGTGCGACTGCCCGCCAGGCTTGGAGCAGTATTTTTGCCTTCGCGGTGACATTACAGCTGACGAGGCACGGAGGGTTGCAAATGGATGTTGGGATGGAGATTTCTCTGTTTCTTCAACCTGGTCACCATGTTTTAAAGTATTACCTATGGGATTCAATTGGAGTTTCTATTTGGTGCAAGCGCTACACGAGCAAGCTGCTATGGATGCCTTAGGGGTATCGCGTGATGCGGTATTTCTGGACGGTCACCCTTCTCCCGTCCTGTCCAAGGGTTCGGCCACTACCATGCCATATTGTGACAACGTACATGTTCTTTCACTTTCTCCTGATATTTGTCAGACAGGGAAGGAAGCAGTTTGTGAGAAGCTGGAGCACATGGGCTTCGTTTTGCATGAACACACAAGCGCATCCTCTTACACACAGACTTTGGGGGGTATTGTGGATGGCGATATTGGGCATATTAGGTGTTCTGAGAAGCGTATTTGGTCACTTATATTTGCCTTTGAGTATGCTGCCACTCACAAAATCTCTACTGAGCTGATGCAAAGGTTGTTGGGTCATGCAATGGTCGTTTGCACTATCAATAGATGTGGAATGGCTATTTTTCGGCGGTTGTATGATTTCGTGCATAGTGGGTGTGGTCCTCGTAAGCTCAATTCCTCAGAGAAGAGAGAATGTTTGGTTTTTGCAGGGCTGCTTCCACTGTTGGTGGCAGATATTAGGAGACCTTGGTCGGACAATGTCACAGCTACTGACGCATCGCCTGAAGGTTGGGGGATCTGCGAGAGACACCTCCCGCCGGACGTGGTGCAAAACTGTGGCAAGTGGCACGAGCGGTGGCGTTTCCGGAGGCTGGATGCCGCGGAATGGAAGCCGCGGGAGAGGGCACTGAAAAGGGATGTTTTCAATGATGTTCTCACTGTCAAGGGCACTTTGGATCAGATGGATGATTTTAATAACTATGTTCCAGATGATAGTTTTCCAGAAGTACAGAGCGATGTTTTGTCGCCTGAAGAGTGGATGACAGTTGGCATGGGTAAATGGCGTGACAATACAGAGCATATCACACTCAAAGAAGCTAGGGCAGTTCTGCTTGCAGTTAGGAGATTGAGTAGGGCATCACGACACAGACATCGACGGCATCTTTTACTTGTTGACAACATGGCTCTATGTTTTTCTTTGGGCAAGGGTCGTTCGTCAAATTTTGCAATTTTGCGGGTTTTACAGCAGATTGGCTCAGTATGCTTGGCGTGTTCTATTTCCCTTAGAAGTAGATGGATACCATCTGAGCTGAACATTTCAGATGGCCCTTCCCGGGGGCAAATCGCTCCGGGTCCTTACGTCAAAGTCAGCAAGGGGGTCAGTGATGAAGTCTCCCAGTCGAATTGCTGCTCCTCGCCAATCGCAAACAAGCAAGAAGATGAGTCGTGTTTTCAAAGCTCCGCCAATTTGTCCAAGTTTTCCCAGCAAGAAGGCTGGCCTCACCAGAGCGCTGCCTCCGTCCCAGCTCAAGCTCCCAGTCCCGCCAGGACCAAGGCGAACCATCCACAAGGTCAAGCATGTGGACAGCTCTGGTGCTGGAAAAAGAGCAATCCAAAAGAAGCATACCATCCTGGAACAGAAGAGTGTCAGTTGCGAGGTGAAACAGCAGTATGCGGGGTACCTCCAGAGGTTCGTGGGCTTCTGCAAGGAGAGCGGATTCCATTGGCCTCCCGCTTCAAATCTGATAGACCCTCTCCTAACCGACTACCTCGACATCCTCTACCTAGACAATCGCTCTTGTCACGAAGGAGAAAAGACGTTGGCCGCAGTGGAGTTCGAAATGATCCAGTTGAAAGGTCAGCTAGTCAGGGCCAGAAGGGCCCTCAAAGGATGGCGAAAAGAGATGCCGCCACAGTCAAGGCTTCCTCTCCCGCGCCTTTGTATGTTTGGAATCGCAATGCAGCTTTTTGCGCAAGGGTTCATAGACATGAGTCTGAAAGTGGTCACAGATTTTTTCCTATATCTTCGTCCAGGCGAAGGCCTAGACATCAAGGGGCGAAATGTGATCCCACCTTCCAAAGCTGCTGGCATCCAATACCGCTGGGTGAATGTCGTGATCCGCGACATGGAGGGAGGAAAGCCAGACAAAGTAGGCATCTACGACAACAGCATCCCGCTCGATTTGAAACACACAAAATGGATTGGGGACCAGTTGCTGAGAAAGGCAAAAATGTTGAGCAGTCCGGACAGTCTGATCTTCACGTTCTCCATGGAAGAGTTCCGGGTGCAGTTTGTGAAGGCAGCGTCTCAGATGGGGCTGCACCAATTGCATCCATATCAGCTCCGCCATGGCGGCGCAACAGAAGAGCTGACCGCCAAAGTGAGAGAGTTCAACCAAGTCAAATCCCGTGGCCGCTGGAAAACAGACAAGTCAGTGAGGAGGTACGCCAAGATTGGGCGTGTCCAGCAGTTGCTGGCGAAAATGTCCAAACAGGGCACCCGGTTTTGCCAGTGGTCGGAAAAGAACTTAGAGCAAGTGTTTCGTGGCACGAAGGCCGCACGGAAAGTGACAGACTTTTGAGCTGGGATGACATTTTCACAATGCATGGTCGCCCCAAACGTTTCTGCTTGGAGCTTTTTGCCGGTTCAGCCAGAATTTCACAAGCGTTGAAAAGACTTGGTGTGCCAATTTTTCCTGTGGATATTTGTTTGTTCCCTTCTCACAATGTTCTGCACAGCAATATTTGCAAGGGCATTTTCAATTTCTTGCGACAGCAACGTGTTAAGCTCGTTTGGATTGGCATGCCATGCACAACATTTTCTAGGGCTAGGCAATTTGATGGGTTGGGCCCTCCTCCACTTCGCACGTCAGATGCAATTTGGGGTTTGTCAGACCTGCGACCTAGCGACTGTCGTAAGCTGAATGAAGGGAATCAGCTTTTCAACTTCACTATGAAAATCCTGCACCTTTGTGAACAGTACAAAATTCCTTATGTGTTGGAGAACCCTTTGACTAGCATGGCTTGGGAGATGCCTCCTATGATACACTTCATGGAAACATTCCGTCCTGCATTTTGTGATTTGGATTTTTGCATGTATGGGGAAGCTTGGCAAAAACCTACCAGACTTCTTAGCAACTACATTGATATTGCCGATCTATCTGTTCGTTGCATGGGTTCCCACCTCCGGTGTTCCCGGTCCAAACGGCCGCACCGCGCCTTGAAAGGCACAGACAGCAACGGTGTCTTCTGGACTCTCCGAGCTCAACCATATCCATGGCAGCTAGCCCAGAAGTTTGCTGCGCTGGCGGCCACGGCACTCAGTGATACTGCGAGGTGATGGGTAGAAGATTTGTAGATGAAAGCTTTTGATTGGATCCATTCGGCATTTTCCTTTTACAGCGTTGCAGGGCATTGAAATGCCTGGTGTCCCAAGCAAAACCTTTGAAACTCTCTGGCCCAACACGGGCCATCTGGCCATGCAAAAGAAGGATGGCGGCAATCTGAGTCATTCTTCCTACTTGTAGGTGTTTGACGGTCATGCCAGAATCCTCAATCAATGGCCGTCTTTTGAATCTCAAGTTGAAACAGGTCCACCGCCGACCCCACCTCCACTAGAAGATTTGTAGATGAAAGCTTTTGATTGGATCCATTCGGCAGTTTCCTTTTACAGCGTTGCAGGGCATTGAAATGCCTGGTGTCCCAAGCAAAACCTTTGAAACTCTCTGGCCCAACACGGGCCATCTGGCCATGCAAAAGAAGGATGGCGGCAATCTGAGTCATATATATATATTATATAAAGCATATTAACTAGTTTGATATATGTACCATAAACATCCCTAAACCCAAAGCTAATCATGGAGGTCATAAACCAACTTCTAACGCTGACCGAGGGCCCGTTGGGGGCGAATTGCCAAGGAACTGGAAGTGCGTCAGAGGTAGGTCGTTGGCGTCTAAGCCAAAGGGATTCTCAAGTTCGATGCTGATGAAGTTCAGAGCAAACATACCTGCAATGTGGGACCCCCAAATTCCCCAAATGTTATGCGTGTTAACTTATAAACCAAAGAAATCTAGTTCTAAGATCTTATAAGTATCAAAAAATATCATAAACCGTACACACATTGGGGTTATTTGGCCCCCAACTGAACGCGATGTCATGGCCACGGGGGCCCCGCTTTGTGGTGGATCCTGGTGACCCCAGTTCCGCTATGCCTAAGATGGTTTGTTGGTCTTTCTCAGGCATCTAACTATTCTAACTATAGTTACGCATCTATAGTCTATAGTTGTAACACTATGATCCAGGAACAGCACTTCAACTATAGAGTTCTAAGCCAAACATCATACCTGGTGACCCATGTGGCCACATCTCAGTGGTTTCGTTCAGATCCAAAAAGGCAAAGTTCACTGGCAAAAATCAGGATTGAACCAATAAACATTGGAATTGCTTGTTTTTGTTTGTGTGTTTGTTCCTTTCGTCGGATGTAGACACTGTGTTTTTCTTGATTTACAATGATTTACATATGTTCCAGGTTGCTGTGACGGGAAGGGGGAAAAGCAACTAAGCTGAAATCAGCTGGGATGTTCTGGGTTTACCATGGTTTACCATGGTTTACCATTGGAAACTCAAAAACACAGCCCTTGACTCCTTGACCCATCATATATCAACAAGTAGGCATAAACAGGATAGCGACAAACAAAGATTCAGCTCGACCCTGCCGATTTGGATTCCTTGGAATCTTGGAATATTGGTGCTGCTTCCAATGGTCTGCAACCCGAATTTGTATCCTATCCGCTTGCGGGGTGGTCATACATACACTGCAGGTCCGGTCAATTGAAAACTCTACATTGTACCCTCTGGTAAACTAACATGGCTATGGAAAATCACCATATTTAATGGGAAAATCCACTATAAATGGTCATTTTCAATAGCTATGTTAAATTACCAGAGGGTAAGTCCAATTGTAACCACAATCATCTTTCTTCCTGCGCAGAAAGACATCCCTGCAGAAAAAGCTGCTGAACACCGCAAGGAACGTGAGAATTGGAGCAAAGACCTTCAGGGGAAATCGGTGTTCTCACACCAGAACTCTTGGAATCCAAACCAAGAGCTCAACGGATTGGTAGGTGAATGTTGGTGATCAGTGATCAATGTCACTTTTTCAGCATCCGAGTCTGATCCATATCCACTACAATTCAAGTCTTAAGCTACAGTGTTTCTTTGCATCTCAACCTGTAATCTCTTTTGACTATAAGATCTGGCTGGTGGGCATCAACCCCATGCCAAGGCAGAGATAGAACATGCCTAAAGTAACAACCTAGGAATCAACGATCACAAATGAGGCACAAGCCCGGCTTGTGCCAAGGGTCCCTGGGATCCCTGGGTCACCGCCCCCCTTTGGGCCATTTTTTCGGGCACCTTATGGGGCACTGAAGCCGTGATCAACGCGGGGGACATGATCAAATGCAACAGGAGGAAGAGGGCAATGATCTGAGCAAAGGGATAAGGAAACCTCAGATCTCGGCAAAAAAGGCCAAGGGGATACATCTCCTTGGCGTGTTGTGTATGTTTTTGTGGAATATCATAGAATGTTTGAGCTATAACTGGGAAGAACTGAGGTATATCTCAGTTGTAACTGAGAGCAGGACAGAACTGGGCAAAAGTATCTATGTTTAGCTGGGACCACACATATTTCCTCCTTGTAATGGCAGAAGATTGGAGTATTTAACTACCCCAGGCTTCACGGGAGTGAGATCCGTCTGTAGACGATGGCCAGTAGTTGAATTTGGTAAAGTCTTACAGTCTTACTTACTTTGCCAGAAATCCGGTATACTGAAAGTGTGAGCATGACAAGGAGTTGTTATATAAATGACCATTGACCAAGGGCCAGGCAATTCTATGATGCTTCACCACCCCATCCAACTGTAGCAGCTATACGATTTATCCTCATCTCTTCGAGAGCTACAAATTGTACCCTCTGGTAGTTTAACATATATAGCTATGGAAAATGGTCCTTTTGCCGGGTAAATAATCCATAAAAAGGTTGAGTTTCAATAGCTATCTTAAATTAGTGGAGTGTAATTTCCCGTTCATATCCACATGTTTGTTGGCTATATCCCTGTCTGTTAATCATCATAAAATCCCATCAATTAAAAACAAAAAACAAAAAAAACGTGAAGTCATCACAAAGTCCAATTCAATCCCATTAAAAAGACAAAAATAGTGACCATTAAATAAGAACCCCTTAAATCACCTTAAAGTCCCATGATTTTCGAAATTTTATGCCTATCCAACTGTGCACCATGAGCCCCATGCTTTCGCCAGGTAAACAGCAAAACTGTCTGTAAGTCTAGGAGCCCCAGCTTGCAAGATGTGTGGCAAAGATATATTCTTTATATGTCTTTGTCATATCCCTGACCTTCCAGTTACCTCTGCTTGTTCAAATTAAGGCAGTTAAAATACACATGTTACCCTCTGGTAAACTCACATAACCATGGAAAATCACCATGTTTCATAGGCAAATCAACTATTTAACTATGAGCCATGGCTTCGTTCGCAAACTGTAACAGTCATTACCAGAGGGTATCATCTTCCGCTGTGTCACCAAGAAACACATTTGAGATAGGGAATGTGTTTTGGTGGCAGGTTTATGGTCATCATCCATCTAAGGGAACCCAAGGGAACCGAAACGCCGCCGCTTTTTGCGCATCATGCAGGCAACCACCTGCTAAGGGTATTGTGAATATACTCAAGAAAACCATATGAAGCTTGTGACTCATGGTTCTGTTTGCAAATCCCCTAAACACGTGGTGCCCACCCAGTGATATTTGTTGGTTTATACGCATTTATAGACCCAATTGACTACGTAGTTTGATCTATCAACCATAAACCCTAATAAAACATGCCTTAACCTTCCAGTTACTTCTGAGATAGGTAATCAGGGTGATGAACATCCTCATGATAACATGGGGTTGGTTGCCTAACTGATAGGTAACTAGAAGGTGAGGGATGAGTTATGAACCAACTTATCCAACTTTACGAATTAACCAACTTAGCTATCCAAAGAATCTCATCCTCCAAGCCACTTGGTATCAGTAATCTTCTTCCTCAGCTGAACATCTCATGCAGAGCATGGGGGTGGTTATTTTAGAAACAGCGGGATATCACCATATATCAAACCAACCGTATAGGATGTAGACTAATATGGGGGGTTCTGAAAATTGGGCACCTACTCCAAATTCAAAACGAGAAATGGTTCTCCCGAGTGCGGAGAAAAACTTCCGAACGATCATAATGAAAGAAAAAACCTGGTGGTTTGGGCTTCCAGCTTTGTTGGTCCTGTTTTCATTCTCCGAATCTCAAAAAATAAGCTTCGAAGAATTGGGCGAAGAACTGTGATAGGTAAGCGTAGATGTCGAGTACACGCCAAAGATGCCCCTGTTGGTAAGTTTGGCTTAGACACTTGGAATTACCATGTTCATCCACACTGCATTTTATTTTTTGGGGTCATTTCTAGCTGCCAACAGTTCCTGGTGTGTCGGTGCAGTAATTCCAAGATATATTGCTGGAAACATCTCCATGGCGAGCCGGTTTCACCATGTTTCACCTTAAGATCTCCCACAAAACAAGGACATAGTCATACATAGTCGTATCTCGAAATAGTTCATATATGTTCATATTATCATATGATTCCTCTGTATCCCCTGTGATATGTTCAAAAAGAGCAATATATATATAGCCTTTCTTTTGACGCTGCCCCTTAAGGTTCCCGCTGTCGAGCATCGTGTTCAAGAGATTCACGAAGCCTCGAGAGATCGTCTGATAAACGCGCGAAAGGATGGGCGGAGGAATCTTCAGCACTCCATCATCCAATGCCTTGCCGCGTCCACGGAGATCATCAAAGTGCGGTGAAATGTCGCTTAAAACACATGGGTTTTCTTAAATTCATAAGACTTCCAGAAGTATCAATGGATATTCCGTTCCAAAGATAAAAGAACATGAATCTGACCTTTCAGAACCTTTGCTGGCTAGACTTTGCCTAGAATATGTTTCATCCCGGAACAAAAAGCCGTTTTGACAGCGGCAAAGTCACTAGGGTTGCACTTTTGGACCTCCATTCCAAGAATTGGTTGATCAGATTTATTTTATGGGATTTCTTTACAGGAACCCCCAACTATGGAAAATCACCATGTTTAATGAGTAAATCCACTATTTCGATGGGCCATTTTCCATAGCGGCTATGTAACAAATTACCAGAGGGTATTGTTGTTGTTGCTTGTTTTTCTGTAAATGTTCTCAGAAACCAATCCATTGATCCATGTTGGCTCCAAGCCCACGATCCGTGGCCACTTGTCACATCTGGTGTTTCGGGGTAATCGTCTACTGCTTGATGGTTTCAACCACCCTGAAAAAACTAAAACATACTGCCCATTGCTGATTTAAGAGCTGAGAAATACGTGTCAATTTGTATCATTTCAAAATATGCCAATTGAATACCCATAGGATCCATGGTGCTGCTATATATGGTAACATGGATCCCATATACCCCAGTCAGCATTTTTCTACCAGCACCAGCCGGATCCGTCATGGGTAATTGAACATAACATCCAAAGCACCAGCGATCCATACAAGATGGGGCCCCCAAGATAGCTAAGTTGGTTTATAAGTGGTTTAACTATGGTTTATGGTAGATATAACTATAGTTAATGGGGATTATCATGGTTTATAAACCAACAAACATCACTGGGGGGCCCCATCCTGTACTTTTTCAGGGATTTCCCCAGCAACGAAGAGTCCGAGTCTTCCTTTTTGGGGAGAACCGATCCATCCGAATGTCATCGACTGGGAGGCCAATTTTTTCATCTTACTGGTGCGTTTTACGTAGGGAATTTTCGGGAATGATCCACTGGCTATAACTAGTAATGTCATCATCCCAGCAACCCCCAGCAACCCTACGTAAAACGCACCAGTAAGTAATGAAACAAAATGAAACAAAGGCATCGCGAATGGGATCATTGCGTAACAAGGCAAGCCGTTGCAGAATCATTTTGATGGCATGGATTGCGCAACAAGCGCAATTTTTCACAAGCCCTGATGTGAAAGTCCGCGGATTATGATTATCCCAGGAAACTCGAAACGAAGTTGATCAGATGGATGAAATTCATGTTGAAAACATCATTCCAGTTCATCAACTGTCTGGAATTGTCACAAACTTGGAAAATCATCCCCATGGATCCATGGCCACTGTCTCAGAAGGTACGGCTAACCCTCTAGTCACTAGTCATCATACCCAAGTCACACTTCCTTTCAGAAGGCACGGCTGGATCCATATGGATCTGATAATTCCTAACATCATTCTGATTTTCACAAAGCCCAGGAAAATTCCAGACAGTTCCCCGAATTCTCCGGCGAGAACTTCTTCCCTTCCCATGGCGGCCTTGGTAATCAGGGTTTGAAGCAAGTGCAAACACACCTCCACCCGGTTGAACCTCAGCAAGCTTCACCACAGTCAGATGTGCCAAAAGGTAACGCCAAGTCACGTGGTGGTGGTTTTGGAGTTCTGTTTGTTGGCTTGTATGTAAACCCACTTATAACAGTTATATAATGTTATATATAATATACAATGTTGTATATATATATAATAAAAGTAAATAGATAAATCATGATAAATCAACTAAACTAATTACTTATAAATGAATCTAAACCACCTTACTAGCGTGACCCGTAAAAAATCCAGGGGCTGGCTCCGGTTCCGGCCGGCCGAATCTCCAAGGAACTGGTGCACCTCGCTGCACTCCCAGAGATGGTGCAAGGTGGGGGCATCTAATCCCATCACATCCTCGTCCCAGAAGGCTGAGACGTTCGGCCATGGCCATGGGTCCCATGGTGATGTAGCCACTATAGGGGTTTTTCACAAACTGTTACATAACGAACTAAAGAAAGATCATCAGCATTTTTTCTTGCTGGGATCCACTATTTCTATCGACGCCATGGCTTCAATAGCTATTTTGACATAACCAGAGGGTAACCCTATGGATCCATAGGGATGGTACATAAAGTCCAACTTGGCTTTCGAAAGGCACATGTTTTCCCTTCAGCCCATGTTGGATAAACAACTATGGTATAAAGTAGATGGTATATATATAATATATATATATATGGTAAACTATGGTAAGATATGGTGTAGTCTATGCCATGTTTTAATCTGAACATCATCTATGAATGGTGGTTTTATATGGGTTTATGTAGTCAAACTCAAAAAGGATGAACAAGTGAAATCCCGGCGAATGTTGAGTTTGATGATGATATGTACAATGTGAGGCCCCCGTTTACGATAGCTAAGTTGGTTTATAACTGTAATAACTATGGTTTATGGTACTTATAACTATAGTTACTGGGGCTTATAAACCAACTAACATCACTGGAGGGGGGCCACATTGTACCTTTCATTACCTATGGATGATGGCTTCTTGGAAAAACATAGCGGGTAACAGTGTAACACTAACCCATCACTAAGCAACTTCTAACTTGGGAAAGTGGGGAGATGGGTCATGAGCGGCTCATTGACTCATGAAGCCGCTGAATCGGTCATGGTTTAGTCAAGACTGATGCAAGAAAATGACGACAAGAACACTGGTTGGTGGTGCAATAACCATCTTGAAAAATATGAGTTCGTCAATGGGAAGGATGACATCCCATATAATATGAAATGGAAAAAAATGTTTGAAACCACCAACCAGAACATATAAGATCTATAAGATCTATACTTTTGAATGTCACAAGGGTTCACTTGCCAGTGACTGAGATAGGTTCCCCTTGTGGTGATTTTATCTCAGTATTTGGGATTTGGTTATGTGATAGGTAACTGGAGGGTAAGGGATAGTTGTGAGATGTTGTAAGTATCATAAACCATACAGAAATTGGAAAAGATGTTCACCAACTTTAGCGATTTCGTAGACGGGGGCCCCTCTTTGTAGTTGCAGTATGTTGCGCTTGGTTCCATCCCCCTAATATTAAGACACCCCCCATTGTATGGTCCGAAGTATATCTCCAAATATGTGGTTTCTCCCCTTCTTCTCCATGGTGACTCTGAGGGTGTTTAATAGTAGGGAAAGGGATTAGTAACTGTTGACTCACTCATAGCTAGGTTCCAAGCAATGAAATATACAGTATTTGGAAAAATAGAAGGGGATATCAGCCAGCTACGATCACCAGTGAACTAACTCTATAGCCCACAGCGACTCCTACGTGGGAATGCGCATACTGATTCTATATATATAATTATATATATAATTCTATATAAAGATCATGTTTTTTAGATGTATAACAACCCCAAAAGATAGATGTTCCTAATTTCCCCTTTATTTTAGTATTTGACTTCTCTGTCTTTTTGCGGCTTTCCTGTGATATCCCTGCGGCACTGCATCATACCTGCGTTTTTTGGCACCTTCGTCGTCAGCTGTCTCCCCTATTCCATAGGATCCATGGTAATGCTAACATTTGGGGTATATTGCTGGGATCCATGTTACCATATATAGCATACATGGATCCTATGGGTATAGAGCCCATTCTTTTAAGGTATTCCATTGTGGGCATATTCCACACCATAATGGGCTATTCCCCTCTGGTAAACGTTTACATAACTATGGAAAATCACCATTTTTAATGGGTAAATCCACTATAAATGGCCATTTTAAATAGCTATTTTGACATAACCTCAATGGCCATTTCAGGAACCTAAAATGGAGGTACCTACCATATATATAAGGCCTATTTTTTAGGCCTATGTAAGGGAATATACACCCAAAATATGGCCAAACATATGGTACAGAACCTCCATTTTAGGATCCTGGAATTTCCATTGATAACCAGAGGGTATTCCAAACCAAGCATCTATGACTCTTAGCTCTGCAACATCCCCTGAAATCTCCTGACGCCGCCGCCAGGGATGTGACGGGTTTTTTATGGTTTTTTCTCACCACCCCTACCCTCAACGTTTACAGTTCGCGAACTGGAAAAACACCATCCTTAATAGGTAAATCAACGAACTAAATCGCCATGTTCAATAGCTATGTAACAAATTACCAGAGGGTACAATCCATTACATTCCCAATCATGTCTATTTATGAGGGGATACTGTTGGATACTCGTATATAAACCACTTACTGAAGCACATAAATCGAACTAATCATGGTTCAAGAGCAGGTGACGAATCCCTTCCCCTTCGATACTCAAAAAACGTTCTACCCCGCAAGTCTGATGGGCAAATCCGCGTACAATCATGTGGAATCCCCTGCACGAAGCTGAACATTGGAAGAAACAATTGATTTCCTGGTTGGTGGTTGACCTACCCCTCTGAAAAAAATGACTTCGTCAGTTGGGATGATGACATTCCCAACTGAATGGAAAAATCAACCAAGTTCCTAACCACCAATCAGTTTCAAATGCCTAGGCAATGGAAGAGTCAGGGAATGGGACCATCCCTGAGGATTTTTGAGAAGTGGATTGGTTTATGCGTTCTATCTACCCTGGAAACTTACGTAGCTATGGGGAATGGCACATTTATGGATGAATTAACAGCTAAAAATTACTTTACTTCGTGTGATCCCCACCATGACATTTATACATTTTCTTATTGGCAAATCTTCTGGCATTCTATCTGACATATCTTCTGGCAGTCTATCTGGCATTCTATCTGGCATATCTTCTGGCATATGTTCTGGCATATCTTCTGGCATATCTTCTGACATTTTTTCTGGCATTCTATCTGGCATATCTTCTGGCATATGTTCTGGCATATCTTCTGGCATATCTTCTGACATTTTTTCTGGCATTCTATCTGGCATATCTTCTGACATTCTATCTGACATATTTTCTGACATTCTTTCTGGCATATCTTCTGACATTCTTTCTGGCATTCTATCTGGCATATCTTCTGACATTCTATCTGACATATCTTCTGACATTCTTTCTGGCATACCTTCTGACATTCTATCTGGCATATCTTCTGACATTCTTTCTGACATTCTTTCTGGCATTCTATCTGGCATACCTGCTGACATTCTATCTGACATCTTTTCTGACATTCTTCCCGTTGAGGTCCGGCAGTGCCCACTGCGATCTGGAAGTCGCGGTTGGGGTCTGGCAGTGCCCACTGCGATCTGGAAGTCGCGGTTGAGGCCCGGCAGTGCCCACTGGGATCTGGAGCTCGCGGTTGAGGTCCGGCAGTGCCCACTGGGGTCTGGAGCTCGCGGTTGAGGTCCGGCAGTGCTCACTGCGACCTGGAAGTCGCGGTTGAGGTCCGGCAGTGCCCACTGCGATCTGCAACTCGCGGTTGAGGTCCGGCAGTGCCCACTGGGATCTCGCGGTGGAGGTCCGGCTGTGCCCACAGGGATCTGGACTGCGAGGAGACGGAGGAGGAGAAGAGCTCTGTTAAAATCTAGCAACCCTCACCTGGCAGGTGGGGAACAATGATTTCCGCAGCTATGTAAGTTCACCAGAGGGGTCACATCTTTGAACAGCCAAGTCCTGAAACAAAATTACTTTACTTCGTGTGATCCCCACCATGACATTTATACATGTTCTTACTGGCACATCTTCTGGCATTCTATCTGACATATCTTGTGACATTCTATTTGGCATTCTATCTGGCATATCTTCTGGCATATCTTCTGGCATTCTATCTGGCAAATCTTCTGGCATTCTATCTGGCATTCTATCTGGCATATCTTCTGGCATTCTATCTGACATATCTTCTGGCATTCTATCTGGCATTCTATCTGGCATATCTTCTGGCATATATTCTGACATATCTTCTGGCATTCTATCTGGCATTCTATCTGGCATTCTATCTGGCATATCTTCTGAAATATCTTCTGGCATATCTATCTGGCATATCTTCTGGCATATTTTCTGGCATTCTACCTGGCAAATCTTCTGGCACTCTATCTGACATTTTATCTTCCTACACGAGGTCCGGCAGGGAACACTTGGCGTGGATACTCGCGGTTGAGGTCCGGCAGGGAACACTGGGCGTGGATGGTCGTGGTTGAGGTCCGGCAGGGAACACTGGGCGTGGATGGTCGTGGTTGAGGTCCGGCAGGGAACACTGGGCGTGGATGGTCGTGGTTGAGGTCCGGCAGCGAACACTGTGGATCGCGAGTCGCAGTTGAGCAGGAGGACGAGGAGGACAACGAGACGAGGAGGACAACGAGAGGAGGAGGACAACGAGAGGAGGAGGACGACGAGAGGAGGAGGAGAGGAGGAGGAGGAGCAGGCAACTTAGATAAAATCTAACAACCCTCACCTGGCAGGTGGGGAAAAACATCACTCTCTGACTCTCTGGTAATTTGTTACATAGCTATTGCAAATGGTCCATTCAGTTCCTTGATTTACCTATTAAGGATGGTGATGTTCCATAGTTTTTTTCTATGTTTATCAGAGGTTACATATTTCAATTAATCACCATCAATCTCTATAATTGTTAGCTATTACTATAATATATGTTTATTGATCGCAACCCTCACCTGACAGGTGGGGAAAAACCTTAAAAATCAGCATCAACATACTCAGATGTTTGAAGATCCAACCATCCACCTGGGCCAATCCTGTAATATTATAATATAATTGTATATTATATTATATCATATTAATCTAATTTACATATTACATTATATTATATATACATATCATATTATATTCTATTACATTACATTATATAATGTTATACAATGTTATATTATCTTATATTACATTATATGATACTATATAAATTACATTATATGTAACATATTCACCAACAACAAACACGTTGTTCAAAATCTTGTGACATAATTCCCCTTTCGAATCAAACATAAAATCCACACGTCTGTGTTGTTTTCTCTTTATCTGATTCGAAAAAGAAAATATGATTCACCCAATTTCATGTCAATTTCCAGGTGATTTTCTGCAAAAAATGAACAAATCCCCTCCTCAAGGGCACTGCCGTGGCAAAGGCTCATCAACCTGTTCCCAGGACATCAAGGCGGGTAGTGAATACAGGGTACCCTCTGGTAAAAATACACAAGACTACAGGATGGGGCCCCATAGTTAGGTAAGTTGGTTTGTAAGTATACTAACAATAGTGCATGATACTTATAAATGTGTTTAGATAGGGTTATAAACCAACTTATAACTGGGGGGGCCCATATGGCCCCATCCTGTACGGAACATCACCATTTTTAATGGGTAAATCAACGATTTCTATGGGACATGTTCAATAGCTATGTAACAAATTATGAGAGGGTAATCTAAATCAAGCTTGTAACCTGTCTTATTTGGAGGTTTCCATAAATGGGGGATCCCTAAAATGGATGGTTGATTTCATGGAAAATCCTAGTAATAAATGGGTGATTTGGAGGCACCCCTATTTCAGGAACCCCCCATGTGAATATCATCGCATATCATCCGCAAAACAATGGTTTGGGAATCGACCAATGTCTATTGTACCTTTACTATTTGAAAAACCATCAAGACAAATACACGTGCTAAAATCATTATAGGGTGCATATCCGTCTTTATTGGAAAAAATGGGCCTGGGTATTTCTGAATGGAAACAAGCAAATGGTTTAAGGTCTATCAATCCATTTTAGATATTCACCATTGATTAGTCTATATAAGTATTAAGCATTATAGTAAAATTGGTATTGACCATCAACATTGATTTATAGCAACCCAAAAAACATAGAAACGCCAACTCCAATCAAAAAGTGATGGCAAGTTACCAAATACTGAAACCATATGCTTCAAGTTGATTTACGTGTTAAATGTTGACCAGTTTTTCCCCTTTTTTTCAGACTTTGCGGGACAAGGAACAAAATTCAATGGATTGGTGGGAAAATCTTAACCGGAAACCATGGTTTTCACCATCAAATGGGAATTCCGGTTTCAATTTTCCCATCATCCAATTCGAAAAACCATCGCGCCGCGGCCGATTTTAAAAAAAAGAAGCGCCCCTCTTCGGCGCCTCACCAGCGTGTGCCGGAAACGCATGACTTCATCCGGCTTGCTGGGTCGAGCACTGATGGAGAAGGTGACCTGAGTGAAAATCACCGATGAAAAGTGGATTTACCCAACAAAAATCAGGGGTTCATCCAAGAACATTTATATTGAGGTGACCTATGAAAGGCAAGTTGCTTTAGTTCACTAGGCTGACAAAATTGGATTGGTTGATATTATATATATATATATATGTATATATATCTGTCATAGTGAGTCCAGGTTACAGGGGTAACGCATACCGATGCTTCATCGCATACCATAGGATGCACGAATACCACTAATCTACGGCTTTTCAGCGTGCTGCAGCGATTTTGGCTTGGAGTATGGCCAGCCGAAGGAAGTATGGCTAAGATTCTGGTAGAATGTGAACCCTGTTTCGATGCTTTTTTGGCAAAGGGTACCCCCCAAGTTCACTGGTTTATCATGATGTCCTTGAGGGAAAAGATTGCCGTTTGGGAGGCCCCGTTTGGAGGCACACCCATACGGTCAATACTGCCATGAAACATCCCTGACAAGTCCAATTGCCCGGCCAAGTGACACAATTGCTAACTGTATCGAACCATTCCTGAGCTGCGAGGCGCCTTTGAAGCTCTTGATTTTGGAGACTCAAGGAAGCCCCGAAAGGATTTTGAACCCAAGGCGGACGTGTAGATCTGCACACCTTTGATCACCATCCCAAATAACGGGGTCATCATGAAACGATCCAGCTGAGGAATGAGTTGGCAAGTCTTACAGCTCAACTTTGAACTCAAGCCTCAAAAATTCACTGGGATCCCACATGGGTATGGGCAAAACATCAATTTTTAGGCCAGGAATTGCATGTTCATGCCCCCAAATCATATCGTTTCATGGGTCTTGACCTATTAGCATGGTGAAACTGATCACCCCGACCAAAATGGATAGTTTCCACTTCCAAAACGAGCAGCCTATTGCGGGCTACCTTAATGGCTTGACACATGCCCAACTCATCAAGGTCTGAAAACGGAGGGACCACCAATTCTATACTTCTCCGAGCGTAACTTCGGGGGTCATCAAGGCCCCCTCAATTGATCACCACAACAAAGTCATACGGAGGTTTCCTGAAATGGAGGTACCCCTAAATCATCAAAAATTAGACCATAACTTAGTACTGAAACCCATGGTGACTTGGAGATCCCAGCACAGGTCGTTGATGGTCGTTGTGCAACCACCAGCCCTTCCCAAATCGGTCGCATGCCGCCAAGTGTCCCCCCGCATTTGGTGCAGCAGACCAGTACCCTCCCAAAACCGCGCAAGGCCCTGAGACACGGTGGAGATCAAGGCTTAGTGATTTGGAATCCCTGAATCCATAGGAAGAGGGCGTCTTTGAGGATAGGCTCACTAGGACTTATGGTGGATATATCTATGGTTAGATGGCGTTATAAACAACCTGATACTGTAAATGGGGGGTCCTCTTCCTGCAACGAAAGGAAGTCTCACACTGGTGCATTTTCATGCATGCAGACTATCAAATCCAAAACACCAGAGAACCAGTGGTTGTAAAAAATCAAAGTGGCACTTGAGGTATCCTCTGATAACTTAATATAGATATTGAACATGGCCATTTAGTTCGTTGCTTTACCTCTTAAAAATGGTATTTTCCTAGTTCGCAATCTTAGTTTACCAAAGGCTACATCTTTCAATGAATCATCATCAATCACTATAATTGTTAGCTACTATGTTTATCAATCATGATTAATCACTATTAATCAACTATTAATCACTACTAAGCACTATTAACCACTATTAGTAGTCACTATTAATCACTACTAACTACTAATTACTATTAATCACTATTAATCTTTATTAAATAATCATTATTAATTCACAAAAAAAATCACTCTCAAATCTGGCACCCGTGGATTCCCCGCCTGTCTCGCTCGGAAGCCTAAGAGGAAGACTAAGACCACGGTGGAGGCGTTCCAGATCTGGCCTGCTTTTTTTTTCCGAGGATTGGGCCAAACATCTTCCGAAATCAGTTGGGAAGTGCTGAAAATCAAATATTTCATAAATTGGTAAATTTACCCTTTAGTAATATATTACTAGTTGGTAATATGATTTCCTAGTTGGTAAACACTTTGAATCATATGACCCAGTAAATTAACAATTAACAGTTCGACCCTGGCAGTTGTCGGTGAATCAAAGGATCATGGGGATTGACCCTCTGACTGATCGGTGCCGCCGGTGACGACTCGCAACCATCAGAGGGTTTGGTTGGTTTCAACCATCTGACTTTAGGTATGTCACACCATTTCATAGCCATAAAGCATCATCATATCAAGCTGGGACCACCTCACAGGTGGCCTCCTTAAGAAACTGCCCCCGAAAGGTCAGCCTCGATTAAGAACGGTAAAGTAAAAAGATGCTACGTTCACCGAACATTGGGCGCGATCAATTCCATTTTGGCCACCAAGATGAACCAATACAAGGTGGGCCCCCTGGATAAGCCAAGTTCCTGTAGTTTAGTGCTAGGTCACGTATGGCTGTAGATATATCTATAGATCATGGGGTATATAAACCAGCTCATAACGAGGGCGCAGCAACTTCCCTAACCCATGATGGACGAGTGCCGTGAATCTTGGTCCAGAATCCCACCATGTTTGGACAAATATCGATGTGTTGGCAATACATTCCCTGGAAAACACGGCCCGTTTAAATAATATCACACTGTTGTTTCTGTATATATACGGTAACCGTTACCGTATACATAATATATATATATATATATGTATACACATAAGAATAATAGTAGTAATAACAATAATACAATGAGAATGCTAGCAATAATAATAACGTGTGTTTATAACATCTAATTAGATTCCCATATTTATTGGTTGGCGTTGGCATCTTTGCGAGTACCCGCCCACAATTCATCACTGTCCACTTCGATCAGCCAAGGAGCTACTTGCCAACATTGCTATGCCGAGGTTTTCTCTAAAATCTTCCACCTCAAAGTTACAACTGGATGTGCATTCCACTTATGTAGTGGTACAAAGTGGGGCCCCCAAACGATAGCTAAGTTGGGTTGTAACTATTTTTTGTATGGTTTATGATACATATCTATGGGAACTATAGTTATCTATGGTTCATGGGGGGCCACCTTGTACCCATATATGTTTCTTTATATATCTACACATACACTGTAATTCATATATCATCCATATATAACAGAAGTATTCATATGGTTCTTACATTCATTACCCACCGGATCAAACTGGGATGCAACCCCAAGTGGGTTAATTTGCCAGAAACATTGACTGAAAACAGTGAAGTCAATGTGTTTATCCCACAACTGCTGAAATTGAAGAACTGCAGACTGAATCCTTGGGGAAAGCAATGATGCAGGGCCAGTGGCCCCGTGGCATATTCTTTTGGACATCCTTTATGTGACTCGCAGCCACAGATCACCAAGACAACATGTTCAATAACTATGTCGAAGCAATCAATGTCTGAAACCGTCAAAAAAGTCTGCACATGATGCCATGCTGGCCCCATGTTTGGATGTACGTACACTCTGGTAAACAAACATAACTATGGAAAATCACCATTTTTGATGGGTAAATCAACTATAAATGGCCATGTTCAATAGCTTTTTGTATGTTTACCACAGGGTAGTTTTTTTTTGATACACTTGGTGCCCCTGCGCCCCTGGCCATCGTTGGCTAAAGCACAATCCCCTGTGAAACCATGTACGATTTTTCACATGATCAATGTGGCAAACCTAATAAGCCATCCCCAATAGAGTCAATAGAGGTCTGGTTGGTGGTTGACCTACCATTGTGGTTAATATACTGTTAATAATGGTTAATATTAATGGTTATTATATGGTTAATGATAATCTGGTTGGTGGTTGACCTACCCCTCTGAAAAATGATGGAGTAAAAGTCAGTTGGGAGTATGAACTTCCCAACTGAATGGAAAGTCATAAAATTCCATGGTTCCAGTCACCACCAACCAGAGGTTTATTATGGGATATATTAGGATTATTTAAAACGACCTCCAAATAGTTGGTCATGGGATAGTTTATGGCAGATCCCACATTCCCGTCTCACATCCCTCATCTTTCTTATCTTCCAGTTTCTACATTAAACCAGATGGAACCCATATTAAACCATATTAAAACCACATTAAACCACATTGAATCACATGAGACCCATATGAAATCCATATCAAACCCACATGGAAAACCATGATTTATGGCACCTACAAACACAACTCCCACGTTCCAACCGACCGAATCCACTACGAATCCAGGTCACAAAGTCGTCCAGGTACATCAGCAACAAAGAAAACCTCGCGGCCGCATGCGCTGCTTGGCTACGTTGCTCTTGAGATGGGGTTTACCTCCAATTTGTTTCCCCTAAAAAAACATGTTTTTTTTTATAGGGAAATGAATCATGTTTTTTTTTGGGTGGAAAAATTGAAATGAATGAACATGATGATTCACCAATTTAGGGGTATATGTTCAAACAATGCTCATATCAAGTAGGGTTTGATTTAGTTTGGAAAATGATGGAAAACTATAATATCTTAGTATTTTGTTTGTAGACTTTGTTTGGGGGGGCCGGTTTAGCGGATCCATCTACAGAATCATCTTTACCCACGATGGGAAAAATGCGTGTGTTGGACCCGCTGAGAGCCCCAAAACGATGTGGTAAGATGTGGTAAGCAAGAAAAAAACAGAAATATATATATATATACTTGTTTTTTGTATGTGCTCCAAATCCTAGTTCTGGTCAAATTGTGATGGTTCATGGTTTTGGGATTTCCTATTACATGAATCGTGCTGGTTCTAGTTCAAAGGGATGTAGCAAACAGTTTGGGGCGACCAATGGCTTCACAAAAGGCTTTATTCATTGCTCAACCTTGGTCCATGTTCGACCCTAAACCCAGGAATTGAATCAGTTCTGCTCCAGCAAATATAGCAATGCTCCAGCTTGGTGCTATGGGTGCTGACATGGACAAAAACTGAGCGCTGCATGCTGAATGATGTGAATGCGAATAAATCACCAAAGTACTCGTCACAATTTCAGAGCGCATGCAGCTGCATACAATCCAATGACAACATCTGCACATGTGCCTGCTACTGCAATGATCATAATCACGATGATTTTCCCTATAATGACTAGTGGCACCAATTGTCTTCTTGTCACGTTCTATTGAATATTGGATTCAATCATTATCAACAGGATATTCCTGAGATTGAGTACATATCAGATTATAGGAGATGATAGGTATATCGTATCGTGATTGATCGTGATTGAAAGGGTATTCCCTACTCACTGGTCATCCTCTAGTTCTTGAATATCTCCATCATTATAGGATACCCTCTGGTGAACTAACATAGCAATGGAAAATCACCATTCTATAGCTGGGAAAATCCACGATTTCTATAGCCATTTTCCATAGCTTTTTGTATGTTCACCAGAGGGTACAACCAAACCCAGAGGATCCATGTATGGAATATTTACCTACATTGACCCCTAAAGTAATTTAAAATAATCTCAATGTAGGTAAATATTCCATACATGGATCCTTAGGGAAATAAACGTATCTCCCAATCCCATCAGTGCTATAGATATCACACCGTATGGCATCTGTATGGCAGGATCCATGGCCACTGTCTGAGGCTTGCTACGGCTGGGCTAACCCCCGAGTCACGTCATTGGTTAAGCCCAGTCGTACTTCCGTTCAGAAGCTACGGCTGAATCCCTAGGGATCATAGTTATTACCATATTAATTGTTACAGTAACCATATCATTAACAAAGCCATAGCTATAACCATCGTTATAACCATAAAAAATACCGCGTTGACTACTGGATACTATATTAGTTACTAGATTATAACGATTGGATCCATAGGGATAGATATCATCTCCATAATCCCACCCGGTCACCCGGTGATCCCAGATCCCAGAAGCATGGCCGCTGGAAAGGCAAAGAGGGTGGAGCGAAGCGCCACAGAGCCGTCCAGACGAAAGATCGTGGAGAACAGCCAATCTTCATTGTAGTCAATCATCCTGACCCATGACGGATCCATGTTCAATGGGAATTTCAGGATCCTAAAATGGAGGTACGTTAGTACCATATAAGGGCATATTTTCTAGGGATATTCCCTTACATAGGCCTTACATAGGCCTTATATATGGTAGGTACCTCCAATTTAGGTTCCTGAAATTCCCATTGACATGATACTGCTATATATGGTGTGCCATGGATCCGGATCTGGGGATCTTCTGGAATTTTTCGAAGCAAAATCCCCAGTCGATTCCCCAGTCCTCACCATGGATTGAAAAATACGAACCAGGTCATGGTCGATTTCTGGATGATGACCCATGGGGTAGCCCTAATTTAGGACATCTCCGTATAGATGGAGGATGGGTACCCTCTGGTTATTTAACATAGATAGCCATGGAAAATCCCTTTATAAATGGAGGTTTTAATGGGAAAATCATCTATAAATGGGCTGTTTCCCATGGCTATGTTTAATAACCAGAGGGTAAATGAAAAAACTACAGGGCAAAGGCCCCCTGAGCTTGTTTGAGCTGGTTTACAAGTCCATCTAAGTCTAAGTATTATAGATGCGTCATGATTCAGCAGACATCCTGGTTAGCCGAGTTAGGAAGTAAGTCAACTGACTAGGTAGGGGCCCTTCATAGATGATTCACTGGATATGGAGATGGTTAGTAGTTCCTACATGTACATTCGGTACATTAGCGTGTACATGATATATGTGTATATTGTATGCATGTGTATATTGAAATTCACAAGCTGGCGCGGATATTCATGATACTTTTCATATGGTCATCTAATTTCAGTCAGCGAAAATGGGGAGTTTAACTACGAAAAAATGATGGTCTGGTTTGTTTTTGAGAAGTTAACGCTATACATCATTATACATCACCATCCCATCGGCGGAGAACACCTACCATCGAGAAGTTCCGACGTTCGAGACATGTGATATTCACCAAGCCTCGAAGCGTGAAACGCGTCTCCGACTTTGGCACTGTGGAACTGGAACCGTGCCGTGCCGTCGCCGCGTTTGAACCACTGTGGAGAAGCGGAGTTGGGCCATGAGGTGCCACTGTGGAGTCGGCGTTGTACCAAATCCTGAGGGAACGTACCTGTATCCTGTACTCTAATTTAAAGAACCCCAATGTTGCCACTGCAGGGTGTAAACTGTTGCATAAATGCAGGGTTCACCATTGACTCATGTTTGTTTGAAGCAAAACCAGTGGTGTACCCAGTGATTTTGGACGCACAGATTGATGAAGAATATGAATAAGCTTGGCTCCCATTCATTGTCCAATCCAACCCACGATTCTGGCGAAATTCTACGAGTTCACGCTTCACCAAACAAAACTGAAACCATTCTAGGTGGTTCCCCCGAATTACAGTGACATTGTGGTGAGGCTACAGCCGAATCATATCTGATAGTTCCTGAAATATCTGCAGTGTCCCGCGAAGGCCACCAGGGTCACCATATCCAAATCCAATGGTACAATCCATTCATCACCCATAGGATCCATGGTGCTGCTATATATGGTAACATTTACCATCAATATACCCCCCCAATGTTAGCATATATACCATACATGGATCCTATGGGTCATGGCTACTTCTAGATATGCTTCATCTACCCTCCGAAAATCTCATTCATCTAAAACCTATCTTCCGATCAATTTTCCGGTAGCACCATGGATATAGCACCTCCCAAAAAGATGTAAGTTTCAAAGAAACGTCGGTGAAATCCGACCTTCAAATAGTGGTAACTTCCGATTGAAAATCAAGGATGTCACCATTTTCTTGGAAAATTATCCACCTATTTCAATGAAAGTCCCTTAAAATAGTGGATGTTCATAGTTGTAATATGTTGTAATCTAAGGGGAAGCATCTCCAGCCATCGACAACAAGGCCCACGCAGTTTGGGTCGTCTCCAGCCATCGCCTCATCCTCATGAGATTCCATGAGATCCAAAAATTCAGACAAGAGGTAGGCAGGTACCTGTCACCAACGACACCGTCGAGGACATGTCAAAAACATGGCCATCAACGAAAGCTTGTGTGTACATATATATATACTTCCTGGTAGTATCATCATTACATTTCAATACATAGTATTATCATTATTATCATTATGATTATTATGGTTTAGTTGTTATTATTGCTATATATCATTATTTTTTTGTTATTATTATTATTAGTAGTAGTATTAATTGCTATTATTATTTACTATTGTTTTCAAAAAAATATTCTTATATATACAACTATTATAATTATGATTTAATTAATATTGATTTCTTATGAATATTATTTATTTGTTTGTTGTTATTGAATTATATATATATATCATCATCCTGGATATCATCATCCTGAAGTAGTGACTATGATTTTCGCAAATATTCCCTATGTTAGCGAGGTTTGTTTGAACACTCCATATTCTATCTACTCCAGGATAGCTATATATGTACATAAATTGGGATATGTACATATGTTGGGATATGTGTATATGTTCATATGTAAATAGTTGTGATTATTCATAAAATGCGACATGGGGATCTACATATTAGACATATATATATACTTAATAATATATATATATACTTAATAATATATATATATATATATTGATATTTATTATTATTATACATATCCCATAGGATCCATGTAGGGTACATATGCTAACATGTGGTGTATATTGATGGTAAATGTTACCATATATGGCATACATGGATCCTATGGGTATGTATATATATATTATATTATATATAATAATAATTATATTGTATATATATATTATATTATATATATATTATATTATATTATATATATATTATATTATATATATTATATCATATATTTATATTATATTATATATATATACATGCGTGCATCCATCAAGTATATCATGGCCTGAAAGCAACAAATAAAATGATGCATGGCCGAAGCGTAAGTGTAGAGCGAAAACAGGCAAAAATACAAATCATCATCCATCTACGTGCCATTCTAGGTCTATGTGGTCCTTTTCTCTGGAAGAATTATAATCAATATACAATACCATTGATAATTTCACCAGAATTGAATAGTCCAAGAAAAACATTGGAAGTGAACCACAAGTAACTAGTATCAGTATCATAACATGTAACACCATGGTTACCATAAATAATGCTAGCATAGTACCATTTTCAATATTTAACCCTCTGGTAAACTAACATAACTATGGAAAATCACAATTTTTAATGGGACAATCAACGATTTCTATGGCCATTTTCAATAGCTATGTAACAAATTACCAGAGAGTAAACTCAGAAAATGATGGTTAGTACAGGGTAACTATCCCCAAATGGCCATAGGTACGGGTTGGAAAATGATGGTTGGTATCATATGTGGTCCAACCCTGAACAACATGCAAGTCTTTGGGGATACGAGACCAGCGGCCACCGATGCCGGCGCGCACGTAGCGGAGCATGTCAGCGGCCAGTTTGAAGAGACTGGCCGGAAGCATCCTGAGACCCAAACTGACTGCAAAAATGAGAATTTACCCTCATATATCATATTATATCATATTATATCATATTGTATTATATTATATTATATTGTATTATATTATATTATATCATATAAAATTAAATTGTATTATATTATACTATATTGTATTGTATTATATTATATTATATTATATTATATTATATTATATTATATATATTATATATATTATATATTATATATATATATATATTTATATATATTATTATATTATATAGTATTATATTATATACATATAATTATACATACATGTATTACAATAAATTATATACCTAGATAGGTGTTGCGTACAAAAAAGTGCCGGATTCCCAAACGGCGTCTTTTTTTGACGTAGCCCGGAAGAATTTTTGACGCAGGACATCCAAAAATGACGTTGCCAAAGGTCAATGGTTGTGAGGGCTGTGGAACTATGGCTCACCATGCATACGCTTGACTGACAAAGAGGTGGTCCCAATACCCTGAACAGTACAAAACTCCTTTTCTCCATGGATTCTGCAAGTCCATGAGCAGCAAAAATAGTGGGAAATGAATTCTGTCATGGTTTCGGGAAATTACGCCGTAATGTTTGGGAATTACGACGGCAACTTTTGGTGATGTTTCCTTTAGTTTTTTTTTCTGGAAAACAATAAAAAAGAAACCGAACCTAGGTTCCAAGCCATCGCACAAATTTAAGTGCACATCTTTGCCTTTAGGCCCCAACGTGGTCCACACATACCGATGAAAATGACGTAGCCCAAAAAATGATTACGATGTCGCTCCTGGAATTACGCCGTAGCATGGAAAAAAAAACGCCTTTTGGCATAAAAGTGCCGCCATTGCATTTCTAGGTGTATATATATATAATATTATACTATATTATATATATAGTTGTATATATTATATATTGTAATACATATATATATATCATATTATATCATATCATATTGTATTATATTATATTATATCATATTATATTATATTATATTATATTATATATATATTATGTATATATGTCTATATATCTGTATACAGCCAAATATGGTACATATACCACCATACATATCCAAACATTGATATTCTCAAAACACCCAATTGACCCTCGAGATTCGAGAGTTACAACAATCATCCAAAACTGTGGATTTAAAATGATTCATCCAAAGGTTTGGAGATTCCATGGTGGTTTCACTATCAACAAAAGCGGCAAAAATCATTGGGACAAACCGGATTTTCCTTCGTTGTGATTCTGCCCTTTTCAAGGGTGAGTCTTCTGTGTCGAAAATTGAGAACTCTCATCTTCAGCTCAAGGTGAAAGCCGCTCCTAGAATGGTCACTCCCTAGTTGAGTCACTGAATTTCCAATTTGAAAGAAAATTGTAGCCTTGGTTGCATCATCGCGTGTGCAACAGAAAAACAACACTATTTTTGATATTGGTCTTGAGTCAACAGAAATTCGTGTAGGTTCTTGATTCCCCATCCAAAAAACATATAGCAGTACTTTTCAGTTTGTATTTGTGAACAGTCCATGTTTGCGGGTGATATTCTTAGTTGTACAGGCTCTGATGGCTAGTCTCAAATTCCATTTTCCTTGCTCCATATGTACTTCCTTTGATGGCGGAAAAACACATAAAAAACATCACTGAACTACAGTACCCCAGGTTGACGCTTTCCTCGCTTGGATTTGTCTGAAGAAACCAGGTACCTTGCGGTACCCTGATGATTCTTGTGTTCCCAAGACTAGGTCACTGGCCATTTCAGGAACCTAAATTGGAGGTACCTACCATATATAAGGCCTAGTTTTGAGGACTATTTTTTAGGGAATATCCCCAGGAAATATGGCCTGAAAAATGGTACTAACGTATATACCTCCATTTTAGGATCCTGAAATTCCCAAGATCAAAACCCATCATTTCCCGGGGGAAGAATCCTCCATCGCTATGACGTCTTGGGTACCATCGCTACCAGCCATATTTTGACCAACCATTTTCTGGTTAGTCAGTTGGGAATATGAACTTCCCAATATATGGGACATAAAAAATGTTCCAAACCACCAACCAGTTTTGGTTTCTTTCCCCATCGCCAAACCACATGCAATCTGTGGCCATACCAGTTCTAAACCAGTAAAAAACCTATCTGGTTGGTGAGGCACTGGAAAAAATATGGTGGGGAACCATCATAGGTTTGGAACTCAACGGGCCATGGCTTCCCAAAACTTGTGGAGTACCGGCGACCACCAATTTTTGTAACACACAACCGACCATGTTTTCACAGCTCGACCGATGACATGTTTCAACAAGCAACTGAGGCCAATAAGCGGACCACAGCACTCTGACAAGCTTGGGCAAGCCTCAGGTCGAAGGGAACAAAACTGGTTGATGGTTTCAATCCGTCGCTGAAAATGATGGTGGATTGAGGGAATGATCCCTTAAAAAGGGCAAATATGGTTTACTGTATTTTACACTTTTACCATATGTGTGAATAACCTTCAAACCATCCCTCAATATATTGATCAATTTGGATCATCGCACGTAGGACAAAAACATCTTTGAAACCACTGACCTATCTAGGGGGCCCGTTCCTGTATGTGCATGTTGAGGGCATACAACCTGCAAAACTTTGAAATCAGCCAAGCAAAATGAGTAGTGTCTGGTTTGCAATCTGGTGTAAAGGGTTCAACTTCTTGACAGGTATAGAATCTTAAGAAATGGAGTGCCAGTCAACAAGAATAACGAAATGAACAGCAATCTTCCATCCCACAAGCTTGGATGGAAGCAACGTTTATTGAGTAGGCTAACTAGGGACTATGGTAGATATATATATATATATGTATGATTCTACATGTCTATACGCTTCAATATGGTTCATGGTGGTTGCAATCCAACTTATCACCATGTTCATTTGTGAAATAGCCGCCGATATCCCTCGAAAAATCTTTATAGCAGTCCCGAAAAAGATACATAAGGAAAATCCTACTGAAAAAATTGAAACTCGGATTTGGATCTTTTGGGGTTTTACTTGGTTTTTCATAGGTTCATGATCCCCCAAACCGTTGTTGATGCTGTTGCTTGGTGATTGGCTCAACTCGGATGATGCCCGATTTTAAAGGAGGAGTTCACCCCCAAAAATTATTGCCTACAGTATATACAACTGAGATATCTTGGGGAATATGTATTGTACTTACAGTATATATATAGTATAGGTGATGATCCCAATAAATGACCGGGATATACGGATATCATTAATTAACTTGTATCTGTATGTATATATATACATATATATATATATATATTGGGATGAAATTCATAGTTGATTCAAGCGAATCTCTTTGAAATCATCATCCTGATAGGGAAATGTTTCACAAATCGTCCATGGTATTTTTTTCGGCATCATCCAACGTGACGTGCTCAGCCCAGTTGTGAGTTGGTTTACAGTTTATAACCTCATCTATTTAGTTTGATATCTCCGCGACAAAAATCGATTTGTGATTGCAGTTGTATAAACCAGCTTACCATCACGAATTCACCATAATTCCATATAATTCCCCATGTGTTGTCATTCAACTAGAGATTAAATCTCTTTGTTGATACCTTCAATTCACCCATCTTCAGGGTAAAGTTGGTATAAACATACAATGTGCCCCCCCCCAGTGATGTTAGTTGGTTTAGATTCGCCCCAGTAACTATACTTATAAGTTATAAGTACCATAAACCATAGTTATTGGAGTTATAAACCAACTTAGCTATCGTAAACGGGGGCCTCACATTGTAGTTGTCTTCTATAAAAACTCAAGGCATCAACAGATCGCAGACCGGAAGCCACGTTCCGTCGTGAGAGTCTGGGACCTCTCCTTCCTAGGCTGGGGTACAATGGGTACAAGGTGGCCAGGATGTTCCTAGGTGAAACCTAGGGTTTATGGTAACTATAATATGTAGTTATAACAATAGTATATTATCTGGTTGGTGGTTGACCTACCCCTCTGAAAAATATTAGTCAATGGGAAGGATTATCCCATATATTATGGAACATAAAACATGTTTGAGACCACCAACCAGCTGTAGTATATTATATAGTTATATAATATTTTTCGATACTTCGATGGGGCCTTTCAACCAACAGACATAACTGAGGGGGCCCACTTTGCGCTCCAATCCTATTGACCAACCATTTGGGCTTCACTCTACATTATCCCGTATAGGGTGGACACTCTACCCGATCAACCACAAAACTACCAACGCCTGAATCACCCACCACCCGTCTATATTCACGTTGGTTTTTGAAAAAGCCTCCTTTGAAATATCAGTCACTAAACGTCATCCCATGTAGGATAGGAAACAACAAAAAAATGAAACCAACAGCAGGATTGATAAAGACTATAACTATAATTGTACAATGGTACATATATCATATATAATTACCCATATCACATGCCACGTTGTTGTTTTACAGTAAATATTTAAATCAAAACCATAATTATGTTGGTTGAATCAACCACCCAGATACCCAACATCCCTTTGATTCTCTGGTGAACCAATTCACAGCGAATTTTCCACCAAGCTTCAACTTCTCTTGAAGCAGTGCATCTGCAGCAACCACATCCACCTCTGCATGTAGGCAGCATGCAGTAGGCACAACTGCCTATCTGCATTGTTTGAGAAGTTAGGGATGGCTCCAACCGCTGCTGAAACTTACATGATAGGCATGTATCAAAATTCTGAAACATGAAATTCAATGGTCTATCATGGTCTTTAATCTTTCTTGTGAACATCGTGAAACATGGACATATCTAGGGATCTCCAGGGCTATCCACTATTAGACAAACAACATCAAACCCATGCCTATTGATGTCCATTGGCTTCCAGCTGATGAGGCGAGAACAGTTTTTGGCCGTTGCGAGAAACACCATAACTATCATAACTCCATGATCGACGTTTTTTTCCAACACATTGCCATTTTTATTGGAGTATTTACCTTACTGATCCCAGTCATCACATTCGTAATTAGTCATCATCCCATGCAACCCCCAGCAACCCATGCAGCAACCCTGCGTTTTATACGCACCAGTACTTGGTGGCTCATCCCACTTAGTAAGTGGCTTATAACCCCAGTTCTAAATGGGATAAGTAGGGTTAATCCACTTGTAATTGGGGTGAACTAAGCCACTTACGAGCAGTGGGATGAGCCACCAAGTAAGGTAAGATTTACTCCACATCTTCGGAACATTTCGCCAGTCGAATGGAAGGCCTCACATCTCCAGAGATCCTCCAGTTCAAGGCCCTTGGACACCAGCGGTCCAAGCCTGACCACTAATAGAAATTTCGTATAGAAAGATCTGGAAAAGCCAGGGGATCGGAAAGGCCATTCGGAACAATTTTCTGAACATGATCGATACGATTCATACCTTAATGGTGGCTGTTCCATATCTATGTCTGCAGGGAGAATTTATCGCTCAAGCTTACCTTCTTACCTCGCTCAGACACAACGCACATTCGCGAGGGCCTGCTCCTTAGTCCTTTCAACCAGCGGAGACTTCGGGGTCCCATCAAACAACTGTTGAGAAGCCGACGGCTGAAGCAACTACTGACGGGGATTCGGGATGTTATTGATTGGCTGAATTAGCAGCTGCTTCATCAGCTCATATCCCCACCGATGTTATTTATTGGCTGAATTAGCAGCTGTTTTTTGCAGCTCATATCCCCACCGATTGAAAATCACATGCAGTATATCTACTGGGTGCACCATCAATCGGATAAACAAATCACCATCTGAAATCTGGCCATCTCATTCCGGGGATCGAAAAACATCCAGCACCACAATTTTAAAAGACCATCCAAAAACTGAGATTTCCCAAAGCAGTGTTATGAGAAACCAACCAACCGTGAAGTCGTTCTAAAATTCTTCTAATTGGCCCAGAGATATGCACCAATCTCCTTCAAAGGATGGTCCAACTGGATGTAACTGGCGCATGATCCAGAAAAAGTGAAGCTCCACAGTAATATATTTACGCTCTAGTTAAAAAAAAGACAGCAACTTACAATGACTTCCGGTAACTTAGATATGTATAGATATGTCAGTTTGTATACTCCATATACTCGATATGCAAGCTGTATCTACTAGGGGCTTCACTTTGTGGCGCCGATGCCTCGGCTTTATCCCCTTTTACAACCCCTCATTCCTCCCCCTTTCATAGCTAATCTGCAAAAAATAAAAATCTGGTTGGTGGTTTCAATCCCTCTGAAACATATAAAAGTCAGTTGGGAGTATTATTCCCAATATATGGAAAACGAAAAAATGTTCCACACCACCAACCAGAAAATGTGTGGTCGTGGTGTGTGTTTAGCCTGTCAGAAAATAACGGATATCTCCATCAAGACGGCAAAAGACCAAGTTGTACCTTTGCAACTGCTGGCTATAGGCCTATGCGAGCGATAAGCGGAGAATCACCATGTTTTACCCCAGTTATGAATGGAATGTTCCCGCATATATGGTGGTGGATTATGTAGTTTCATGTTTTAAACGTTCCCTAAGCTCCCACTTACCTCTGAGATGGGTAACAAGATGTAACCAGGGTGATCTTACCTGATGAGAACTTCTGGTTGCTTACTTGATAGGTTTGCCTGAAAGGTACAATGTGAGGCCCCCGTTTACGATAGCTAAGTTGGTGAACATAACTCCGATTTCACTATGGTAAAACTGGTACGCAAATAACGAACTAGTTACTGGGGCGAATCTAATATAACTGGGGGGGCACATTGTAAGGATGGAGAGAATTTTATTTTTTCACCACTTCTGTGATGCACATTTTCAGCCCGGCTGCCGCCTGCGAAAGAGAAGGTCCCGGCTTCGCTGGAAGCGCTGGAACGTTCCACGAGGGCTGCGGAGATTTCGGGCACCCAGGAGGGGCTCATCCATGGCGAAATCATAGTGCAAATCCAATGGCAGGGATCTTTGGTAGATGGGGTACCCTCTGGTAATTTAGCATAGCTATTGAAAATGGTCATTTATAGTGGATTTACCAGAGGGTATATATGTTTGATGGATACTTGATGCATACTTGATGGATTTCTGATGGATTTCTGATGGATTTCTGGTATGTTTGGGCTGCATTTCGCAGGTCCTAAGTCATCCGATTCAGCACCAACTGATGCGGCCGTGGAAAGAATAGATTCAGCATTATGAAAGTTACAACCATGATGACCAATTCATCAACGCCTCTATCTTAATTGGAAGTGAAGTGTCATGATTAGTCATGTTCATGTTGTTGTGTCTGTCTTTCCAAGGCCATTTGAAGGCAAGTGGGTATAAGGCTTCAGTTCACCGTCATCTGAAGATGACTTTTTACCTTTGAACATTGCAAATGATTGGAAGTTTTGCAGTGGTTGGCTAGTGAGCCTCCCATTCAGAAACAAGAATACGCAGCCCGGTCGTCAATTCGGATCCAATGATATATGTTTCGCTATATATGCTCGTCACTTGGGATTACCATCTTTGTTTATATATGGATTCAAAGACTACCCTCTGTCAATCAAACATGACGTGATTGAACATTCCCCAGATGATGTTCCAGGGGACTTCCGTGGCGACCATGTTTTTTCGCATCCCGCAAAGCAAACAGGCCCATGATGCCATGGGATACATTCCATGGGGCTGTGAGCGGCCCGCTGATTTGGGAGATTCTTCATTTTTGCGGACAAGACCTTAACGGCCTTAACGTCTTCATGGGCTATCAGGTCACTCAGAACAAGCCGTTGGCGGGGATCAAATTACCGTTTTTTTTTTCTTGCTAAAACCAATTGACATCTGACCGAACCGAGGGCTGCTTGGGCCGCTTGGGCTTGGGCCATGCAGATTTTTTCACAACACCTACCAGCCTACCAGCGAATTTTGAGGCTGCCTGAGCCTTTTTACATCCTCATTTCATTGGGATTCTAACCATCCCTTGCTGCTGGAACTCTGCGAAAATTTTTAGGAACGTGATACAAGGCTTCCCCCTAATATCAAATATACACAAATGGTGAACAAATCACATACTAAACCAGGCTTTCGTTTGAGGAGTATTTGATAATCCTTACTGGGGATCCCATCTCACAGCGCCCGGAGCGTGTCACGCGTGACGCTTTTTTTTGAATTCAGGGTCCATGCGGTCGTTGATGCCTTTCGTGTCAGCTGTCAGCCAGGTCATTCTTTGGGACACCTTGCAGGGGGATGACTTTCTCGAAAGGTAGCAGAAAAAACGATTGGTTTATATGGCAAAATCATCCAAAATCTATAGGACTCCCCAAAAGAAGTAAAAGTAGAGTCCTACCAGAATAGTGATAAATCATGATAAGTCATTGTTCTATCTTTTTGGGGTTACGAAACATTGAACCCATGTTTTTTTTCATACCAAAATGTCAGGTTTTTGTACCGATATCAACCAGCTGGATGAAGGTTTGAAGGTTTGAAAATGCCTGAGATCAAGGTTTGAAAATGGTTGAAAACATATCCCAGATGCTCCATGTATGGAATATTTACCAACATTTGCCCTAAAAATCACCCAAATGTAGGTAAATATTCCATACATGGAGCATCTGGGATATGGAAAACCCTTTCTTTCAACTGGAAATGATTCGTCCAGCTGGTGGAACATCCCTTGGAAACATTCCGGGACATGATTCGTACAGCTGGTGGGTTTTTGATATCGATGTTGGTGTACGTAACTCGTAACCATTTGCGATCATGGGAATGCGTCTATGAAAACTGGACATGGGTTTGTGCAAACATGGTGGAATTATTGCCCAATTTATGGCAATCTTCTTGAGAAATGTGTGTAACCAGATCTTCAGTAATATCATGTAATATCAGTAAATATCCCATATGGGCAAGTGTCACATATTTTAATATTGGTCACATATTTTAAGTGTGTGACTAACTCAAGTGTCACTTATATCCCTCCCAAATGTTTGGTAATATCCCATATGGTTTCGTCTTTTAAACAAAAGTAGCCCATGTTCATTGGATGCCTCAGAGCCTGTGTCTCATGATTTCCAACGGAAAATCACCTGCGTTTCTTGCAACCGGCCTATAGATAAGTTGTGCGAAGTTGACGCCCCATCACTTAGTTAAGACATGTTAAGACTCAGTTCACTGCTGGGTCTATGGTGGATATAGCTAGAGTTTTTCTGGGTTCACCACGAATCCTCACCTCCGAATAGAGTTTGGACCACAGTCGATCCAGTTGTCCAACCTTCACCCTGTGCTTTCGCTGGAGGCCCGGGAGGGCAACCACGCCTGGATCATCTGGATCCCATGAGTCTCAGGTCATGAATTGATCATGCTGAATCTTCGATGCCAACAAAATCTCATACCCATGACGGATCCATGGTGCTGCTATATATGGTAACATTTATACCATCAATATACCCCAGTCATGTTAGCATTTTTCTACCAGCACCATGGGTCCGTCATGGGATATGTTAAGCGCATGACAATAGCTGCTGAATGGACATGACGCAAAAGATTTCGAAGTACGAGTTCGTAACCAATGTTGACCCAGCGATGGCGATCTGCTGGTTGAGTCACCATGCAAATTGATGCCCAAATTATCCAAATTGGAGGTTTCCAGTTTCAACAGGGTGGATTCAACATGATTTTCAGCAAAAGGCTGTCCAAAGGTCACAGTTTCCGCTACCTCAGAAATCATATAAAACAATCCCATATGCTCCATGTATGCAATATTTACCAACATTTGCCCTAAAAATAACCCAGTTTTGTAGGTATATAAATATACCATACATGGAGCATATGGGAATTGAAAAGTGTTCAACTCCCCAACGTCGTTTCTCTTGATCCTGGCTAAGTTGCTAAGAGCCGGATCCGGGAGAACGGAGTTTGATCCTAGTGGGTCCTAGTGAACATGGACAAAAAAACATGATTCTGACAATCCTCAACATGAAAAATCATCTGTTATCAATGTTTTCCGCATATTGTTGCTGGTTAAACATCATATATAAATGATGGTTTCATCTGTAGTTCGGATTCAACATGAAAAAACATATAATATATACATCAATGTTGAAAACATTCTTATAAATATCATTAAATATCTATACCCTCTGGTAATTTGTTACATAGCTATTGAAAATGGCAATTTATAGCTGATTTACCTATTAAAATTATTAAAGATGGTGATTTTCCAGTTCGCTATGTTAGTTTACCAGAGGGTAAATGATGGTGGATATGTCTTTACCCTCTGGTAAACATACAAGAAACTATTGGAAAATCACCATGTTCAATGGGAAAATCCACTATGAATGGCCATTTTCAATAGCTATTTTGACATAACCAGAGGGTAAATGATGTCAATCTGATTGCTGTGGCAGCCTGGCAATCTACGTTGACATCCCATCGCTGGGTACAAAACAAGCCACCTGGGACCTAGGATCTGCCGTTCGGCCTGGCAGCCAGCTCTGTCGATAAACGTGGATAACAATGCATATATAAAAAAATGGATATTGGTGTGTACCTGAAATGAGTGGATATATATATATACAAATAATATATATATATATAGATATATATATATAATACAATGGATATATATATGGGTATGTCTCAAAATACCGTGTCCAACCCGGGAAGTTTGACTAGGGGGTATGATTCGTGGGTATGATTCGGGGTATGATTCGTGGGTATGATTCGTGGGTATGATTCGCGGACCTTGATTTAGTGTTTCCCTGCATTCTCCGCGTATGGTTATGTACCCGCACTTACCCCGAAAATGTTTCAACTGTTGGCAAGTATACCATACGTGGAGCGCTTTGGAGCTGGCATGCTGTTGACGCTGTGCGTGCTGGATCCTGCCGTCCCTATTCTTAGTTAGGAAGTAGCGGCAGTATAGCTAGGGATGGATATAGAATGGATATTAATCATGTGGATATGAACATGGTAAATTCTACGTAAACTATAACTGTTTATAATGGTTAATATCAATGGTTATTATATGTTTCATGATGGTTAATAATGTTCTGGTTGGTGGTATACCTACCCCTCTGAAAAATGATGGAGTTAAAGTCAGTTGGGAGTATGAAATTCCCAATATGTGGAAAAAAAAATCCAAATGTTCCAAACCACCAACCAGCTACAGTATGAAACTGGATGATTTGGGGGTAGCCCTATTTTAGGACACACCCATATCCCAGGAACAATACTGTTTTGAGGCTGCCACAGGCCACTTTCTTGGTTTCAAGGGAATATCTATATAGCACCCCCCAAAAATGGAAACGTAAAATCCAACTCAAATACTGCTAAATTACTAAGATCTGTTTTTGGAGGGTGGTATGTACTACTTGGCAGTTTTCTAAAATTTGAAGAATCTCAGTCAGTTGGGATAATCCTCCCAAATAGGCTTGAAATGTTATTCTCACATTCACGAAACCAGCAACCAAATGTAGTGTTTTTTACTCCTGTCGAAAAATCCCTTGTCCACTCCAATTTCGCTGTTTTGAGGACGCAACCGGCCAAATTTCAGGGAGGCTTAAAGGGGGTTGGAGGATTTCCACCTTCCTCGGTGGAACTCCTTCTGAGGCCTGGCAGCTGCCAGATTGGAGATGATCATGACATAACTTATTACCCTCTGGTTATGTCAAAATAGCTATTGCAAATGGCCATTTATAGTGGATTTTCCCATCAAAAATGATGATTTTCCATACTTATGTTAGTTTACCAGAGGGTACATGGAAATGATATTGTGATATATCCTTACTGTGGACATATCCAATTAAGTTATGCTCTATATCCAATTGTTATGCGAACTTACATCACTTGCAAAACTGATGATAGTTTGACCATGGTTTAAGCAACTACATGAGGGACTCACTTAGGAAGAAATGTCATGTCTGCTCTGCTTGAAAAAAGCATGTGCTTGTGAAAAAAATAGGGGATCCACCCCAATTTAAAGCGATTTGATTGGGGTATGGTGCTTTCAACGATGGGATTTGGAGGTGCACACGTTTAAGACAAACCTGAGACCATCCCGATGGGTGCGGGGAGTTAAGTTTGTTTCGTTCCAAATACATGTGGACACCCTGCAGAACAACACCATTTTTCGCTGGTGAGTTTATTGTTACTGGCAGCCAATGAACCTAGTCACCTAACACTGTGTAACACAGGTCAATCTCAGACTCCCTGTATGTTTTTTTTCTGGCTGGTCAAAATCGAAGAGTTTTCGAAGAGTTTTTTTGTCCCAATCACAATCGCCAAACATTGAGTTCTACTTTTTGAAGTGTCCAAGATTTTCCTGTAGTAGCCATAGGATCCATGTATGCTATATATGGTAACATTTACCATCAATATACCCCCAATGTTAGCGCATATATACCAGCACCATGGATCCTATGGGTAATAATACATAATTGTGATTCCCCATAATCACCAACCGATACCCTATGAATTGTCCAGTAATCTGGTCATGGTGATACTGCGACTGCGGGACCTCTTCCTGGAGCTGATCCGTTCGTTCAGACGACCTCGGAATGCAGCTGGCTGGAACGGGTCTTAATTTGTTGGGTTGGGACCGAAGTGGAACTGGGTGGAACTGGTGAAAGTTGGGACCTCATGACATGACCCAGCACCGAGCAAGTTTTAACCTTGATGGAACGACCAGGCATTTTTAAGCATGGAGAATGGAGAAAACAAGGGGGCCCAAAGGTTAAGCATTTCTCACCACCAAATGAAGTGGGTTTGAATGCGCTGCACCCTGAACACCAACGCTGCGAACGCTCGTAGACCCCGCACATTGGCTGGCAAGATTGCAGCACCTTACTTGCTTAACTTTCGTTCGGAATCTGGACTCATCCACATAAAAGGCAAGACCAAATAGGACCCATTTGCAAGACATATTATATTTGTTGCACCTGCAGTACATTTTTTAGCAATTACAATTATAATCAAGTCAAATTAAGTGTATATATACATTTAAGCACCCATGTTGGTGGCTTCGCTCCGTATTTAAATCTATACCAATCGAACTTGAATCACTGAAAGTCAATGACCCGTTTTGCCCATCATTGAAGTTGTCATAATTCACTCTTAGTCGATGTATCATTGGATCTGTCTAGTATTCAATGGATTGTCAGGGAAAACTCGCAAGGAATCAGGAACCATAGTTTTCAGCCACAAGTAAACACATCTGGGTAAATTATAATATTTCACTAACCTGAATTAAGGCCATTTGGGGATGATTTCCCTTATTAACCATGATTCCAGTGAGGTCGCAGTGAGGTCGTTATAATTTACCCAGACACATATATTTTCTCTACCCTCCGGTAATCAAACGTGGCTTGCTGGAAAATCCCCCTACAAAAATGGAGGTTTATAGCTGGGAAAATCATCAAACGAAATGGGGAATTTTGCATTGCCATGTTTGACTACGAAATGGTATCCAAATTGTCCAAATTGGAGCTTTTCCATTGACAGGGTTGATTAAACATAAGTTCACATACATTATTCAGCATTTACATGCATTTACTCCATGTGCAGGCCATTTTGCCATGATGTTCGCAATTTTCCCATGATTTTCCCATGATTTTCTCATGTTTTTCCCATGATGTTCCCTTTCAAGCCACTTCTGGGCCGCAAGATGACCTGCCCACACTCCGCTCCGAGCGCCCGACGCTGCGAATTGAGCCTGGAACGGTTGCCTTTTTTTCGCTACAAGATGGGTTTATCTGATAATGTCAACCCCGGATTTTGCTAAACCATGGTTTATTGGTTTATTAATGAGGGGGGGTACTCCTCCAATAGTCATTTCATCCAATACTTAAATGGTACCCCCCCAATTAAACAGCTGTTTGGGGTTTATTAATCCAGGGTTGACATTAACGAGCTCAATAGTATGCATGGGGGGTATAAATCAAACATCACTGGGCCCCACCTTGTAAGGGAACCCAGAGCCCATTTTTTGGTCATTTTTTGTCATCTGCCTACCTTCATTTGCATCGACCCTGGAGGCGCAGCACATCAAACGACCGCACCGCTCGCAGCCCCCGTCGTCGCTGATCAGAAAACGGCAAGCCCAGAAATCCAATCTTTTCAGGTCCATCCAGGTGTGTTACGTTCCCCAAAAATGATCAACCATGCATATTCCAGATTCACCTCAAAAGAAAAAGGTGAGTCAAGGTGGATCTCAGTGCTCGGTTCCAGGTGGTTGATATCCTCATTGTTCTTTGACGATTGGTGGTTGATATCCATGGTCGCTTTCCCACAACGACCTTGGAGGTGTTGATTTGCATGGCTGCCATCTTTACCAGCTTTTCAACCAGTTCCTGCCCAAGGGTTTGCGGGCTCGGCTGGGCTTCAAGGGGCCACAGCCTGGTGAAATATGCCAATTCCCTGGGTCATATTGATTTTCATTGATTTTCCCGCTGCGTAGGGCCCAGACATACCCAAGAATCTTGACTATATCATATCCATCAATGGCAAGCTGGGGATATTGTTTCGTTCAATCATCCAGCACAGCTTGGGGGCTCTTTTAAGGGCGGCATTGACATGTTTTTAGATAGAAGAGTATCTAACATGCAGCTCGGAAGTGGGGAAAATAGATGCACCAAGAGTTTATTCAATGTTATTCTACAAAAGGTAACTCTAAGCATGGGCCCATTACATGATATATAGACCATCTGTATGTACTTGCACTCAAGGCTTGACTTGAACACGAGCAAAGTGGAGCTTGTGAAGTCAACCCATCTAAAGTCAAGAAAATTTGCTGTGATCAACAAAACTTTGGATTTGGATGGATTTGGATGGATTTCTGTGACGCACCAGTGGTATATATCCTTTTACCTGATTCTCACCCGTCTTTTTGTGTTGATCCATCTGCAACGCTTCTGTATTTGCCTGGAAAAGCACATGGCGGGGCCACGATCTCGTCCCAAAAAAAAACCTGTTGACAAAGCTTCCACAAACAGCTGTCCTCTTGCGTCTCGCAAATTGCCGTGCCTGACAAACTGCGATGGTCTCCCAAGCTATGTTCATCCCATGAACAGCCCCATGCCAGCCTGGTGGAAATAGAACCCACATGATTTGCATGGTGAATCTTCATGTCCCCCTTAAGAAAGAGCTATGCCTATGAGGCTCTCCCGTAGTTTTTTTCCCCATTTTCAGACACCACATTTTTACACACTCGTATTTCGTGGTAATACGTATACTATACATTGGAATCCCATCGAATTTTTGGGGGTTACCTGCAAAAAAATCTGAGTTTCAGGGTGAAACCCCACGAGCGCCTCGTTCTTCAGGCGTCTGCTGTTGTCGTCTTGGATGCCATGGTGTGACTGAAGAGGTGTAAGCCTACTTAGCCAATTGGGGGATGATTATTTGATCATTACTATGATTATTACTATGATCATTACTATGATTATTACTATATAAATATTTTTCTTAGGGTGATCTATCATTGAAAAATCATGTCCCCGGCTTCCCTTTTTTTGCTTGGGAATATGGGTACCCTAAACGCTCCTAAACGCTCCCTTTCTCCTAAGCACTGGGCCACTTCCTGAGATGATTTCGCTTCAGCACGGCCCCGATCTGGGATGAGAATATTGGCTTTACCTCACATAAATTGAGCCATGAACAAAATACCCTGGTGAATGCTGGGGATAAACAACTATACCTGGTTTACTGAGGATTCTGATGGCCCCCATAGGATTGGGAAACCATTGAAAAAACCAACTAGTATTTCATGAGATGGGATAGGGGTATGTTTAATGGCTCAATTCTTAGTAACTGGTCTCTAATTCCTTGCACATGGGATTTATATTACCAGATATTACCAGTTTGTGGCTGAACTACACATCCCTACATTCCCCAAAACCTGACTGTCAAGTGGGAACATGAGACCCTTTGTTGGATGTGAATGGATGTGAATCAAACAACATTTGACACCACAAGCCAGCTTTCAGTGGCTCTATCCCCATTGTATCCCCATGTTCTGCGAAAACGGTTCATGTTTGCTGGTTACACCTATATATATGTATATATATATATATATATTTATCATAATAATGTATCATACCATATTATATCATATTATATTACAAATTAAGTTCATATAAAATCTAGAATCTATTAATCGATGCGTCTTCTGGTGTTAAACGACTAAAGACATCTCAAAAAAAGATGGTTTCAGCCACTCCACGTGGACTTTCCGGCGCCCTGATTGGCTTCCCTGCATCACGAAGCTGCTGGGTGAACGCAAACAGGGAATGTCCTCTGCTCGAGACGAGGCCTTGGAACAACGGAACGGCCACTGATTTCAACGACGTGGTGAAGTTTGAAATCAAAGAAACCCGGCCACTTTTTGATTTGGAAAAAATTGGAAACATCTTCAACTTTTTGGATGTTCAACCAGATTTGCTTGGAGAGTTTTGGAGAGAAACATCCTGATTTTTCCATACGCTTGAGGAAAAGACACCCGGAATATCTGTGGAAGGGGAAATCCAGTTGACGGGAGTCAAGATGAGTCAAGGCCTGGCTCAGAAGTAAAGCAGGAAACAGCATGCTGAACAGCCACAAAAAACAGCGACTCAATTTACATCTTGGTGACGAAATCTGGATTTAAACAATTTTCACTCTGAAATTTCCAAATCAATATGCATATTATAATGCCCATATGCTCCATGGTGCTAGTATATTTACCTACAAAACTGGGATGATTATTCCCAATATATGGGAAAAAAAACATGTTCCAAACCACCAACCAGATCTGTGTCTCCCCGACGCTAGACACTCGCGTCGGAGGTGTCAAGGGCCAAGTTTGACTCTCTATGAAGTCCTGGGACTTTTTGACACGGTCGCAGCCACTGGTGGATCAAGGAGTTGACAAAAGGACGGTAAGAGATATAACCCATAGGATCCATGTATGGTATATATGCTAACATTTGGGGTATATTGATGGTAAATGTTACGATATATAGCATACATGGATCCTGTGGGTAATGGCAGCTGCATGTGTATACATACATTTATAACTAGATATAAGCTTTATGTCATGGTGTAATAGTTCAGTTGTACAAAAATCACCTAGGAATATCTGCGCGTGTGACCCCAAGAGTCTTATAAAAACTCCCCAAGTGGTGGTGTAGATGATCAATGCCCGTTGCCCTTGTGAAGCCTGGCCATTTATAGCATCCATAAATGCCCTGAACCGCTCCTCTGACCCGGCGAAGGGCCCTGGCAGAACTTTCAGAGCCCAGAGTTTCCGTGCGGAGCAGATTGGTAGTGGGTAAATGTCACCAACAGGTCCCTTTTTTCGAATGTGATAGTTTTCCATTATAATTATTTTCCCATCCAGGTGTCCAACATGTCGATTTTGGGGCTATATAGTGGCTACATCACTGTTCATCTATGAACCAACACCTGGCAGAAAAAATGGCCTATCGGCCTATCCTATCCTAGGTCTACCCGTTCCAAGTCTCCACGGGATCTCATGGTATCTCACTCCATCCCATGAGATCTCGCATGATGCTAACATCATTTTTTGGGGCTAAACCAACCATGTAAACCAAGCATGAAACAGAATGGTTCCCATCGGTTCACTACATCACAATAGTTTAAAAAGTGTGAAGTCAATCATTCAGTGGTTTGCAGTGTGAAGTCGATCATTCAGTAGTGAGACCCTTTGTTTTGGGTTCCCAAATTGCCAAATAATCAAACATTTGGGCAATGTTCAATACACTTTACAAATGTGAAACCTTTTATTGTTTCTACAAAACAATGACCCTCGAGTTATTTAACATAGCTATGGAATATGGTCCGTATGTAGATGATGTATGATGATCTACCTATGACAAATGACCATTTTGCTACGTTAAACAACCAGAGGGTACTATAGGCCTTAGTGATCCCTGAACTTGATAATCCATCCAATATCAAATACCTTCCCAGGAATCCCAGTTCAGTAGTGCACCCATTCATTTTCTGGGTCCATGCTTAACCCCAAACCTATTTTTTTCCATATATATATATATACGTATATATATATATATACTATATATAAGTTTGATTTGAGATGCGTTTAGTTTCTATCTGTTTCTATTCATTCTATAACCCATATGCTCCATGGTGCTGGAGTATTTACCTACAGTACATGTATCCCATTTTTATGGCCAGTTTTGTAGGTAACATATACTATACATGAAGCATATGGGTAATTCCCCATATTTCAATGGTCATTTCAGGATCCTAATTTGGAGGTACCTAGCATATATAAGGCCTATTTTTTAGGCCTAAATTTCAGGGGATATACCCCCAAAATTGGCCAGAAATATGGTACAATACCTCCATTTTGGGATCCTGGAGATCTCCCATTGAATATTCCCCAAATCAAAAATCGGTGAATAAATCCGGCCCAAGTTGAACAAATTCCACCCGAACTGCACCTTCCGGGAAGGCCGTCCATTGATCAGCCTGGAGATGCCAGATGCCACCATCACATCCCAAACAACCACCACTCTCCATCTTGGGAAATGTGTGGTTAATATACTGTTAATAATGGTTAATATTAATGGTTATTATATATATATGGCTAATATTAATGGTTATTATATGGTTAATGATGGTTAACAATATTCTGGTTGGTAGTTTCAACCTACCCCTCTGAAAAGATGGAGTTCGTCAATTGGGATGATGATTATTCCCAATATATGGAAAAAAATGTTTGAAACCACCAACCAGTGTTTTTGTTTAATGTCACAGGATTCCGCTCCCATCAAAAAGAGGTAAAACATGGGAATCATGGTAAAACTATAGGGGATGTACTGACTTCCGAGCAAAACAAGTTTTGGGGCCGACTCGAACAAGTTGGTAGGTACCACCAACAATCATGGGGGTATGATTATGGGATGATAACATGATATTTACCGAACAGTATGCGGTATATCGCCTTCTTTTTTTAAGCTTTGGGGGCAGCCTCTTCCAGTCACTGGCCTTCAAGGGCAGTCCACCACCCGCATCTGGGCCATGCCTGGTCCAAGATGCAGATCTCACCGATGTTCATCAAAATGGCTGGTTTTTGGACGGAATTCGTGGTCACAGTTGCAATACCCCCCTAGAAAAACCCATGGATGTCCAATTGGATGAAGCCGGTATTGTGATTGGCGTCATCACCAATGTTTCACCGTGAATGTGTAGAGTTAAGAGCCCGCAATCAAAGCGTTCCGAATTGCAGTGGGAGCTACCCTCTGGCAATTTAACAAAAAGCCACGGGACATGACCCGTTTGTAGTGTTGAATTGCCTATTTCATGTATCCCTATTCAACATTGCCATTTTCCATGGCCATTCATGTCCTTGTTTTGGGTACCATTCATGTCCTTTTTTTGGGTAATCCTTGCATTCTACAAACCCAAGCCGACATCAATTGCTTGATGAATCCATCTGAGTGAATTATAAATGATCATCAATCTAAAAATTATCTATAACACACACACACAACAAAAAAATCATGCCAGTTTGAGATAATTATTGATATAATGTTTTGTTTCTTTGTGAATTCACCGTATACTAACCAATTTTGTCATCATGATTCCATTGAATTATCTAAAATTGAACATATAACATCATACCCATAGGATCCATGGTGCTGCTATATATGGTAACATTTATCATCAATATACCCCACATGTTAGCATATATACCAGCACCATGGATCCGTCATGGGATATAACCGTATATGGGTTTGTCTGAAAATAGGGTATATTCCCAATGAAATAGCCATTTAAAAACGGGATAATGATCAGCAAAACCATTCAGTTTAGGGGTTTAGCCTATTTTCAGAGAAACCCATATTAGGATTATTTAAAACGACCTCCAAATAGTTGGTAATGGGATAGTTTATGGCATTGGATCCCATATTCCGAACCATGATTCCATGGAATTTTCATCAAAGCGGCCTTCGCTGCCCCTCCTGGCGAGTGGCCTCAGGAATCTCCGAAGCAGTCAGGGCATTTCAATGGGAAAATCCGTGGGGAATCATAGAAAATCCATGGGAAAAAACATGGGAAAATCATGGGAAAAAACATGGGAAAATCATTGAAGGGTCATAGAAGTCTCATGAATTTTCTAATTCCCATGGTTTTCCCATGGTTTTCCCATGGTTTTTCCCATGGTTTTCCCATGATCAGAGAGTAGCGATCCCATGGGGAATATCTGAAGGGCAGCTCTTCAGCCGTCAGGCGATAAAGAGACGGCTCTGTTCAACCATGCTCCAGGGTCGTGCAAAGAATCAAACAGCTGGGGTGGGTAGAATTCTAGGTAGGAACTACCACCAAAAAAAAATAAACCATCTATAAATCTATGGCTATGTTAAATAACCAGAGGGTATATCCCAACATCCCAACCCAATTCTGACCAAGAAATGAAATTACCAGAGGGTACAATGTGGGGCCCCCCAGTTATAAATTGGTTTATAAACCCCAGTAACTATAGTTATAAGTACCATAAACCATAGTTATTGGAGTTATAAACTAACTTAGCTATCTAGGGGGGCCCACTTTGTAGGTAGGAAATACCACCAAAAAAAAATACGACATATCCAAAATCGCTGAATAACTTGCAAACAGGAGCCGCAAAACTGCCACGTTCACATCTATGCCCAATGTATAAAGACCCATAGTGTTGAAAAAACATGTATAAAAAAAAGCCTTCCCAAAAGCATGTACTTCAACATCCTTGAAACATCGTCATTGAATATCATTGAAAATAAGAAGAATTTGACCATGTTTGAATATAGTTGAAACATAGTTGAAACCCACCAGATCGGAAAGAAAGTGTAAACACACCTGCTCCAACACACAAATCGCTGACAGCTTTTGTTCAATCTTTGGCTCCCACAATTGGGGAGGCGCATCATTCACTTCTTCCATCTTCCAGAGCCCGGAGGCCATGAAATCTTTGCAATACAAAGGCGAGTGCCAAAACCTGTTGCTCAGCACACGCCTGGGTGCCCTGGTGTTTCGGGAGAAAGAGCTTCAGTGGAAGGCTGCTGGCTTCGTTCTGTAAAAGCGCCTGATCAAAAAGGTATCTTCTTATGTTATATCTTTGTATGGTTTATGAATTCTGAGGGTACTCCATAACCCTCCCAATTAAACAGCCTAGGGGTTTATTAATCCAGGGTATCTTTGTAATCAGGATTAATCAGGCATTGCTCTGATTTGTTGAGTACTGTCCACCCGGGTGTTGCAAACCAGAAAGTTGTCCATCAGACAAGCTAAACCAGGCTAAAACGATGAAACACCTGCATAGCAGCGCTAGAGCGACCCCCAGTACAGCACTAATACCAGCTTAAAAAAAAGTATCATCTGCATAAGAACCAAATTTAAGAATGTTTACGGTGGAAGCTGGGTTTCAACTGGCAAAATCTAGCAATCAACTATATGTGAAGTTTACAACTTTGCTAAGGGGATGACCCTTCATTTTCTGCGCATTCCCGGTAAGAAAGACCCAGAGGCACCTCTTAAACAAATTAATTGCCTTGCAAATGCGGAGTTGAGTCAGATCCTCTGGAGAAAAAATCAGCCCGCATCCCGATATATCGCTTGTTTGAATCAAATTATATAAAATCTATACATTCTTGGTGAAACGGGCATGTGTCCATCTCCAAATCATCCAGATGATGGAAAAGTTGACTCTGACCGCACCAAAAAAGACGACGGCACGTCGTTCTGCGGATTCATCGTTGCTCAGATGCACAGTCCGCACAGTCAAACCCAAAAAAGACGACGGCACGTCGTTCTGCGGATTCATCGTTGCTCAGATGCACAGTCCGCACAGTCAAACAGCCAAGTGACCTGATGCATTTGTCAGTGATATGGCCAGAATGATTGCGACATCGTGTCGCTGCAAGAAAGTTTGTCCTATTCCCCAATGGTTGGGGATGTCATGTCATGTCCATACCCTCTGGTAAACTAGCATAACTACGGAAAATCATCATTTTTGATGGGTGAATCAACTATCAATGGCCATTTTCAATAGCTTTTTGTATGTTTACCAAACGGTTTTTCCATAGATATTCTCAATCTGGTGGATTGTCGACAGGCCACCAAGGCCGGACACCAAGGACACCAAGGACACCAGGGAATCAACCAACCGATCCTTCCGGATATTTTCAGGGTCAGTGTGGTACTTTTTTGGCTCAGTGGTTGCTAGTTCCAGTGACTTTTGTTCCTGTACTAATCAACAATGGGCCCATGGGGCATCAAAACAAGGCCGAAGGCCGAAGGATGCCGAAGGCACCAAAGTCGCGGCAATCAGTTTGACATCCAGTAGTTCGATCTGATCTGGCTGAATTGAACTAATTCTCTAATTGAAAATAGCTGAAACCTGCGGCCATGGCTGAGGATGATTGGCTAAACCCCCAGGAACGTTAGTTGGCTAAACAATGGGATAAACACGGATAGACCATAAGCCATAGGATCCATGGTGCTGGTATGTGCTGGTATATTAATGCTAACATAAATGGGGTATATTGATGGGATCCATGGGATCCATGGCAGCACCATGGATCCTATAAGCCAAATCCAAATCCCTCGGTGCTTTCGCAAACGCCGCGGCACCGGAGTCACCGGAGCCATCGCGCTCGATGACCTCCTCCCCTCGCTGGCAGGAACGGCAGCTCGAGCAATCGCCTCGGAGCGATAGATAGTGGTTATGTGGTTGCTTTAACATGTTTAATAAGCACATGAATAACTACCTAAGTTATATAGCATATATATATATAAATATGAATTGCAGTACACATATATATATATAATTTATGGGTACAAGGTGAGGCCCTCTAGTTATAAGCTGGTGTATAAACCCAATTGACTATAGTTAGATCACTGAGTTTTAAGTCCACTTGGCTATTTAGGGTTAGCGGCGTTCCACCAGCTGTGTTTGAAACTACCAAAATCAAGTAGTTTTGGAGCCGTCATTGCTATTGTTTGTATATATATATATATACATAGACACCCTCTGGTGATTTAACATTTCTATGGAAAATGGCCCATCTATAGATGATTTGTGATGATTAATTTACCTATTAAAAATGGTGGATTTCCTATGGCTACGTTAAATAACCACAGGGTACATATATTACCCTCCAGTAAATTAACATAGACCCTGCCAGACAGGGGTTGAAAGACTAGTTTCCACTATAAATTGGTCAGTTTCAGGGTCTATGTTAATTTACCAGAGGGTAATATTGACTATATTCTTATGAGTCCAACAACACAGAGAATATAGGGTTTGACAAAAAAAACAAAAAAAAAACAAAACCAGAGCAAACAAAAAAATCAAACTAGAAAACCAAAACCAAGGAAAAAACAAGAAAAAAAACTGCGGAAAATGCAGGTTTTGTTTTTTTGTGTTTTTCTTGTTTTTTTTTGTTTCTTCTGGTGATTCTTCCTGTCGATTTGTTTTTTTTGGTGATTCTGTTTTTTTTTTTGCTAAAATCCACTTTCTCTGTTCTACACGGGGTCATAACTATGTTCCCAATGTGACTAGTTTTATCGATCCCGTATGGCTTCACGGAGATTCACACACCCAGAAATCGCAGAAATCGCCGACCAGGTACCACTCGGTCGATATTGGTATTTTATAGTCCAAAATCAATCAATGAAGCAATAGAACATCAATAGAATGAATGAATAAACTAACAAATCAAGCAATCAATCACTGAATTTCCTTCAATTTCTGGTTTGAATATGTTTGAATCTCAATCAATTGCAAATTTGGTGGCTTAAATTTCTTCCATGCTTGGTGCTTAAATCTTAGAGGACATCTTTTAGGTGCCCAAATTGAAATCTACATCTTTCAGGGTGAAATCACCATTGATCGCCAAGAGTCAACTGCGCATTGCTCAATCGAACAGTGTCAAAAAAACTAATCATCAACCAAGCATCATCTATTCTGTATATATATATATACATATATATATATATATATGAGTTATATCATGTTATATCACTATATGTTTGATGCTAAAGAATGCCGAAAAGCCGTCTAAATGGTGGTTAAATCGCCATGAAATATCATCGTTTTTTGATGTTTTTTGCGTCAGGGCACCGAGATCGGAGATTTGCTGACACAGCTGTGACACAGCCAAGCGAACGCCTTGGGCCCGAGCTTCTCCGGAGACACAACAGACCCCGGGAATCGCCAACAGGTTTCGCCAGGTACTGTCAAAATCGCATTAGACCCAAGGTTTGAGAATGGGGCATGAAGGCATGTTAGATCATTAGATTTATATACAATATATATATATATACCATCTGGTTATTTAACATAGCCATGGAAAATCACCATTTTTAATAGGTAAACCCAGGTCAACCATCTATTTCTATGGGCCGTCTATACCATGGCTATGTTAAATAACTAGAGGGTATATATATATATTTAGATATAGCTTGGAGATGTGAATGACTGAAGTTTACACCTTGGGATACGTCTACTGAGTCTACTGTGATACTCCAAACATCCGCCTCGGCGGACTTAGCATCCCCATCTCCCCTTCCCTGCTTTGAAATATCTAAACGTTCAGGAGAATTCACATAGGAAAACCATAGGAAAATGGTGGTTTAATGGGATTTAGTGGGATTTAATGGGATTTAATGGCACTTACCCTCTGGTAAACTAACGTACCTATGGAAAATCACCATTTTAAATGGGACAACTCACTATTTCTATTGCCATTTTCAATAGCTTTTTGTATGTTTACCAGAGGGTAAACACCATGGAGGGATCTGGATGGTTTTCTTTTGTCAGAGGATGGACAGAAACATGATTGAAACATTGAAACCATCAATGAAGTCATGGGTCTCTATTGAGATACCCATATCATATCAACTATATATATATCATATGACATGGGTATATGTGAAACTATAAGTGTAATCATATCAAATATACAATATATTACACTGATATCATATGCCCATTTCGTATGACTCATTTCCATTCATTTCCCAGCTTCGTTGCGCAACAAAAACACCGCCAGAACGTGACACCACCAGGCCAGAGGGCGACTCTTCCCATGTTCCAACGCACCCCAAGCGGACTTACAACTCTCCTGGCGGCAAAAAATTGGCGTCCAGGCTTGCTGAGAGCCGCCGTGAACATCCGTGAACCATGAGGGTTACTGAGTACAAAATCCGTGTTCAGCGATCGTCCCGGGTGACTCATTTCATCAGTTGGTCATTCTCAAGGTCTATGTTGGGGGCTGGGGGATGGTAAATCCGTCCTTTCTACTTGTAAAAAAGCTGTTCATGAAAAAATATGAAAAAATAAAGTTTGTTCAGGTTCTATAGATTCAAAAAAAATTCGGGCGCGGTTTACCAAGAAATGACTTGTTTAAGGTCTTCATGAAAGATTAAAGTTTTTTCAGGTTCTCTGGATGCAACAAAAAGTTCGGGCGCGGTTTACCAAGAAATGGGAAGTAACATCATGGATTTGTCTCAACATGACAGATACCTCAATCAAGCGATGGCCATCACTTGATATTGACTAGTCGGACTTGACTGACTTTTTGTAGCCTCTGGTTATGTCCAGACATAGCGAAAATGGCCCGAAAATAGCATGGTGGATCTTTCCAGTTCGTTTTTGGTTAACGTTTACCAGAGGGTAAGTATTTCCCAAAACATTGACGTTGATGATACACTCCAGTAACATCCCATCTGGGAACAAAACCTGGGACCCGAGGGCCCAGGGCCCTGCACACATTTGAGGGGATGCCTTGGACGTTTATACAAAGATGCATCTCTACATACAATCATGTGTATATATATATATTGTAATAGATAGATATACACACTATACATGAGATGGTACATATGATTATACAAATGATATGATATGATATGATATGATGTAATGTATCTGCATATGCACACTTTGCACATTGTACGATGATAGATCAGTCAGTATCCAGAACAAAAAACGGGCATATTGGTTAGGACCGAAGGCTCCAATTGATCCATTCACCCTGCTGAACCAGTCTGTCCAATAAACCTGCCACCATTACACATAGGAAAAGCATCAGAGAGTTTTATCCACGGCTTCCGTTTAAATTTGGCAAGTTCCACACGTTTCAAAATCGTGAACGTAGCGTAGCATGGTGTCTAGAGGGGCTCAGAAAAATCTTTTCAACTCGAAATTTAACTGAGCTTTCTGACACGAATGGCTATTTTAAAGGCTGTGTATTCCCCCAGTTGGAAACTATATACCCTCTGGTAATTTAACATAGCTATTGAAAATCACCATTTTTAATGGGTAAATCCACTATACATGGTCATTTTCAATAGCTACGTTAGATTACCAGAGGGTACATAACTTGACCACAAAAAAAAAAATGGGTCCTTGCCAAGGAGGGAAGCCACAATGCTCTTCAGCAAAGTCTCCAACACCTGGGTTTTTTATGGGTCCCATGGGTTTTTTGGATTCGATTTTTGTTCGAAAAACTCCAAGTCATCAAACGTGTGGGTTGGAATTTTTAAGAATTGCAATTGCCATGATTCTAGTGAATTCAGTTGGACCTAAATATTCTTAGGAATTGCCTTCTGACCTGCGAAAAATCCCGTTTTTTTGGGATAAATCCCAGAAGGCAGTGGGTAACTTAAGTAATAGCCATAATGTGGCCCTCTGGATGCCTCTGGTAAACTGACAGCTGGTGACATAGAAATGGTCCTGTGAAAGCTCGTTGATTGACCTATTACAATCCCGTGATTTTCCACAGATATTAGTTTATTAGAGTGAAGGTATGGCCATCTCCCAATATACACATATATATACATATATGTATACATATATATATAATTACTATATATATATATATACTCTGACTTTTGACTATGGCACTGTAAAGTCATCCAAGCTAACAGAGCCTATCATCTTGACCCGAAACCATGGAAAGCTGGTTCTGAACGCTCGTGTCTTTCAAGCTTCCAGCGAGACACGGTGTTCGAATCATTGGAAAACCAAACAACAGGAAGACATAGGAAGACCATGTCCAATAGGTGGAAGGTCCACTGTATCCATTTATCACCATTTATCACCATTTATCACCATTTATCCTTGCCAACATTGGAGAACTGGTTCCTTTTTACGAACAGCTTTGCCGTCTCTGCCGGAGACGTTTAATAATGGGCACTTTGGCCATGTTTTTTGGGTGCCCTCTATGGACCTCGGAGGCATCATCTCTTTCCATATGGAATCCATTGGGTGCCACGTTTTTCAGCTCTCGTTTGCAACATACAAGGTGGTGCCCCCTCCAGTTATAGATTGGTTATAAACCCATTGACTATAGATATATCACCAACAAAAACCATAAACCAACTTAGCCATCTTGGGGGCACCACCTTGTAGGAACCTTGCGTAATGGCCAAGACAAAGGGGTACACCTTGATGCTCTCGATCTCCTTCTGAAGCTCGGCGTATCATGGCGTATCTCGGTCGTGTGCACGGGGCCCATGTAGCGATTCATCAGGTCTACCCTCTCTTGCGCGCAACACTTCCAGTTGACCATGGGATCTCTGTAGTACATCCCCGGCCAGCTACACCACTGCTGCCGTGCAGCAGCCAATCCAACAAGGCATTCTGTCCGTGAACATCCTCGATGAGAAAGACACCACCAGGTCGGATGTGGTTCTGATGATGTGGTCATGAGAGCCATCATCCAACAAAATGTCAAAGCCCTGCGGCTATTTCTCTTTGATACCCTTCAGATACTCAGGGTCTGCCTGACTCCCAACCTCCACCCGGATGTTTGGCCCAAACTCCTCCCATGCCTTGGTATCTGGATTGGTATCCATCCCAACCAGCACGACCAGCACTTCGCGCCGAAGGCGTGCCGCCACATCAGCAAGCTGCCATCGGACTGGATGCCGATCTCGGCCATGGTGAGGTTATCGGTCCCTCGGCACGGCCGAAGTGCTGCTCGTAGATGTTGAAGTGATGGTCCTGTCTTCTTCTTCTGAAAGAAGTCAAAGAAACCACGTGGCGCCTCACCATGCAAAACTGCTAGTGGTACTTCTAATTAGATGGGATCGATGGGTAACAGCTCCTTTCCACGCTTCACCTTGGAAATTTGTGAGCCAATTCGTTGTAGCAAAGAATCCAACTGCTGTGGCCAGGCCCGCCAGAAAGCTCCCTATAGACAGCCTACCCTCATGGCAAGGCACGAGAATTTTTTTCATGGTACAAAACCAGTTGTCCTGCAGCAGTGGTCCCTTCAACCAACCCAACGAGAATTGGGGGATGATTTCTGAACTCTCGACCAGGCATGATCATGATACCCAGGTGCGAACCATGGTGCTGGTATATGCACAGCAACATTTGCCCTAAAATCTAAAAATCACCCAGTTTTGTAGGTAAATATACCAGCACCATGGATCATATGGGATATGTTCCAGGCGATTTCATGCAATGATTGTCAAAAAGCCGCTTCCCTTCAAGTCAGCCGTGACTGCGGTTGCCAGTCCTGGAGTTGATTATCCAAGCCACACTCCAAAAATGGGCATTCCTAATGTTTTTGTTGACCACAGTCCATCTTCTGGTACATCAATTCCTATACTATGGTATGATGCACCTTTGACTTACAACATATTCACACCGTGACGGCCCATCAATAACATTTTGCCAATGCCAATCAAGACAATGCATCCACATGTTGTAACTATAACTACTATGATACTTATGATCAGTCATAACTGAAATAAACTATACTATAGTAATAACTATCATAAACCATACTGAAAAGTATATATCATAAAATAGCATAACTAAACCATATCATAAATGGACATTATATATATATATCATATTATATATATACAGTATACCAATAATAATGGATGTATCATAAACCATACTGAAATTGGAGTTATCTTCAGCCCATGCGCTATGCGACGGCGGCCAAGGGGCCAGGGAGATGCCGTCCACCACAGTTTGAGCACCCATCTGGCACAGCGCGACAGTGGTGATGTGGGATGCCACTGAAAGCTCCCGCTATGAATTTGCAAAGCAATGTCGATTTTGTTAATGACTATCAATGTCCATTAGCAATATCTATTGCTTAATGATTATCAATGTTTTTGTTTTTTTAATGATTATCAATGTCCATTATTAAGCAATGTATATCCATGTCGATTTTTCCCTTTCCTTCCACCTCTGAGATAGGTAGCCTTTTTGTGATGAAAACCTGATAACTTTGGGTTGGTTACCTATCTGATAGGTAACTGGAAGGTGAGGGTTGGCAATTTAAAGCAATTGCATCACTTGAAACAGCCAGGTGGGATCGCTACCCAAAAAGCTCGGAACCCGTGGCTGATAGTAGTCCATGACCACAGTTACACATCACCATACTCAAGAGATACCATCCCCCATGTATATATATGTATACATATATACATATATATATACATATACATATATATATATATACATATATATATATATACATATATATATATACACACCTTGAGAAGAGCTGATTTTTGGATAAAAAGTGGTCTTCCAATCCCTTCAGGATGAATTGAAACTCTCGATTTTTCAGTGCCACTTTTTTCGAGAGCGGAATCAACGAAAAGTAAGGGAAGAAAAACATAGAAAAACAACATCCACCAAAGGTTGACCAAAGAAAGTCCATCTTCAAGCCTTTTGATAAAGTTGAGAAAATAGGACAAAACCACAGAAAACTACAGAAAACTACAGAAAACTACAACATGTAATGCGTCAGGTTTGGGATTAGGGGATGTGATATACCCTCTGGTTATTTTTTTTCGCAGCTATGCAAAATTTGGTCATTTAATTATAGATGTAATATGATGGTTTATAAAAATGGTGATTTCCTATTACCACGTTAGATTACTGGAGGATAACTCCCATTTTGACATGGGCACTGCAGTATTTTGACATGGGGACTGCAAACTTCCACCCGTGCTTCGCTTAAAAGTTCTGGAAGTATTTGCACGGTGCTTACAATGTGCCGCATCATTTGTCATGCTGGATAGTATAGATACTTATGATTGTTCATGTGCCATTGTTGGGTCCCATCCACGGCACGGAAAAAAGCAGAAGAAAACGGCGTTCCATGCAGGACTGGACATGTTAATTGTCATATTTAGTAATTAATAAACTCATATTAGCCTTAAATAGTTTTTTATGTGCTGATCTTAGATCCTATGCTCATTAAAAATGTCTAAATGTACATACGTCTTGCACAGTTCTTTTTTAGCACGGGTTGACTGTGATGTAGTTCATGCAAGGACTGACCACGGCGAGAACTTCATTGTGCCACAAAGAACAGAATATGTAGCTGGTTACCTTACGACAACTTCATAGGCCCATTTATTAGTTGGATGAATTATCCATTCAAAAGGCTGATTTGTTGCAATCCAAATGGCGAATCCATAAATGGCCAACAAAACTCAGCCAGGACTCTACGATCTACCAATCACTTGACCATCATTTGTTTGTTGCTGAACTCCCCAGTTACTTTTGGTCCCTAAATCCGAATTTGATGCGTTTTTGCATGTTTTTGCCACCGAAAGGTGAGCTCGACATTTTCAAGTTGCTGGGCCCCTGAGTTCCAAGCGGTTACTACTTGGCAAGTGAGTAGTTTTATGTCTAACCATAAATTGTCCAATCAAGCTCACTTGAATCGTACTTCCATGGATTTATGACTTCATTATCACAACAATTCCAGGATTTTTTGTTTATGTCCATGAAAGTCCCAGAGTTCCCAGAGTCAGAAAGTCCACTTACTTCATGGAAGTCATATCCATGGATTTATATTGTGGTATATATGCTAACATTTGGGGTATATTGATGGTAAATGTTACCATATATGGGGGTGGGTCAAAACCTATTAATTATATACTATCAATTTTAGTGGGATGAACATCTATTTACAAGCTATTTTGAGGTTCACCAGGGGTACAAGCTTTTGACCCATAGCCATATAGCAGCACCATGGATCCTATGGGTAATCACAACGATTTTACAGCTTTTTTTGTCGGAATTCTGGTGGGAATTCTAGCCGACTTCTGGCCGATGGAGACTTTGGCCACAAAAAAACGAAGAACGGATCGTCGTACAATCCCAAGCCAAAGTTTTGAATCCCCCATTGAGACCAGGTGCTTAACCTAACTTCAAGTAAATTACTATATATATATATTATATATATTATATATATTAATATATATTATATATATATATTTATATATATATATTATTATGTTCTATTATATATATCTATATTATACGATACATATTTTATATATTATATAGTATATATAATAATTATTATTATTACATAATATATATATATACAGTATATATTAAATGAATCTGTATATGGATAAATTGCCATAGGTCACGAAAGATCTTCTCCAGGTGAATGACGCAAACCCAAAATGACGCAACCACCATTCTTTCTATATCGGCTACCCGAAATGGTTATGTCAAAATAGCTATTGAAAATGGCCATAGAAATAGTGGATTGTCCCATTGAAAATGGGTGGATCTTTCCATAGTTACGTTGGTTTACCAGAGGCTACATCGGCTATATCAAGCACTATGCAAAAAAGCACGGCTTCAGTCCACAAGTGGAGTAAATCCAAATACTAAAAATACTAAAAACGACCAACATGACCAAAAAAAAGTGCGGTCTGGTCTGTTGGGTCTTAAACTTTGACTGATGAGTCGTTCATCAACCAGAGATGTTCAACACTTCAGTCTAGTTTTCGCACTATTCAATCACTATTAAACCAGTATTACAACATATTAAAACAGTATTAAACCCCCTATTAAACGACTAGAAGTATCCATATAAGTACCAATCAACCAAAGAGAAGTCCCAATCTTCGGCCTCTGCATTGAAGTCTTCGTATTTAATGTCGCCCACCGCTAGTCGCGGGCCCATGGAGCCCAAGGTCGTGCACGCTTTGGCGCCGATGTTGGACAGCAACACCTCAGAGTGGAGGGGCCAAGTATGCTGCAGAAAAATGGTGAGCCAAAAAAAAACATGAAAAAACAGTCCATTTGGGGATCATTTCTCTTATTAACCATGATTGGAAACATGCTGGTTTCCACATATTGTACTCAAACCACTCCATTGAATCAATGGGAGATCTTCAGGATCCTAAAATGGAGGTACGTTAGTACCATATGTTTGGCCATATTTTCTGGGGATATCCCCTAAAAAATAGGCCTGAAAAATAGGCCTTATATATGGTAGGTACCTCCAATTTAGGATCCTGGAATGGCCATTGACAATAGTGAGACCAGCAACCGATATGGATTTGAAGTCAGCTCTAAGCAGCGAAAAATGCTGAGTTGGCAGAACATGATAACCAGCTCTGGGGTTTGAAACACCTCAAGTGGATTGAACAGGTAAAAACAAAACGGATATATAATATGTATAAAAACAAAACAAACTCTAACCTCCAGTTACATCTGGGATAGGTAAGCAGGGTGATTCTACCTGATGATAACTTGGGGGTTGGTTTCCTGTCTAAAATGAACTGGAAGCTTAGGGAGACATAAACACATAAATAAAATATGATCCGATAAAAAGAGTTAGAATCGGATTCGCATCGACAAATGGGCTGCCTCCACTGAGTACGAAATGAGCCTCCACTGATTGATACACTGATTGAAGCCAGTGCAATCACTGAGATACCATCTGGTCTCATCAAACGTTGCAATGGAAAACCCCCTATGTATAAATGGAGGTTTATAGCTGGGAAGATCATCTATAAACAAATGATAATCAACGTTTGATTACCTCTTTTCAGCTGGAATCCTAGTGCCAATACATCTATGTTAAGACACTGCTTGAAGCCAGGTTAAAATGCCTTTCAGCATCGGAGTATTGAGGATCAGTGGTTCGAAATGGACAGGCATGACAAACCAACGGTCAGTGCCCGGGTTCCAACCCTAGCCAACCCAGGTTTGAACCGTTTTGATCCATTTTGCACCTCACCAGTCAGTTTTCAAAAAAAATGGCCATCTTCTATCGGACCTGAACTATCCTCCCTGAGACAAATGGGCCATGTGCCATCCCCAAGTAGCGCCAGGCCTTATGCACCACCACCTTCTCTGGTTGATTCTTGGGAGTCCTCGACCCCACCTTGCTGGTCGTGAGCTTGTGGTTCACCGTATCCACCTGAGGAAGTGAGTTCATCTGGATGACTTCGACTGGTGCGAACTCGCGGTGAAGAGAACCCCCACCCAAAAAATCCTTGTGCATCTGTCAGGTTGGATCATCATCCCCGAACTAAGGGGAAACATGGGGAAACTATGAATATATCATTGAATATCTATCATGTGGGTAAAACACAATGCCATAAACACGCTAGTCATCACCATTTTTATAGGTGCTATCAACCATTCCCAGTCATGCTTGGTTTCTGGCATTGTTTTTCCCACATTATCCCAAAATAAGAGAGAAACTAGAACATCTATGAAGACATCAAGCACCACCAGCTCGATCAAAAACGCCCATGTGTCACAGCCGTTTGTAACAAGGGAGGACTTGAGATCTCAACCAAACCAACGTAAATTTTAAATGAAGTGGCTGGGTTAAGTGTGTGTTTCAAGTAAATGAGAAGTTGGTTAATAGACATCCACTTGTCATCCAGAAAATGACTCACATCAGTGATCGACATACTGTATTTTCAACAACTTGCATGTTTAGAGTGCAAATGTTCAACCGCAGTTCATATGACTTCATATGACCAACCGTTGCACATGCTCGAGAAAACAACAAAACACGTTTGCCATCGTCAAAACATGGCTGATAGAAGCTACCTCCATATCAATTTTTGCTTATCAATTTGCTGTTGTCCCCAAATTATAGAACCTGAAATCCAATGTTTTGTTGTGTGATGATGTTCCCAATTTGTGATGGCCATAAACTGATCAATTGATCATCCTCAAGTTTGAGACAAAGCCCAAAGCCATGCAGATTGCAAAAAGGTGAGGTTAGTCTGAACATAGTATTCTGAATAGCCTAAATCACTAAATCCACATTTTTCCTGGTGAACTGTTGTCTGAACAAACCACCATGGTTTCATCGGATTGGTTTTTAGGGGCAAATTTTCACCGGAAACCCCTATATTTATCTATATTTCATGGGGAAAACCATGGATTCCTGTAGATGTTCCCTTCAACCAATCCAGTGATGGTTTCATCGTTTACCATCTGGTTATGACTAACATAGCCATCGAAAATCACAATTTTGATAGGTAAATGGCTATGTTAAATAACCAGCGGGTAATCCGTTGGTACAGCCCCCCGTTCGAGCAGAAGATCATTCGAGGTGGACCAGGATCTCTCGTAGATGACATCCACGTCCTGGAGCACCACCTGGCGAATGGAATTTCATGGGGCATCACGTCATGACATGGACCATACAATATATTATAATATAATATAATATAATATAATTTAATATAATATAATATAATATAATACAATATAATATAATATAATATAATATAATAATATAACAACATAATAATTTATCATATGTATACAATGTGTATATATATATACAATGTGTATATATAATGTATATGTATATATATACACAATGTGTATATATAATGTATGTATATATATATGTATGTGTGTGTAATGTATATATGATGTATGTATATATATATATGTATAATGTATATATAATGTATGTATAATGTATATATAATGTATATATAATGTATGTATAATGTATATATAATGTATACATAGTGTATATATAATGTATATATAATGTATATATAATGTAAATATAATGTATATATAATGTATATATAATGTATATATAATGTATATATAATGTATATATAACGTATATATAACGTATATATAACGTGTATATATAATGTATATATATAATGTATGTATATATATAATGTATATATATATTTAATGTATATATATATATATCATGTGTATATATATATAATATATATATATATAATGTATATGTAATGTGTATATATATATATAATGTATACATAATGTATATATAATGTATATATGATGTATATATATAATGTATATATAATGTATATATATATAATGTATATAATATATGTATATGCAAAAATAATTATATAAACCATTATATAGCCATATTATTGTAGAAACTGAAAGTTGCTAACAATAGAATAGCTTTATTTGTTCATAGTTTTTTCGTAGTGCTTCAGCATGATGATCTCAATGAGCGTTGAAGACGTGAACATCCACATTTTGGATTACGCTGGAATCCATAGGCGGCACCATAGCATTCCAATCCCCAAAAAAGAACGGGATTGAAAGCGTATAGAGAGGAGTATAATATTATAATTTGGTAATCCCATACAATCTCCCTGTAAACATCAGTAAACCACCATGATTCCTGTGGGTTTTGAAACATGGCTTAGGCATGCTTAGGCCGGATTTGACATGCTGCTTGGACCAAGCCCTTTGCAGCAAGCTACCAATATCTGATAGGTTGGAGAGGGTATGATCATATATGGCCACCAACTCCAAAGTACCTTCAGCATACATTTCCTGACATGGGGGTACCCTAAATATCCCTAAATCATCCATTTGAATGGGATTTTCCATTCTAAACCATCCAGCGTGCTATTGGGGTACCCACATTTCCCAACTGCTCCATGTATGGAATATTTACCAACATTTACACCATAAATGAGCCAAATGTAGATAAATATACTATACATGGAGCAGCATCTGGGTTTCTGGAAACCCCCTTTTTTGCCATTGGCCACCCATAACTTAAGATAAACCGCCTTTTCGACTTCCAGTGTTTTGCCCCAGCTGGTGATCAATTTCTGCATGTCTAAGTCGATCATCAGCTTGGACGCTTTCAGCAAATACTCGGAGCTAAAGCCCTCGGGGTTTTCGATGGTCAATCCGTCCTGGGGCCATGGGAATTCACATCGAAACACAAAAAGGGCTCGGCTCACTGGTGAGGTTCGTGACACAGCCTGCTTACTGGTGCGTTTTACGTAGGGAATGGATGGGAATGGGGGTTGCTGGGATGATTGTTATTAGTGATTATGGATCATTCCCTCATTCCTTGCTAAGCAACAGTAAGCCTGTGATCTCGGAGAAAGACATGTATCCACTTTAAGTGTCCACCAGATTTTGGTTGGAAAAATCAAAGTGAGATGGAAAAAATCCATGGGTGATCACGGAGATCACTCCGTGATACTATCCCTCACCCTCAGTGACCTATCAGATAGGTAACAAACCCCAAAATTCATCGGGTAAAATCACGTTCCAGTTACCGATCTCAGAGGTAACCAGAATGTTATAGGGCATGATTGTCTACCAAAAGACAACAGAAAAATCAGAGTTAAAAAAAAAAAAAACAATTGTCAATCGGTTGACAACCATTGAGCCAGAGCGAAAGGTCAGAACCCAGGTGCTCCATGGTGCTGGTATATTTTGCAACATTTGCCCGAACAAAATCACCCAGTTTTGTAGGTAAATATACCAGCACCATGGATCCTGCAAGGTGGTGCCCCCTCCAGTTATAAATTGGTTATAAACCCATTGACTAGTTCGATCACCAACAAAAATCAGTTCGTGAAATTGGAGTTATTAGTTCACCCCAACTTAGCGTTATCGTTTACGGGGGCACCACCGTAACGGGCCATGGGGTCCCTGGATTCCCGATTTCCGAACTTCACCAGAGGAGCTATGGAGATCCTGCCGTAACAGGCATCCACACGGGTTTCCCCTAGGACCTGAGGGATCCGATGGTACAGCGACCCTCTGGTGATACAAAAAACGATGGAAAGATCCACCATTTTTCATGGGAAAACTCAACTATGTAACTATATATTTCGACTGGGCCATTTTCAATAGCGAACTGTAACAAATTACCAGAGGGTAAAAAAAAATACCCCAGTCACACTTCCTTTCGGAAGGTACGGCTGGATCCATAGGAATTCTGTTGAAAAAGAATCTGTTATACATGAGGATGTTCCATTCGACAATCACCATACTGGGGAACACTTGCGCGGTTTAGGTCATTGATTTTAAAGGGTGACCTACTTGGGGGGTGCCTCCCACAAAGTAAGCCGGTAATAGTCATATTGTATACCAGCTAATCTATGGAACATCCCCAGTTGGACTAATGGGATATATGATATATGTGTATGACTTATACTTATAATATCTGATAACAAGGGTTAATCATTATGAGCACATATACAACCCATTGATTGTAAAACACTGTATAACTCATTCACCATTCATAGTTCCGTCATATCATGTGGGTCCCAGCCCCCGGTCCAGTGAAACCGCTTGGGCCGCGCTGGGCGACCCGACAAATTTCACCCCCAGAGCCTCGGCGTGTGGCTTGAAAAATCACCTTCCAGGCTATCTCAGAGTCTCAGAGGTTTGCCTGGAAGCTTAGGATTACAGTTATACTAGAATCATCAACTTTCAAAAATATCATTGTATGGTCAACTATACACTTATTATATAGATCTTATATATATATAATATATAATATATATATATATAATAATATTATATATATATATTATATATGTATGTACACTACCCGCACTATATATGATCTATTTTGATATGTTCACAGCTACTCAGTTTTGGCAGCAGAAGGTCGAGGTATGTCGAGGTCCTTATCACTGGAAAGGATGTAGTCAGCCTGCTCATGGGAATTCCTCGAAAAACACTCACATCCCTAAAGAAATTGAAAAATGATGAAAAATGGATGATAAAACCGCTGACTCATTGGCAGTTCCCATCCCCCAAAACATGCCTCAAAATTGAGGAGTCCTGTGAAACAAAAGCAGTTAAAACCATCATCTGTTTTGGATAATTCTAGATGATCCATCCACTTTTGAAGGAGTATATTGCCTAACATGCTCCATCCAGAATTCATCTGCATGATTTCCTTTAGGCGAAGACACGACCCTTCGCTGTGCGGCTCAGGCACAGCAGAATCAAAGTGCCTTGGTCGCGGTGATTGAATGTTTAAAACGACAGAACCCACCGGTTGTTCCGAAAACAAAGGGAAAACATAGGGAAAATCATCACGTCCCCCTAATACTAAACTTACTAAACCGATCTAAATCGTCCCTGCCCTAATAATAAAACACCTGGCGGAGTTTGGATGTATTTCGCGTTTAGTAGATCGGGGGGAAGGGATTTTTAGTAGAAACCTATGGATTGTCATTACTAACTGCGACTACTTGGATCAATTGGAATCGTAGTACTTAGTATATTATAGTATATAGTTTACTAGTAAAGAAAAGGATTTCCACTACACCCAATTCTTTAATATATTTAAAAGGCGCAATTTAATTAATATACTAGTATACACCCATTTGAATATTTACATCAAATTTTCCATAATTTTCCCACCACGTTTTGCCCAACGCGTTGTTTCCCCATGTCCCCAGCCCTTCCCGCCGCGGTGCTTCAGAAGAGACTTCACCGCGGAGCCCATGAGGCGTCCGCCTTTGATGCTGTGATCCTCTTCAGTGGCCACGGTGGAGGAGGACTGCGTGGAGACCTGGAGAGGAGGTGAGGTGAGGTGAACTCACCAATGTGTGGCTAGATGTGTAGTATATATATAACATATAAATAATATATGTATAATTAATATATATATATATTGTAAATTATTATGATATGTATCTATATCTATAACATATATGATATGTATAATATGTATATGGCACTAAGAATGGTAAATGATGATTATCACTGTCATAACTATCGTTTGTGGAGCTCTATAGATGTGTAAACAGGACTTTATTTCAGGGTTAAATCCTGGTAGTGTCATTGAAGTGGGACTGTCAGTGTAGCTATGATACTATCACCATCTATCACCCATATGCTCCATGGTGCTAGTATATTTACCTACGAAACTGGCTCATCAATGGGGTTTCTATGTAGGTAGATACTCCAGCACCATGGAGCAGATGGGTCATGGAACAACTGAATCAGAATCAGAAAAGATCATCCCAGGTCTAGCCACTGACCCTCTTTAACAGGTCAACTGTGGGCTCTATGCAGTTCCCAGGGATTCAATGGGAATTTCAGGATCCAACAGATGGAGGTACGTTAGTACCATATAAGGCCATATTTTGTGGGGATATTCCCTTACATAGGCCTTATATAGGCCTTATATATGGTAGGTACCTCCAATTTAGGTTCCTGAAATGGCCATTGAGGGATGTTCCTAGAAGCCCCAAAGAGGATGGGTACCCAATAAATCGGAATCATAAACACAACAACAGTGACAACAAGACAGTACAGGTAGACGACAATCCATAGCAATGATACAAGCATAATGATTCTAGCCATGATCATCAACAACATAAGGCTTGATTCTACTTTCTATAAACATCACTTCTTGGAAAAATACTCGTCAACAGCCAGAAAGTCATGTTTAGCCATTTTCCTACCCCCCAAAAAAGGGTTGTACCCTCAGGCAATTTAACATAGCTACGGACAATTGTCCCAATATATATTTATATATATTATATCTCTCTATATATATATATGTTTATGATGATGATGATGATGATGATGTTTGTGATGATGTTTGTGATGATGTTTGTGATGATGTTTATGATGTTTATGATGATGTTTATGATGATGTTTATGATGATGTTTATGATGATGTTTAAGATGATGTTTATGATGATGTTTATGATGATGTTTAAGATGATGTTTATGATGATGTTGTTGTTGATGATGTTGTTGATGATGATGATGATGACGACGACAATGGAGCTGATGGTGATGATGATGGTGATGATGATGATGATGATGATGATGATGATGATGTTTGTGATGATGTTTATGATGATGTTTATGATGATGTTTATGATGATGTTTATGATGATGTTTATGATGATGTTTATGATGATGTGTGTGATGATGTTTATGATGTTTATGATGTTTGTGATGATGTTTATGATGTTTATGATGATGTTTATGATGTTTATGATGATGTTTATGATGATGTTTATGATGATGTTTATGATGATGTGTATGATGGTGTTTATGATGGTGTTTATGATGATGTCTATGATGATGTTTATGATGATGTTTATGATGATGTTTATGATGATGTTTATGATGATGTTTATGATGATGTTTATGATGATGTTTATGATGATGTTGTTGTTGTTGATGATGATGATGATTTACCTATACTTGGCTCTAAAAAATGTGATTTTCCATAGCAAACTCTTAAAGAACCAGAGGGTAAGTTGGATCATATTCAAAAAAATACATCCTCATTCATTCTGACACCTTTTTTTGCGGTTAGCTCCCATTAAATCGCCATAAATCATGACCATTTCAAGCTCTTCTTAGCGCCATAAATCGAGCGTCGGCGTCTGACTTCGAGGCCGGCACTTGATCCTGGCGGTGTTCTTGTCATGGATCCCAAGTGATCCGTCGGGTGTGCTTTTCATATGTTGCAAAAGACTATAAGGATCTAAGAAACATATTATTTAAGACATTTATAGACATTTAAGATATGATTTTGGGGATTTTGTTTTCATGTGTTTCCCCCATGACTTTGGAAACTGTCATTTTTGGGCTTCCCAAACAGATACGCGAAGTTGGTGTGCAAACGAAAGTCCCCTGAGGTGCAGGCAATGTTCAGCCCGTCTGTAGGTTACAGTTGAATTAGAACTTAGTTGGTTTAGAAATAGGTTTAGAAATAGGTGTGTAGGTTTAGAAATAGGTTTCTAGGTTTAGAAATCGGTTCCTAGGTTTCGAAATAGGTTTGTGATTGTAGATGTAATGAAGTTAATTAGCATAAGTTGAATTCATGGTGATTCTAACTATCATTGGATGGAAGAATAAACCGCATATGTCACTGCCTGGATGTGCATGTGAAATCCATGGCACTCCATCCACCCGGTGAAAGCCATGGAAATCTGGTTGGTGGTTGAGCCCTACCCCTCTGAAAAATGATGGAGTGAAAGTCAGTTGGGATGATGAAATTCCCATATATGAAATGGAAAATAAAAAAAGGTTGAAACCAGCAAATAGATCCAGGTAGTTTTTTCACGTTGAAATCCTTGAAGCCACACAAAATTCTGCGAAAAGTCTGAAATCGCTGCGTGTCACACTGAAATCGCTGTGTGTCTCACAAGAGAACTGAGCTACCCTCTGGTAAACTAACATAGCTATTGAAAATGGCCATAGAAATCGTTGATTTTCCCATTAAAAATGGTGATTTTCCATAGTTTTTTGTTAGTTTACCAGAGGGTAAGTCAAAGGGTCACCACGCCTTGATCTGCTTCGGATCGGAGACGTTCTGCCTGGCACGGGACATTACGACGGTTGACCGTGCTTGACCCGTACGGGTGAGCATCTAGCGGCAGCGGGCGAGCAATCTGAAGACAAAAAACCACCATGACAGGACAAAAATGGAGAAAAGGTTCAGGAAAGCCTCATCTTTAATGGGAAAATCGATGGTTTCCGAGTTTCCGGTTCAGATTTTCCCTACGAAAAAAAATCACTTGAAATCATCAACAGGCTTGGCTCAAGAAGCGGATGCTGCTACCCAGGTCGCGAAAACCTGTGTCACTCCAGACCGGAACTTTTGCGCTGGCATCGGAATGGGTCCTTGATGGTTGTGGACCATAGCGACCCCCAAAAGATATCCAAAAGATGCCATCAACAGATATATCTAACTATTGGGGAAAATACATATACTGGTGATGGATATCTAATATCTAACTATATCTAATATCCAATCATCCAATGTACATATACTGGTTGGTGGTTGACCTACCCCCCTGTAAAATATGAGTTCGTCAGATTGGATCATCCCAACTCTTGAGGAAAATAAAATTCATGTTCCAAACCACCAACATACCACCAACCAGTAAGTTTTGTGGCTGGAAATGGCTCAAAAGAGTGGCGATACACAGGGATGGACCACATAATACTATAAATTCAAGTAATCACATGTGTTCAACGCAGAAAACATCTGTAATCATTCATTTACGTTGATGAATTAATTCTATTTTTTTGTTCCGCCTCAACATAAATTGAACGCTAAGACCGGAAGCCTCAGGAACTTCATGAGATGATGAGACAGAGATTTGGAGAAACTCATCCTGACGAGCCTTCGTCCGCTCAGATTATCCAACCCATCCTGACTCGGTTCCGAGCCTTCGCTTTCGGTTCAGCAAGTTCGGCATGCAGCTCATGATGGCGGAGTGGGCCACCCAGCCGGCTAAACACGACAAAAAACAACTCACACGACGACCGGCTTTTCGGCTGCGGCGAGATGACATCACACGATCCATCTGAAAAATGATCCCTGCCATGACTTCCATTCCAAAATACCAAAATCCTTTCCCATATGCTCCATGCATGGTATATTTACGTACATTTGAGTGATTTTGATGGTATACATATTTCATACATGGAGCATCTGGCTTTGTGTTGGGGGAATCGTTGTCAAAAGCCACAAGATGAAGCTTGGTTTCTGGGCCCCCAAACCATGTCCAGCTGTTCTCGAAGTTGCCCCAGCCTGGGAAGGCCCTGGAAGTCCCCAAAAACCACTGATTTTGGCGCTTTCCTGATGTAGAAATATCCTGTTGATCCTTCAATGTGGGGCCCCCCAGTTATAAGTTGGTTTATAAGCCCCAGTAACTATAGTTATTTGCGTACCATAAACCATAGTTATTGGAGTTATGTTCACCAACTTAGCTATCGTTTGGGGGCCCCACTTTGTTTCTATCCTTCTTTTCGTCACAGTCATAGCCAAAATATTTGGACCATTTCCCTGTAGACCGTGACTAATAACGTCTTTAAGTCAGCATGAGGTTTTTTGATGCTGCCAAAATGCTGCAAATCACCTTTAGGGAGCGGTGAACCTTCTGATGTTCCTGCAAAAACAATAGCTGAGTGAGATCTTGGTAAATGTCCAAAAAGTGATGACCACACCCAAAAAAGACATCTATCCAACATTCACCAGTCGATTTCCCGAAGGAACCAATATATGAATGAAATCTGGAGGTTTATCCTGTAATGCCACTGTCATTAATCCTGTCAAGGGTTTGGCATGTTCGAGCTTGAACCTGATTCCAACAACCTGATAGGCGCCTTCTTGGATGTGCAGATAGTGAATCTTTAATGACCAATAATGACCACTGTATATGAAATATCCTATCCCCGGACTTATGTGTTGCATACATTTGCATACAATCTATGTAGCTTATTACTTATTACCAACTTACTATCTAGCATGCACCCTCAAGTACTGGATTTGATGGGTTTACAATTCCCAGCAACTGGGAGTCACAGTAGGAGTTGACTGGGACGTTGAGGCACGAAGGGGCCATCTAATATGACATGGGTCTGTCCAAGATAAAAATGCACCATTCCATCCAGTCATTTGTGTTTAAGAAAGTGAAGAACTGAGACATCTGAGACTGAAACATTTTCAGAAATGTTGTTTGACCATGGTCTACCTCAAAATCACTCTTAAGACCCTCAAGTCCATTGACATCACGATATATTGTGTCATGTTCCCAACAAACCATTGCCGTCTGCAGGGGGGCTCAAGATTTTTGTAAAACTGGCTAGATCTTGGGATCAATTCCTGGACATGTTCGTGGACAAAACCAGGAATGAGCAGTGTTGAAAACTGTGATGTTTTGAGCCTTTTATAGTTGCTGGGAAATTCAATCATCCACAGTAAGAAAAAACCACTAGAAATAGAAGTATACCCTCTGGTAAAGTAACACAGCGAACTGGAAAATCACCATAAGTAAATCAAGTAGAAATGGCAATTTTTGAAGAGCTAAGTGAAATTACTGGATGGTAATTCCACCATACCACCAATTTTCATTCAGCTCAGCTCGGCATATTTTGGCTGGTGAGAACCCCTGGCCATCCCCAAAATCGTATTCAGCTCAATTCAGCTCAACCAATCAGCCCAAGTATGGTTGAAATTGAACAAATGAAACACATTGAATCCCCCCAACCAGGAACCAAGCAACAGCTCTTGGTCCAAAGCACTGTGTTTTTTGGGTCTAACGGTCTAACGCACCTCTCGGCCTCCCAACTGCCGATCTCTCTCTGACAGCAAACGTGCCTCCAAACCAAGGATTCGACACTTGTTGGCTTGGTAAGGGCTTAATGTGGTAAACCCAATGCCATCAACCAGTGACCATCCGTAACCATCCACAATTGAGGCTCCGTTAAAATAATCAATAAGGATTTACCCAACAAACCCCAAAGAGGGCTGGTTCATTACCAGGTAAAAACCTCATTACATAATCCGAACATGCGGGAGACGGTAGCCACTTTTTCATGGGATTTCAGGATCAGGTTCCATGGGGTGTCAGAGTACCCAGAGGTTTCAGATATTATAGGTTCGCTTCCGGAATGACATTTGATGACATGTGTTTTTAAAAGTGGAATTTACATAACACAAAAAATGACATACTAACCAATTATATACCAATTATTTGATGATCTTTCTCTTTTGGAATATTTTTTTACCAACATTCTGCTTTGTCGGTTTGTCCACGGATTGGGGATTTACCTCCAATCTATGGCAAGGTTTGTGGGGAAACGTGATCAACATATATCAGAAACCAAGGACTTTTCGGGCCTTTCGGATACCCAATGTTCGTTTACAAACCTTCAAAAAGGCGGTCAAATCTGGCGGTCATGTTCCATTCTGTTTGGGATCCATTACCCAATTTGTGTATATTGTGCTGTAAGAAATTATGTGATGAATCCCATATCTATTACCCATATGCTCAATGCATGGTATATTTACCTACATTTGGGTGTTTTTTTGGGGCAAATGTTGGTTAATATTCCATACATGGAGCATATCTATTATGGACCTGCCATATCAATGAGGGATCACGATCCCAGGATAGGACCACGTTGTTTGATACTTGATCTAAAGACAAACATGACCAGGAAACAGTAAATTGATGTAAATTGTGCAATCAATTCATGCAAACAAACACAAACCTCACACACCGGCTTACATGACAATGGTTCTGGATTAGTTGGACTCATTCGTTCATGTTGAGCATAGACATGCAATGGTTGAAATCAAACACCGCAGGTCGGTGATCTTCATGGCTGATCTTACCTTGCAACATACCATTTATATACTGCAGTGTTGATTATAGTCTACATAGCTAGCAAAACATGAAAACCTCGACTAACCTCTACAGTCCATTTATCTAGATACCTACCACTCAATAATCGGTTGACTCAGTCTCTCCCATCGCCACCTGGTTGGCCAGTTCCCGCTCCTTTTCGCGGAGTTCCACGCGCATATGTTCCAGCTCCTTCAAGTGGAGGATGCTTCGTGAGGTTCCATTCGAAGTTCACGGTTTCGGGGAAGGGCCGTTAAATCCCGGAGAAAAGAGCAACTGGGGAATATTTTTTCACTGTGGAAAATGATGAGGCGTTTTAAAGCTCTTAACATCTCCTAACCATTGGTGAATTTGCAGCGTCAGAAGTTTGTCACACGCCCCGGTCCTTTTGCAAGAGGTCTGCATCGGGTCCCCTTCGATCCTGCGATCCGTTGGTTCAGACCGCAGGCACAAACTACTTCTATGCTCCCCAAAAAGAGAGTTGAAAATTTGGATTGGCTTTGGACGCCATTTTTGGCATGTGTTTGCAAACTCATAAACATGTGTTTCTGAATTTGATCTTAACTACTCCTACTTAAAAAACATCTCGAAACTGCAGTCCAATCATGCTCCCTGGCTCCCCATCTTAGTTATGGATACAACTATAGCTCCTAACTGCTCCCATTTGCCTATATTTTCACTGATTCTACTTGCCTAGGGTAAGATCAAAAGCTACAATATCACATCATTTGGGGAGTTATTCAAATCCATAGAAGATGGAAGCCCCAAGATAGCGTTCAGTTGCCTTGCAAGTGGCTGAATTCTATGGTTTATGGTAGATATAACGAACTAGTTAAGTGGCTTAACTATGGTTTATGGTAGATATAACCATACCAACAGCTGGTAGTTGATGGAGGTTATAATGGTTTATAAACGAACAAACATCACTGGGGGGCCCCATCCTTTAAATCCCACCTACTTTTGAGCCCAGGGCATCAGGTTTTTGACCTCCCGGCCAGCCCGTCCCTTGCCTTGCGGCGATATGTGTCCGCAACGCCTGCGATTTTAGAAGCAACGCCTTTACCATGAAATCCAAGGCTGTCCTGTACTTCCTTCAACCAATTGGGAATCGTCATGTAAAACTTAATCGATCTACAAAATGATGAATATTCCAGTATCAGAACCAGAGGGTATCTTTCTTCGATGCGTGTCCATCCTTTTCTAGTGTCAACAGAGGACAATAGAGGATTGCAATTAGAATGGGCCCTTCAAAAAATAATGAAAAATATGAAACAAAATGGCTTTGAAACATGGTCGACTGCCCACTTTTATTTGTTTAACGACTTGGTTACCATAAAAAAAAATGGCATGGTTTGACACAAACACGAGACCCTTCGAGTGAGTTGGCCACCTCCAAGAGCCACCCTCTTCAATGAACCGAACCGACAAAAATCGCCATGTTCATAACATCTCATAACATCTCATAACTATGAAATTATACTATCATGGTTTTATATGGTACCCTCTGGAAAAAGTTAACGTAGCCATGGAAAATCCATCATGTTCAATTTGTTCAATCGGTAAAGTATCGTAAATCACGTAAATCATCTATAGACGGGCCATGTTCCAGTTCGCTATGTTAAATAACCAGGGGGTATATCAAAAAATATTCCCAAAAACCTATTTGAATCCCAGCATTTTGGTGAAGCCCCTTTCCAACCATGGCGGCCCCTTGCTACCCCTAAGCCCTGCCCTGGCGCCCGGGGCTCCTGGTGCAACGCCTCTCCTGGATGGATCAGAATTCCTACAGTAAAAAAAGGCTAGAAATGGGTAGAAACCTACTGTTTTTATACATAATGTGTAGACTTTTACTGGTTGGTGGTTGAGCCCTACCCCTCTGAAAAATATGAGTTCGTCCCCAGTTTTTGTGGGCGTGATAAATAAAACTGTGGTTTTTGGCCAAAAACCACATGCGGTTTTGTCTGAAAATTCGGGCACCCCTTTTCACCATAAGTTGCCACATTAAAATCGCCAATAACTTGGACGATACCTATATAGGGGTCCCTTTTTTGGAAACTTCTAATTGATGACTAATATCCGTCTTCATGTCCAATATATAAAATAATTAGATCATATGTACTTGGTGTCTCCCCACGTTAGGAACCCCCGCATACTCAACTTTATAATATACTTTGCTGTGCAAAGATGTGATCGTCCAAGTCAGCCAAGTCAAGGGTGTGGATGTCCAAATGAGTTCAAATAGTGAAAACCCATGTAAATTATTATTGCTATGTATCAGTAATGTTACGCGCAAACACCCCGTGTCGCCCACAACCCTTCTATGCTGTACACTTGGGGATATCAAACGTTAGACTTTACATTGAATTGGGAAGATCAACAAGGGTATTTAGGGAATATAAATTTCCCACCCCCGTTAAACTTTTCATTGAAGATCTTCAATAAGGGTTTAATTCTCCCGCCACGTTAAACTTCTACATTCATTGAAGATCTTCAATAAGGGTTTAATTCTCCCACCCCCGTTCAACTTCTACATTCATTGAAGATCTTCAATAAGGGTTTAATTCTCCCACCCCCGTTAAACTTCTACATTCATTGAAGATCTTCAATAAGGGTTTGATGATGATGATGATGATGATGATGATGTGTAAGAGACTCGCACAGGTCCCTATGCTGTGCGTGCCGATATAAAACATGAAGTTAGCCATGATGCAAAAAAAACTCCAAATTTTACCACGTTTTCAGCACATACGAAGATGGCCGCCGACAAGCCCGGGCAAGACGAGGTGTTTGGCCGTAATGTTACTATTAGTAAGTGAATTATTTCACTATTGTCTGCAATGTAACTATTTCAATTGCAGAATGATGACACTTACTTTAAATTATCAGTTGTTTCCATTGTTTGATTTGTCACTTATAGTGTGACCACTCATCCGCCCATCGGCTTGCCACAATGGCCAAGCTTAGATACCCTGCATTTTTCCTCCAAGCTGGTCTGCAGCTTTCCCCCTTTCATGGCCAAACAAATGTATATATATATATATACTGTGTATATATATATACTGTATATATATATATATACACTGTATAATATATATATATACTGTATATATATATATATGATTATATATGCTCACACACCCCACCAGAACCCCCCCGAATGCATATTTCATTGGTATTTACAGTACAAAATAGTTCAAAAATCTATATGATTTACAATCACTAAATTTGATCTCTCATGATACATAGTCTGAAGAAAAAATAAGTGCACCCTACTAGCAGCATACATATATATATATATGCATGTATAAATATATATATATATATAATTTATATATAGTGAATCAACAAATCACAAAGCACCGAATTTTACCCAACGTTTTTTGCTGCTTTTAACAGTTCAAGCGCCATATTTCCCGGTAAAGGTCGACCCGGCCACCGAAAAACGCCGCCGAGGCTCTCTTCGAGCCGACGCAACTTTTCCTGGAGAACCTGCAGTCCGTTTCCAAAGTCATGCTGTTGAATCCTCCACTCATAATTAATGGCCAGCAAAACGGTATTTTTTTTGGCCTGGGAATTGCTGAGGATTTGATAGGTGTGGGTCAAACCCAAATGAAAATCAAAATATATCAAAATCGACTTTTTCATAGACTTAATGATCAAAGTCCACATGTTTGAGGGTGTATTGCCACCTCTTCCGATGTGTTGGCCATCTCATGTTTCACCGGTTTGCCTCGATCGTCCGTTGCGCATCACTGGTTGCAACCGATATCTGGCGGAGGCGTCTGTGAGAGCACTTGCCACCCTGTGGGTATGGGAAAAAACAACAAGAAATGCTGGGTCTTTAAATGAATTAACCACTAAAAATAATGGAATACTATGGAATAGTAGAATTTGATGGATTTAGGAAATTTCACCATGAAGACTGGGTATTTCAGCAACAAACATACAATATTCAACATCCGGTAAAGCAACTTCAATATAAAGATCCATGATTCTATAGGATTAGATGGGGATTAGATGGGGATTATGATGGAAAACCAGACAATATTGAAGATTCAATGCGTTGGTTTTCAAGGGATTTTTCACACGGAACGATGGAAATTATTGGTTTATTGGGCTACAAATCTAGGATGCTCTTATAGATCTTCCCAAGAAACTCCTCTGGGATTTGTGATTTACCATCGGCAAAGTAAGATAGATATCGAATTCCCATGTGTTTCCTCAATTGCTGACTTTACATGGAGAAATGTGGATATTCCATCTCTGAAAATGTGGCACCCTTAAAATCGCAATTTCATGGACAATTATGATGAACCAGGGCATGTAGGAATTCCTTATTTTCAGACAATTCGCACAATGGTGATTTTTTTCGCAACAATCGATGGATTGATTAAAGAGAAACTGTGCAGGAAGAATCAGGAAAGCATGTCTGGCTGGTGGTATACCTACCCCTCTGAAAAATATGAGTTCGTCAGTTGGGATGATTCTTCCCAATATATGGAAAGTCATAAAATTCATATTCCAAACCACCAGCCAGAATAATCCGTGTGGGTTGCCTGCAAAAGCGACTGTTGAGAGTCGATTTTAAGCATCAGTCTTCAATGGTTGGTTGCCTAACTGACAGGTGAAGGACTAAGGATGATTTGAAGGAATTATGATTTCACCATCTTTATATACTGACAACAAATGAACCATGTTCTAAATGTCTTACATCCTGGCACCAAATAAGGAAATGCTTACGCCATTGCTTACGTCTTGCTTACGCGCACCAGAGTTTTGCTTACGCCACACCCTTACAAGGGGCCCCTTGCTTAACATGAACACAAGGGTTTAGAAGGTGGCTCAAATCAGGATTTTATGATGTAACCAAATGTTTAATTCATGTATATATTGCTTTTGAGGTTAAGACAACATGAAACGGGCATGGAACCAACAAAATCAAGGACATGTTTTGGCCAACGGACTCGTTACCGTCGCACAAATCCACATCCGGTAGCCTGGGGTGGGGTGGGGTGGGGTGGGATAATAACGTCATTGGCATTTCCACATGAACCTGATGCTACGCTCTATGACCTTCAATTGCAATTCCACATGAACTTGATGCTACCCTCTATGATCTTCAATTGCAATTCCGAACATCCGCATCCGATAGTCGGGGGTGGGGTGGGGTGGGGTGGGGTGGGATAATACCGTCATTTTCATTTCCACATGAACTTGATGCTACGCTCTATGATCTTCATTGGCATTTCCACATGATCTTGATGCTACGCTCTATGATCTTCATTGGCATTTCCACATGAACCTGATGCTACGCTCTATGACCTTCAATTGCAATTCCACATGAACTTGATGCTACGCTCTATGATCTTCAATTGCACTTCCACACATCCGCATCCGATAGTCTGTGGTGGGGAGGGGTGGGGTGGGCTGGGGTGGGATAAAAACGTCATTGGCATTTCCACGTGAACTTGATGCTATGCTCTATGATCTTCATTGGCATTTCCACATGAACTTGATGCTACGCTCTATGATCTTCATTGGCATTTCCACATGATCTTGATGCTACGCTCTATGATCTTCATTGGCGTTTCCACATGAACCTGATGCTACGCTCTATGATCTGCAATTGCAATTCCACATGAACTTGATGCTACGCTCTATGATCTTCAATTGCACTTCCACACATCCGCATCCGATAGTCTGGGGAGGGGTGGGGTGGGGTGGGGTGGGATAAAAACGTCATTGGCATTTCCACATGAACTTGATGCTACGCTCTATGATCTTCTTTGACATTTCCACATGAACTTGATGCTACGCTCTATGATCTTCATTGGCATTTCCACATGATCTTGATGCTACGCTCTACGATCTTCATTGGCATTTCCACATGAACCTGATGCTACGCTCTATGACCTTCAATTGCAATTCCACATGAACTTGATGCTACGCTCTATGATCTTCATTGGCATTTCCACATGAACTTGATGCTACGCTCTATCATCTTCAATGTGAGAAAAAGTTGCGGTTGCCCTTTTTGAGGCTGAAGTGATGGAAGGGTCGTCATTCCCAAAGTAGACGGACCTTTTTTTTTGATAGGTTTTGAATGCAAAAACTGGCTCCTCGCTGTGAGGACGTAGTAATTTTGATCATTTTCGCACGCCGGTAACGCTTCCGCCGGGATGTTTTGGTTTAAGAAAACAGTGTTGGAAGTTTTTGGGTCAATGGTGAACACCAAATTTAAAACTACCAGCCAACCACACATCAACATTATTTTTGCCTGCTATCCCCACGAGTCTTGATTACAATAACCTTACATAATCTAGAGTCTCTAGAGTCGAGATGTTGCAGTACTGAAAGCTATTTCCCATGTTGAAATACCCTCTGGTAAACTAACATAACTATGGAAAATCACCATTTTTAATGGGAAAACTCACTATATATAAATGACAAGTTTCCATAGTTTTTCGTATGTTTACCAGAGGGTACCATGTGCATTCATGATTCTCATTTTTGAGCAATGTCATTGTCATGAATTGTCCTGTCATCATGAATGTCCCAGGACAACTGACATTCATCTCATCCCAAGAAACCGCGAATGATTCCCACCCCATCCCCCGACCTCTCCGACCTCGGAAGCTGCTCCAGGAATGTAGTTGTCAACCTCGGTGGTCCCATCCCCAAACGTCCGACCCAGGACCCAACCCCTGGGACCCCGACCCCTGGGACGGGTCAAAACGTAACGAAACAATTGTAGTGGTCAAGAATCGAAGGAACTTCATCATGGAAATGCATGGAAATGTCATCCATGTCCAATCGACTCACAAACAAAACAACAATGAGTATTTCCCCATGGGGAAACTAGAGAAACTACGGTAACTTGAAGCACTCACTTGGATGTCCAAGTGGGCACACCGGCACACTGTGGGTCCAAACTGATCTTCATATGTGCAGCCATTTCTACCAATACTTTTGTTGATTGGGTCCCAACTTCGATTTGCTTAAGGACCCCCCCAAAAATGAAAAACATTCCCTATAGATTCCCCAAGTAGTAGATTTCCCATTAGGAAAATCAACCATCACCTTTTCAACAAACCCAGGCCAAGTCCTGGTAAAACCAAGGTTTTTCTTCAAGCATCAGACTTTTGGGGCTATGCCCCGAGAATGGATGAGGTCCCTGTTCTTCCTTGTGCTAGTATGAATAGTATATGGTCAGCAAATGCTGCCGCCAGAAAGAAGAAAGTTCAATTCATTTCAATTCCAAGCGTGGAATCATGCTCACGGTCCATGCCTAACGCAAGATCAAGAAATTGCCTTGGGACCTCCAATTAGATATTACGGTAGAATCTCCTACAAATGGACTCGCATGTGTTCATTTGACATATACATATGGTATCATATGATAAAATACCTGTTACATGGGTTACAATGATTGCCCATCTGAGCCAAGAAGAACTCTATAAATTATCAATTTCTATGATGTGGTTTTGCATAGGATTCACTATCCCCAAGTCATCTCCATGTGTATATCTGGGATTGAAACCATCAATCCATATGGTGCCTCTATGACATTGCTTTGCTCACATTGATTAATTTATCAGTATCAACCTTCACTAACATTAATGATCAGCATCAACTATGAAAAAACACCATTCATTGTCATTGTTAATTAACCATTGTTAACCATTAACCACTAATAACAATCAATAGCAACCCAACAATCATCTCATACTTCTCCAACAAAATATCTCCGCGCCTCACTTAAGCAATTTCCCTCGATGGTGGATGAGTTGAAATCCCTTTGAACTAAATCAATTTGCAAAATCTGAGGATAGCAAATCGTCGTTAACAGTTAATTTTGAACCAAATCGACTTCAGGAAGTCCAAGACTATCAATTCAAAGACGAAGAGCCGAACGTGCTTTGGTCGCAAATCGCAAGGACGTCAGGGACCTGCAGCAACAGTTGAGTCAAGACGGCACCAGCCAAAAGAGAGAGTATACCCGCTGGCAATTTAACTTGAATATGGAAAATGACCAGTTTGGATTAATAATAGTAAGTTATATTATGTTGTATAGTAACAATAGTCATATAATATAGTAATATATTAATTAATCACCAGTTTTTCCGAATCACAATAGTGATACATTATGTTATTAAAAAAAACGGCCATCTTCCATGGCTAAGTCAACTGGATCTGGGGGCGGTTCAAAAACAAAGATACTCAATAGTACTCAGATAAGGTTTTTGTTTAGATGAAATCCCCTAATGATGAGAATTATAGATTAACAATGTACTATATGTTTAATTATGATACAATAATTATACTATATTATATTATATTATAGTATAGTATATTATAGTATAGTATATTATAGTATATTATATTATATTATAGTCCTATTGGATTATGAATGAGAAAACAATAAACCACATCTTAATGTTTCAGCAAATCCAAGGAAAAATCCAAACCATTGCCATGCTCTTCTGGCACAGCTCTTTTTGTGCAATGTGAGGCCCCCCGTTGTGATGTGAACGTTGGTTAACAAAAGCCCCAGGAATACTATAGTTATAAGTACCATTTTTACCATAGTTATTTTTTGGGGATTCTGGCACAGAATTTTTCATATTGCAACATCGTCAAAGATGTGGCTACAGTAGAAGAATATACAGTATATATGAACATCCCAATCCGCTTGCTCTAATATTGCAATGTTCACCTGGGCTTTGACCAAATGGGGCCCCCAACCAAAAAGGAAGTTGGTTGAGAAGTATAGGCTAACGGATGGGTTTATGGTTGTAATTGGATTGGTGAATAGTGATGTTCCTTTGGAGGAATGGAGTGTCGGTGTATGGTTGGTACAGTATGCGATTCACATCAGTTAGACCTATACAAGTAATGACAACCCCAGGAAAAAAAGGGTTTTAATTTGGGGGGGTACTCCCCAAATCGTGATAATCTGATACTTATATACATGGTTTATATATAAATCTAGGTTGGCATTGCTGATTGTTCCAGGATGTTTTTTTGGGGGGGGAACCCTCTATGAATAGCCCCCGACCGGTGGGGAAATCCACGTCATCGTGGCCAATACTAGATACCTTCGTATCGAAGTAAGTGTTAGCTGGTTAGTATACATCTCCCTAATATTAAACCCCCCAAAAATGGTCCCAATGATGTGGAAATTCCCGACATCTGGGAAAAATCCAAATTCACAAACCTGAAATAAGGAGATTTGGGGATGATTTCCCGAATCCTCAACATGATTCCCATGATTCCAGCGACGTCACGATGCGAGGTCACTATCATTCAGCCAGATACATCCCCATTTACAGTAAAAAGACTTGAAGAACTCAACGACCCATCCGGTGGGTTAGTCTAACTGCGTTTTCTCAGTACGAGATCATCTTCCAAAACAATGTGTGAGTACCAGAGGGTATAGACCCGCGTCGTTTCTGGTGAAAATCCCGTTTTTGGTTGCTTAACGAAATGAAATCTCCAGCTGTTGTTGGTCGAATCTCTACCTTTGGTTGGTCAAACCGCCATTTTTTGGGTTAGCCACAATGTGGCCCCCCCAGTTATAAGTTGGTTTATAAGCCCCAGTAACTATAGTTATAAGTACCATAAACCATAGTTATTGGAGTTATGTTCACCAACTTAGCTATCGTTTGGGGGCCCCACTTTGTAGGAAGTGGTTTGTGAACTAACCCTGGTTACTCAGTCCCAAATTCATCCCAATTCATGGATTGTGCCGATGATGCCCTTTAAACATTAAGGCTTACTCACCACATGAAACTGAGATGATCCTCACCCAGTCATATGGTTGGTTCTATCATCTCATATCCTCACCGACTTACCAAACCAACTGATATAAGCCCTGGCTGGTGGTATACCTACCCCTCTGAAAAATGATGGAGTTTGTCAGTTGGGATGATGAACTTCCAACTGAATGGCAAGTCATAAAATTCCATGGTTCCAAACCACCAACCAGAGCCACATTAACCCACCATGTCATAGGTGGGATTATAGATATTATAGTATATTATAGTGGGATAATGTGGGATATGTCACCAGCTAATAATCAATCCCACCTGGTTGGTGGTTGACCTATCCCCCTGAAAAATATGAGTTCGTCAGATTGGATCATCATCCCAACTATTGGGGAAAATAAAATTCATGTTCCAAACCACCAATTATAGTGGGATATGTCACCACTTTGGATCCATGGCCACTGTCTCAGAAGGTACGGCTAACCCCCTAGTCATCATACCCCAGTCACACTTCCTTTCGGAAGGTACGGCTGGATCCATAGGGATAATCAATCCCACTATAAATCCCGCCATTTTGGACTTACTAAACCAACTCAGCGAACTGAAAACAACTGAGGGAGACCCCACTGCTCAGCAAAGGAAGCGGCTGGATGGACTGTCACCTGGCGCTCGCCAACTTCCTGACAAACATGGGGGATTTCCTGGGATGTATGGCTCATTTATGATAGCTAAGTTGGGGGCCACATAACTCCAATGTTTCTATGGTTTATGATACTGCTAGCTAGAATATTCATTGGGATTTATAGTGAATTTATGTTAGCTAAGTTGAAAACCATGGCTTATGGTATATACCCTCTGCTTATTTAACGTAGCTATGGGAAATCACCATTTTCAATAGGTAAATCATCATACATCATTTAGAAATGGGCCATTTTCCATAGCTACTTTAAATAACCAGAGGGTATATCGAACTAATTGATGGTGCTTATAAACCCACTAACATCACTGGGGGGTACCACCTGGAAAAAAAAAAAACATGGTTTTTGAGTCAACAACAAAGTGGTCTGGAAGCAACAAACATTGGGATCAAATCGGCAAAGATCAGGATTTCACAGATTTAACACACCAAAATTGGAAAAATCATGAAAAAACCATGGGAAATTCATGGAAAAATCTGGATTTGGGTCCCAAAAAACATGGCCAACTGCTGAAGCAACCGATCCCCTCGGTGTCTCCCCTCTCCCCAGGTTGACCAGCAGAAGGGTTCGAGCGTCACCACCCAGGGAGGAGCGTAGCACCTGGCGACGTCTGTGCCCCGTTTTGGGGGTATGGCTCTTTTTGGGTCCTGTGGGACTGATATTTTTGAGAAAATCCGCCCAGATATTTTTGATGTGGATCTTTTTGAGGAAATTCACCCAGAGGTCACTGAGGCGACTATAGTGCAGAAAAATCGGTGTCACATTCCAAACCATCTTGGAGTTCAACCATCTTAGTTGCAGATCAATATTTGCAGGGGCAAAATGTTCTGCACCTTAAAACCTGTGAATTGTGAAATTTAGCCGTCCTGGGTATATCTATATAAACATGAAACATGTGAAAAACCCGGGGAAACATATGGAAAATAATGTGGAGCAATATAGGGAAATTTGAAAAAATGTTGATTTAACCAAAAGAGAAAAGACACATGATTTAACCAACAAACATTGGGATTTATAAGCAAGAACAATGGTTGTTCCATGTTGTTCCATGTTGTTCCACACTTTGTCCTCGAAATGAATTCATCTTAGTTGAATGTCTTCACTGACAATGCCTAAAATGAATACCATCTGGTTATTTAACATAGCCACGGAAAATCACCATTTTTAATAGGTAAACCATCTATTTCTATGGGCCATTTCCCATTGCTATGTTAGTCATAACCAGAGGGTAATTCCAGCTCCACCGACTGAGTTCAGTGCCCGGGTCAGTTTCGAATCTCCTGAGGTTTCGAGCCGCTTTGATAAACACGGGCAACATCGGGCAACCGTTTTTTTTTTCAACCTTGGATTATGACACAATGACAATGCGTGTTGCTCAATTTGAATATCGGGGGATTCTTTGTCGGTCACATTCTCATGCACCACTGGCTATAGTTACTAGCAGGGTTACTATGACAAGTCCATAAGGCCCATTAAAACCGTCAAACCTAATCCGACGGGTCATATAATATCATATATATATAATATCATATCATATCTATGTAGTTTAAATATGTTTAAATCCCCATAGTTGTTGTTGAAAGTCGCCGCTTCAGAGTTAGATATGTAAAATTCATATAAATTCATAGCCCATAGGATCCATGTATGCTATATATGGTAACATTTACCATCCATATAGCCCCAATGTTAGCATATATACCATACATGGATCCTATGGGTAGTAAAATCACACGTGAAATCCATGTTCCACGGCATTTTGTCATCCAAGCGTCGGTAGGGGATGAAGTCGCCCCTTGCTGAAGGGCTGCGCGGCCTGGATCAACGATGGATATGTCAGCAGAAAAAAACACCCATGACGAAGAGGGATTTTTATTTTTTGGACATCCAATTGGTCATGGCATTTTCGTGGATTTATCCAATTGGTCATAGGATTTTCATGGATTTTTATGTTTTTTCAAGATTTTCTGGGGATATAATTATGGCTTATAGTTGCGGGATGTAATGGGATGCTCCTGATTGGAGGTTGGTGGTGCTGAATAATGGTGAATACGCCCTCCAAGACTGGCAAACTGATGTGAAAACCCAAAGCCCAAAACATCAAAATCCCGAGCCCAGGCCAAAAACCAGGACTTAACAAGCTGAACACAAGGAGGTTTGTTTGAAAACTATGCGAAACACACACTCCCATGCTTGAAACCTCATGTCCCCCATAGATAGATGGCTAAAAGGCACCATTAATCATGTCGAGCATGGTATATCATAGCATTAGGGTGGCACCAGGTTTCATATTAATTATACAAGATGTCCATGGGCCAAAAACTGCTCCCAACACCTCAGATATATACCGTATCTTGGGGTTTCATGGCGAGTGAAAGAGGTAACATGACCCATGTCCTCCCCTTGTGGCTATATTTTAACCTCTGGTTATTGAACGTAGCTATAGTGAAAATCCACCATTTTTGATAGGTAAATCGTAGCTTGTCCTCATAAATCATCTATAAACGGGCCATTGTCATCCATTTTCCATAGCAAGCTGCAAACTGTTGAATAACCAGGGTACTTCGAATGGGTTCGAGCAACTTACCATAAACCAACCAGGCTTGGTCCATTTTGCCGTTGTTGAAGCCCTGCCTCGAGTGTTCAGCGGTTCTGAGTGCTGCCGACCAAGTTGCACCTAGGATGGGAAAAAACACCTGGACGACCATGCTTTCGACCCACTAAAACATGTAGATGGGGATCCTTCTCCCAAGTCAAGGAGAAACTGAAACGTATACTTCACACCAGCAACTGAACAAAAAAAAACATGTTTTTTCCCTGGAAACCAGGTGTTTCTACGAATGAGTTCCAGCAATGTAAACGGGGGTCCACCGACCCCTCGCGGGGTACCGTTGTACCCAGGCTGCGAAGATGGAACTTGACTGAAGTGGGGGACGAAGCCGCTTCAAATGAGCTAGAAAAGGACAGAATTCCAAGACTATCGGGAAAAAAGTAAGAACATGTAAGAACTATGTTCAGTCATATCCAGTTGATGTGTTTCAACCCTCTTGAAACATGTGAGTCGATATGAGCGATTGGGGGATCATCATGCCATTTCTCAAGCTGGAATGCAACAAGAATTGATTGAAATCGCCCCTGAAAAGTCCTGAACATCTTTGACGACTTTGGGATGACACAGTCAACACGAATCAGTTGGTAAGTCATGGATTTTTTTTGGAGCGGATTATGGCATTGGGTGAATTATATAGGTGTACCGAAGTTCAAAAGATCATGAGGTCATGGGGGCAAAATGATCATTCCCAAACTGGAAAGAAGCCATCACTTTTTCTGTGGGGGATAATCCCCCAGATGCTGGTAGTTATAACCCCAGTTCGTAAGTAGGTTCTGGGGCCCCAGGAAAAAACGTGGGAAGTATTCGGTTTGTCCATGCTTAAATGTTAGTCACTTAGTCCAGCTTTCCAGCTTTCACTGGGCTTATAACCAACTGACTGGGGTTATAGGCCTCATGGTGAAGTCAGGCTGGCCACTAGGCTGCTGGGTCTCCCACCAGATCGACTCAACTCCCGCCCGGAGCGTGGCGAAGGTGAAGCCAGCTCCTGAAAAAACAGCAAGAGGCGCTGATTTCATAACAGTGCCCAATTGTGGATCTGGCTACACTATGATTTGTATGTCTTGTACATATGGATTATATTCACACGATACGACATACTATATATGGCTCATATTTCCCCAACCTGAAATTCGTGTTTTTGATTTACTTTGGGGTGATTCCCCTTATATACTGTATGCTAACCAGCACATGAGGTGGACGGCCAGTGAGCCAAACTGTATAAAGGCTAGTAGCATCGCCTTATAATTGTAAGATCATTAACCATCATTATCCATCACCTATCAATTGTATACCTATCAATTGTATCAACTTAAACTGGTTGGTGGTATACCTACCCCTCTGAAAAATGATGGGCTTCGTCAGTTGGGGTTATGAACTTCCCAACTGAATGGAAAGTCATCATCCATTCCATGGTTCCAGTCACCACCAAGCAGTACATAGTTGTCACATAATGATCCATCATTATCCCACTACTATCCAATTCTTTTATCGCCACCACGGCTGTTCCAGTCACCACCATCTCGGCCCAGACATTGGGGGCACCGGCTTGATGGGTTGATCTCAGCAGAAGGTATCCACAATGCTTAGTTTGATACTCCCATGATTCTTAAGGAAAATCCTAAACCATATAGAATAACAATAATGGGATACATAACATTTTAAAACATTCTTCTAAACAATAATATAATATAATTATTTAAGGAGCCTCTCCATACAATTTCACGTTTCGAGTCCCGATACAGGTGCCGCAACTGCTCCTTTAACCATCCCGAGCTCCTTTCTCAGCAGCGAAGGCGCCCGGCGAGTGGGAGAACAACCTCAGTGGGCGACCAATCCATGATTCATTGGAAAAACCATAGGAAAACCATAGGAAAATTGTGATTTAATGGGATTTCATGGGATCTTATGGTGATTTTATTGTGATTCATTGGAAAAAGTTGTTGCCTAGACCCTCCGTTTGTACCCTCTGGTAAACTTAACATAACAATGGAAAATCACCATTTTTGATGGGTAAATCCACTATAAATTGCCATGTTCAATAGCTATGTTAGTTTACCAGAGGGTACCCGTACAAATGTGGTTTTACCCCATAATCTAAGTACTTGATGGTACTTTCACCATTTGTTGGGCTATTTACAGGGTTACACACCCCTCAACTTCCAGGCAAAGGAACCAGATAGGTAACCAACCACATGTTATCAGGTAAAATCATCCTGGTGACCTATCTCAGAGGTAACTGGAAGGTTGGGGTGATATCGTGATATCCCATAAAAACAATTGGTAAGATTGGGAAATAACCATCAGGAAATAGGTTAACCAACAAAAATCTCAATGAGCTGACTCAGGGAAAAAAACGGCAGGAAACCATGGTTTTTAACCCCAACTAAGGGGGTTCCAGGGGTTCCGGTTTCTTTTCCATGCAAATTTGGCAATAGCTCTGCCAGAATTGGGTCCCGCAACAAAAGGTCAAAACAAACAAGACATCCCAAAAGAATCCAACAGATGTGGCTTTGTCTACCCCCATCCCAAATCCAATGGTTTGTTTCTTGGTTGATCATGGTTTATCATTGTCGCGGGGACATTTTTAAGGGGATATACACCGTTTTCAAACGCACCCATGTGCGTAGGGTTGGTACGTGCTGTGTTGATGTGTGTTGTATGTACAGCTAAAGGATGAGAAATGGACCATATGATGTGTTGGCTGTAATTCCAAACATACATGTAATCATATATATATATATTGAAACCATGAGGTTCTGGCCAGCCAATGGATAGCACAGTATGGGTTGTCAACAAAACATCCCAGAATTCCGTCCTTAGATCTACAATCATCATGAAAAAAAAATCCATGAATGACTCTATGCCTATGCATTGACAATAGCCATTGGACTCAATTTGTTGGGTGGGTCATAGAGTTGGAAGTCCTACTGGTATGTCTGGTCTAGATGAGGTTTTAATCAGTCCAAGCCTGCACAACAACAACAACAACAACCACAACCACAACAACAACAACAACAACAACAACAACCACAACCACAACCACAACAACAACAACAACAACCACAACAACAACCACAAAAACAACCACAACCACCACAACCACCACAACCACCACAACCACCACAACCACAACAACCACAAGAACAAGAGCAACAAGAGCGACAAGAGCAGCAGCAACAACAACAGAAAAACCATGGTCAGAGTCTTGGCACCGGACTCAGCCGATGTCCATCCTTGCACAATTTGGAGATCACCTGCCATAGGCGGGGCCAGCGGGGCCAGGCTCAGAACAGGAGAAGCATCCCTATCCACAACGACAATCAGTATCATCATTGTCCTGGCTGAGTTGGTCTATTTCACTAGTCTTGAAATACGAGGCTTTATGCTAATATCATGTAACAACCATAGGCTATAGTTTATGGCTGAATTTAATGATACTTCACCAATCTGACATGTACATTGTCAAAATAAGCGATAGTTACCCCAATCCAATTCCCATCATTCGTGCCGTCGCGACGTTGAACAGTCAATGCCCCATAAGATGCGTAGTTGAATGTAGTTGAACAATAAGGGTCTGTGTAAAAATAGGGTACCCCCATATTCCAATGGATTATAACATCAATTTCTAGATGTTTTCGAAAAAAAAAAAAAAACTAACAAAAACTAACTCAATTCCAATGGATCAAACAGAATTGCCCCTATTACCATCTGTTTTTTTAACATAGCGAACAGGAAAATCCATGATAAATGGAGGTTTATAGTTTATAGCTGGGAAAATCATCTATAGATGGGCCATGGCTTCCATAGCTATGTTAAATAACCAGAGGGTAAAACATATTAAAACCATAGTGCACCCCTTTATTAAAACCAGATCGACACGTCTTATAGTGCGGGCTCTTCGCCTCGCCCAGGAAGAAAAGGCTTCGGTTGATGTGACGACCATCCTGCAGGGCCGCAGACCCGAGAAATCAACCCGACTTAGGGTGGAATACCATTTTTTACCATGAATTTATATTTAATAGATATCATAACATGGAAGATCATTATCCCAAGATAATCCCATTCAATTAAAAGATATTGAAATATGATATTTCTATTTATGATTATTTTATTTATGTAATCTAGAGGATTTTACTATAGCTACTATAGTGAATCTATCTCTATTTAATCATATTTAATCTACATCGGATGAATCGAGCGTGCTTTCTCTCTATCTAGGGGATTCATCTGATAGCAATCTCTCTCTCTCTCTCTATTTTGGGGACCAGTCAGAACTACCCTCTGGTAAACTAACATAACTATGGAAAATCACAATTTTTAATGGGAAAACTCACTATAAATGGCCATTTTCAATAGCTATGTTAAATTACCAGAGGGTAATCAAACAGGCTTTGAAGAGTTCCGGGGACATCAGGGATCAGGCCAAGAAAGGGGGCAACACGGCAACACGCTAATCGTTTTGTCCGGAATCTCAAGAACTAGCTATGATTATGGCACTAACCGTTTTTTTTTTTGGATGGGCTTAGTTCATGATATATAACTTATATAACCTCAATTTTTAATATAGGAGTTATAACTTATAATCCCATTTAAAATCAAATTCATTTACACCCAAAACTTCTTTGTGGCTTACGCGAGGGGGCGTCATCAAACATACTTTGGTAGCCATGTTTGATTAGAACTTGGTATTCCCATTAAATCACCATTAGAATTAGAATCCCTTCAATCACCATTGGAATCCATTCAATCACCATTATATCCCATCAAATCACCATTGGAATCCATTCAATCACCATTATATCCCATCAAATCACCATTAAATCACCATTAACTCCCTTTCAATCCCATTAACCCCCATCAAATTAGCATGTTCCCATGGAAAAAAAGCAAGGTTTGTGGACCTTTTGGTACCACAATCGACTCAGTCGCCCTACTCAGTCCTCAGATGCTTCATGCTTGTGATTTTCGCAGCCTGGTGATCCATACGCTTCAACAACAGCAGGGAAAAGATGGCCCATAAATCTGGAGAGTGGCAGGCTGTGGGAGTGCGCTTTTTGGTAAGTTTTATGTATTGAATCATGTAGAAGATGAGTCACTTCAAACATATGTTTATGTTTGTCTTACTTTTGAGGCGTGCCAGTTATAGAGCTACAAGGATATATATATATGTAGATATATATATTTATTTGTATTGTGTAAGAACTTTTGGCTTCAAGTCTTGTCTATACGGTACATATCCAAATTTGTACATCAGGCAAAAATAAACTACAAGGACCTGCAAGCAAACCCGTCAATCAGCTGGGAAAATTCAGTTTGGTAGAAGTCTGCTGTGATGCAGCCATTTTTGCTATGAAATACCCTCTGGTAAACATACAAAAAGCTATTGAACATGGCAATTTATAGTGGATTTACCCATCAAAAATGGTGGATCTTTCCATAGTTATGTTAGTTCACCAGAGGGTATTGTATGGAATCAATGAATATCAAAGAAAAAATGGTCCCTGCGAATCCGGTGTCGACCGAACGGTGCATCAAATTGAGGCCTGAGTCAGGCCTTGATGTGTAAAGAATGCTGTGAATGCAGTAAAACCTCTTAAGATATTTTTTTGATCATGGGAAAACTGCACTCGCAGGGGCTGCCGTCCTGGAAATATGATATATATATATATTATAAATACATGTGCATAATATATATATATGAATATATATATATATATATATACATTATTATTATGTGTATATATATATATAATCTGGCTACATGTAAAATATAATAATAATATAGATACTGTATATATATATATATTTGAAAAATATGTGTATATATATATATACATATACATATACACGTATACATATCATGTATTTTATCTTACTATAACTTTTATGTATGTAACATTATGTGCAGACCCCCTTGTGTCGTCCAGCATCCTGGGTGATGCTGTTCTGCATTCAAGAGCGAAGATCAAGCGGGCTATTAGGAACAGATATGGCAGTGTGTCAAAACCTTGTACCCCTGGTGAACATCAAAATAGCTGGTAAATGGATGTTCATCCCCCTAAAAATGGTATTAATAGGTATTGATCCATAGCCTCCCACGCCCGTTAAACTTCACATTCAATTGGAATGATCAAGAAGGGTATTAGGAATACAAAGTTCCTACCCCTCAACTCTACAATGGGATCAAGACGGGGATTTGGCGTATACATTCCCCCGTGCAACTTTACATTCGGAAGACCAAGAAGATGATGATGGTGGTGATTATGGTGATGATCTGGTTGGTGCCCTCTGAAAAATATTAGTCAGTTGCGATGAATATTCCCAATATATGGAAAAATAAAAAATGTTCCAAACCACCAACCAGTGACTTAGTGATGATGATCATGATGTGTCATCCGCACAGGTCCCTATATGCTGTGCGTTCCGCTATAGAACATCCAGTCAATCATCGCCCACAGACTCGGGCAAGACGACAAACTTGGCCGTAACATTACATTATAGATACTGGTTCATTTTCTATGTTTGATGATTTGTGTACTATGTTTACCCTCTGGTAAACTAACATAGCTATAGAACATCACCATTTTTTTATGGGTAAATCAACTATCGATGACTATTTATGTATATCAAGTCCCACGGACCTAGCCATATCACTGAGGGCCCCTTTGGGGGTGCTTCCATGGCTGCCCCCGTAGGTGTAACTTGGGTCACTTGTGTTTGGGTTAACTATGGTGAAAGAAAACATTCCAAAAATACAGGGCCTCCAAGTCATAAGTGGATTTACAACCTCACATGTAAGTGTAGATATATCATAATGTTAGTAAAACGATCGTAAACCATCTCCAATTTTACCATGGATGGTATAAACCATCAATCCATATAGGTGGTTCCCCATGGTTTACCGACATTGCTTTGACATATATCCACCATGCCAATCGGTTGCCACCGCCGTTCCTGCCAGATCCACAATGTCCAGCTTGCTCCGCGCTGAGACCTGCAAAAATCCCCTTGCTGGCAGGTTGATGCAGCTTGAGGGATGTTGGGGGGCATGGTAACCATCCATTTTTGGCGATGGATCGATGGATCAATTTTTGAGCCATTCCCAGAATATGCACCATGCACAAGGCAAAACGTATCGTTTTTTTGTGTGTCCCCTATCGTTTTAGAAGGTTTCATCCAAAAACCAAGATGCAACCTCCACTACATATTTAATCAATGCAATTTTTGACGGAATCTCATATGGCTGCTATGATGCAAACAGACTGGGTTTACAAATGCCCTGCACAAGGAGATTTCTGCCATGTCATTTCTATAGGCTAATAGGGGGTGCCATTTGGAACTATCAATCTGGTCAATATGACTACTTGGAGATACTGTGGGGCGTGCTATTGTAGTCATGGAAATACCATGGTATTTTTTGGCAATGATATCTGAATGGTGAATTTTCTATACCTATGTTGATTTGCTGGAGAGTACATTCTGCTGTTTAAAATAACTTGGATCCCTTCCTGCATGGTGACAGCTTCTCACAGAGAAGAACGTGCGATAAATGGATGTGAATTGTATAGTTTCCAAGGCATGCCTTGCAACAAACAGTCAGCATTCACTTCAAGGACAGAGTGGAAAAGTGCTGTTAGACGATTACCCCAATGCTCGGAGGGTAGTACCGAAAGCCGGGGCCTTCGCTTACGTTCTACTTCAAGAAAGCCTGGTGATAAATCAATGTGCACCCAACTCAAATGAAATCAAGTATACATATACCCTCCTGTAAACTAACATAGATGTTTTTTGTAAACGTTTACCGTAGGGTAGATATAATAAATGGGATACCCCAATGGCTGGATGGTTTATTTCATGGAAAATCCACCAAACAATGGATGATTTAGGGGTATATCCGGTATATGTGGGTTTCTTAAAATGGGTGATACCCCAATAGCTCGATAATTTATTTCATGGAAAATCCTTTTCAAAATGGGTGAGTTGGGGATACCTTAGGAAACCTCCAGATTTTTGTGCTGCACAGCAGGCAGCCTCAATGGCCCCACGAGCTGCGAAGGACAAGGTAAAGATCACATGGGAACCTCACCGAGATCGCTGCGGAGCTGCCAATCTTGGCCTGCAAAGAAAATATGGATGTTGAGCTGGTTCGTATTTGTTGCTAGATCTAGTTTACCACATAGTGAAATTTCTTGGTCTCAGTCTTCTGCTGTTTTTTGGCTTAGGTTCATAGATTCCAATCATTTCAATAGCAAAGAATTTTGAGGATCTGACCCAGACCCAGCTTGGATCTGATCTGGAGCTTGGTACAAATCTCACCCTACCCAATACTCCCAATTGCGAAACCCAGATTTAGTCTGATTTCGATGATGATCATTGATGATCTATGGTTTTGTTGGACTTTTCACATGCCAAAGAAACGAACAACAAGACACGCACATTCCCCTGCTGGGACAGTTGAGGATGCGGCGACTGCTGTAGTCGTTCCATCTGGTTCTGGCATATCTCCTGGATGGAAAAGCATGGGATGAATAGGCGGAAGAGCGTCAATTATATATACAGTTATAAATAATATTATATATATATATGTATGTATATGTTTATATAATATGTGAATAAATGTAAATAAATACATCAGGCACTCTTGCGATTCCAAAAAAAAGATAGCCAGGTTCCCGGGAATCGTAATCGAGAGCCATCCAGCAGATCTTTTCCGGCAGTGAATTCATCGTTTGTGCCACAGGTTTCATGTCAGACGCTACGGGTGAACTAGGCAAATTACAAAGATCAAATAAGCCTAAGCAACCAAGTTACAAGGTGAGTTTTCCATCGAAACATCATCCATAAAACATGATTTGTTCATTCACTGGTTGGTGGTTGACCTGCGCCTCTGAAAAATGATGGAGTTAGTTCGTCAGTTGGGATGATGAAATTCCCAACTGAATGGAAAGTCATCATCCATTCCACGGTTCCAGTTACCACCAGACTCAGATTCATAATCCCCAGTTGAACACCGGGACTTCGTCAGCTGGGATGATGACATTCCCAATATATGGAAAAATAATCCAAATGTTCCAAACCACCAACCAGTTGGAGTATAACTATAGTATAAGTATATTATATATATATCATTATAGTATTATAGTATTATAGTATTATAGTATAACTATATATTATATATACTATCTCACCTTAACCACCAACCAAATCACCAATCACTTGGGCGATTTTTCATGGCTCCGCTGGATGATCCCCCCCCGTCCACGGCCCCCGCGGCCCTTCGTCGTCCTCCGTTCTTCACCGCGGGCCACTAAACACAGCACGTCCTGGACGGCACTTCGTCGGCTTTCGGAACAGATCTATGGTGTTGATGGCATATTTATGGAGGAACATTTCAAAGAACTGATATATCCATAGATATATAATTTATTATAATTTGCCATATATCTATGGAAATGTATTTGCAATTGTTTTGAAGCATATAAACAATCTATGACATTGCAAAGTAAATGACATATCTTGGGAACAGCCTGATGGAATTCTATGGAGGATTGAACAAAATATCTGGCAATGTCATGAAAAAGTGTGAACTCCAGATCAATCAACTCCCAATTTAAGTTGATGTGTGTTCACAAAATAGTCAAATGTGTCCCTTTATCAATGGTAACTCAACAAGTAGTTAGCAAACTAGAGGTGCATTAATCTGGGGTTGATATTACTTATCCTCTTGTAATCAAACATGGCGTGCTGGAAACTCTCCTATTTAGATCCAGTTATTCAATGACTTTTCCATACTTTTCGATGGCCATTTGGTGCGTGGATTTCTCCGCTAGCCATGTTTGATCACCAGTTTGGGCATATCAATTGGAACAAAAAGTGTTGAAGTTTCAATTTCAAATGACCCCCCAAACGAAAAATCCAAATTCATGCTGCTCATCTAAAAACACTATTCCAAGATTCTGATCCCAGTGCGATCCCAGTGCTCTAGCTGTTTTCAGGATCAACACGTCCAAGGGCAAACATGAGCACCAGTCAATGAGCTTACGGGCCGTCCATCCCGGGTCCTATCCCTAATCATGATAACTTGGGGTTCCCTATCTGATAGCTACCCTCTGGTTATTTGACCAAACTGGAAAATCAGCATGATTAAGTAGTAAATAATCAGAAAAATCTATAAATTATCTATAAATCATCATAAATCATCTATAGATTATCTATAAATCATCATAAATTATCTACTAATTATCTATAAATCATCATAAATTATCTATAAATTATCTATAAATCATCATAAATTATCTATAAATTATCTATAAATTATCTATAAATTATCTATAAATTATCTATAAATTATCTATAAAGACGGCCATGTTCCGTAGCAATCTGTTTTTTATGACCTCTGGGCGATTGAAAAATCGCCTCTGGTCGGTGAGGCTATCGGCTCCGTTCCCGGCACCTCATTACTATAGACCGGTGCTTCCCTCAGGCCCTGGACGAAGAAGCCCTGCCCCTTGGCGCTCGGCGCTGGGCGCTTTCTGGTGATGACTAATTCACAGTGAGCGTTCTATGGAAAATCCACCCATGCTATTAAGAACGGCAAACCATCTATTTCGATTAGGGCCATCTATACCATGGCGAACTGTTAAATAACCAGAGGTCAAATGGGTGGTAGAATGAGCGACATTCCCCTCGCAGAAAAAAAAATGGACTACATTTTGGCATAGGAAACATAGTTTCTACGGGAGTTATGCCCTACCTCTTCGTAGTGGGAATTGCAACGGGGATCCGCAGAATGGATATCACTTTCCTCTAAGAAGATGGTAAACCCAATCAACTTCAAATTGGGGATGGCGAATTACTAGTTCCTGGCAAATGGGGAACGTTTTATCATTTACCACATTATTCTGGGTAAATTATAATATTTCACTAACCTGAATTAAGGCCATATTGGGATGATTTCCCTTACTAACCATGATTCCAGTGAGGTCGCAGTGAGGTCGTTATAATTTACCCAGATTATTTTGGAGCTGGTTGGTGGTTTCAACCCATCTGAAAAATATGGAAAAATAAAAAATGTTCCAAACCACCAACCAGAGAGGTATGTTTGATTCATCTTATGTTTGCTCTGCATCTGTCTTATGCTCACTGCGCTACTGACATAATCTGCCTTAGGTTTTTGTCCATACGGGAAATTGTTGTGATTCGTCCTCGTTCATTTGGATTTTTTTGACAGAACACTTTAACATCACTTAGTTATATCTGAACCAGCGGTCATTTGGCCTCCAGGTGTGTTATTGTAGCAACAAAAACGGGATATTCACTTCAGAAAAAGTGGTAGACGCTAACCTAAAATGCTAAGAATGCTTTTTGCTCATCCAAAAAACACTTCGATTTTGGGTCGGTAAAATAAATACAGAGGTCAAGAAAATTGCCAGGGCTGAGGAGTTGGCAGCACTTTCCTTGACCGGAAGGGAGGTAGATACCTGGATGCAACTGCCCTTTTTCAACAGGAAACAGGTGACAGCTCAAAGATTATCGCACCATCAAGCCTAAATTTGCTGCGACAAGCCCACTCCTTGTTTTGCCAGGAAATTTGATGAGCCCTGAAATTACTCACATTCAAGGCCAGGGGACCATGGTGTTTTGGTCATGGTATCAATTCATCATAAAATCATCCCATACAGATATGAACACATATACACAGATTAAATAATATAGATCACAATATCATAGATTGTTGTTCTATGTCAGATGTAAACAATATATAACAATATCATATATGGATGAATTGTAATAATTCACTAACCTGAAACAGCTCAAACTTGCGGCAAATTTGGGGATGATTTCCCATGTATAAAGCATCATTCCAGTGACGTCACGACGTGAGGTCATTGTAATTCATCCAGATCCCATTTTGGGATATATATATATATATATCATATATATATATCATATATATATATCATATATATATATCATATATGTATATATCATATATATATATATATCATAAGTATATATATATACATAATTATATATTATATTATATATGTATACTGTAATTAGCTTTTTGGAAGTCCGGCCATGTCCTGCCTAAATTTCATGGGATATGTCAGTCACCATGAATCTGAATTTCAGAAAAATCATCCTAGGAGCATATCCTTTTCTCAACGGCCATTTCAGGAACCTAAATTGGAGGTATCTATCATATATAAGGCCTTGTAAGGGAATATCCCCACAAAATATGGCCTTATATGGTACAGTACCTCCACTTTAGGATCCTGAATCTGAATTTCAGGGATCATCCTAGGAGTCCTAGGAGCATATCCTTTTTTGATTTTCCAGTCCTTTCCCGATTTCTGAAACTCGGTTTCTGAATTCCCGTGCCGTGCTGGTTTGTTGATCCGCAAAGTTGAAGGTTTTAGTGGCACCAACTGTGGTCCCAGTTATTTCCCAGCGCCAAATTCATCTACCCTCTGGTAAACTGTTACATAACTGTTACATAACTATGGAAAGATCCACTATTTCGACTGGGCCATTTTCAATAGCGAACTGTAAATTACCATTTCGGGTAGATCTGGCGATGCTCTGGCGATCCCCATCCACTTCCGGCACAGGATTCGTGGCCAGCAGGTCCGTGACCTGTGACTGCAAGGGTGAAACGCCACCAGGGTGATGGGTCAAAACCTCAAAACCAACCTGTGATTTTGCCATGAAAAAAATGGATGGACTTCAGCACTTTAATGATGGTTAATGATGGTTAATAATGGTTAATATTAATGGTTATTATATGGTTAATGATGGTTAATCATATTCTGGTTGGTGGTTTTTCCCTACCCCTCTGAAAAATGATGGAGTGAAAGTCAGTTGGGATGATGACATTCCCAATATATGGAAAGTCATAAAAGTCGTGTTCCAAACCACCAACCAGCACATGCTGAAACAACCATGACTTTGAGGTACCCATCCATCCGAAGATGTTTTGACCACTCAAGCTCCGCATCAGATCGAGGGAACCCCTTGAGTTTGATAGCCTGTTGATGCGTTTATGGCATTGGATAAAAACATCGGTACAAATGGAGCCACAATATTGGCAATTCCTCGAAAAGCATTCAGTGTAAGGGTTCAATGTAAACGGAACCCCTGCTCTCACACATTTATCAACTGAATACCACCCATCTTGAGATCCACCATCTTGAGCTGAACCCATATAATTACATCGTATCATATCCCCAAAAATGTTCCATAAAATATCATAAACTATCCCTGTGCATATCCATCATTTGGAGACCCCTAGCCATCATCCAGCCATCATTTTCATGGATTTTCGATGAAATAAACATAAATAAACCATCCATTCTTGGGTACCTTCTATGAAACCTCCATGTTGATCCATTTTTTAGGAAGCCCGGAAGCCCACCTTCTCGTTGAAAATCTCGTAGTAGGAGACCGATGCTTGCTTCCCGACAGCTCGCAGGCCTCATTTCTGCTCCGCAGAGGCGTTTTGAAGGCGGGGCACTTGCCATCTGCAGGTATTGGACGATGTTTAAACAGGATTGTTTTAAAGTTTATTTAAAGTCTGTCCACATGTGTCTTATTGTTTTTTTTTTTTTTATGGGTGTGTGTTTATTTCTAAAAAAGGATATTGTCGGCTGAGGCCTTGTTTAGGGTGGTGTGTTTTTCTTTTGAGTTTTAAGAGTCTTGAAAAATCAAACAAACAAGAGAAGTATGGTTTGTGCACAAAAATCGGTGAGGGGATTTAGAAAACAAACATGGTGGTGACACACCTTGCTGTTTGGTTCACAAAGTTGGACAGTTGGGACAGCATACATGTGTGACATACACCTTTCCCCAAACAACTGGTTAGGTATTTAACAAAAACAAAACAAATATCTATAGATATTTATAACCTATATAATTGTTCATATTATATATCTATAATATTATATAATCTATAATCAACATGAATTACCCATCTGCCATAATATTATAGCAGGAATATTATATGATTAATCTATAATCATCATTAATTATCCATCTGCCATATTATAACAGGAAAATAAGGACCCATGCTTAATCCATGTCCACCTAGCCTTCAGCACTAAGGCCCCACACCATCTTCTTGAAAACCAAAGATCTCCTGGGATCTGGTAAAATTCCATCCCCACCCAATAAAGTTTCAATAAAGGGACCAAACTGAAAGGATCCAGTACTAAACCAAACTTAGTAACTAAACCATGGGACTGCAGGGGGTTCATGGGTGGAAGGATGGTGAAGTCATCTGTCAAAGCTGCTGGGTTTTTGGGTTTTTGGTCAAACTTCTGCAATGTGCACTTGAGGTTCAGAAAGAATATGTTGCTGCCCCTAGCATGCTCCATCAAACCTAAATTCTAAGGGTCAATTCTCAAGTGGACACTTTGCAGCGAGGAATTGATCCCAGATAGAGACATCTTAAAACAAGTGGACTTTGGAGGCTTACTGGAACCCATCGAGTAGCAGTATACATCTCCATACTCCATATCTTTTTGTTGAGTAGGCATTCACATGCATAGCCTGCAATTTCCGGTACTTGTCCCTTCTGTAAACCGAGATAGCAAAGATGCGGTTTGGAAGATGATTTGTCCAGTGGAGCTTGCCATGTACAAGTTCCATCTTAAAAGTCAGGTTCAAACATGTTGGCATGCACATGCTAGAGTCAAAATCCTCTGGATGGTTTTGGTTCTGATTGTCTGGTTGTTGGTTGTGGTTGTTTTTGTCCTCAATTGTTTCTCTTCTCATCATCGCATCCTCATTTCCAGCTGCCATCACCCAAATTAACAGTATAAACATAAACCTTAGAATCACCATTTTTTCCCCACCTGCCAGGTGAGGGTCTCTAGACTCTAGATCTTAATAAAGGTGCAACTCCACCTCGTCCTCCGCCCTCTTCGCCTCCTTCCGTCTTCTTGCACTGTGGAGTGAGCGCCGGACACAATATGGCGAGGCCAGGATGCAGTGGATCGCGCCTGGACCCAAACTCCAAATCGCCAGCCCAGGATGCGGTGGAGTGCGGCACGCCATCTCGCCAGCTCCGGATGCTGTGGGCACGACAGAATCCGGATAGAATGCCAGACAGAATGTCAGAATAGATGCCAGATAGAATGAATGCCAGAAAGGATGTCAAATATAATGCCAGAGTATATGCCAGAAAGAATGTCAGAATATATATGCCATATACATTTCCAGATGGTATGTCAGAAACTATGTCAGAATAGTGTGTCAGGGTGGGACTCACTCGAAGTAAAGTAATTAGAGGAAAATTCATAGTCTTCCAATCCCCTACTGAAAAAAAAGTGGGTTATCTATAGCCAGAGTTGTGGCCCATATCCCAAAGTATGGAGGTTAAATGATCATAATTCATAGATATTCATAGACATGACCCCAGCCCACCCCAGGCTGTTACTTGGGATGGCCATCCAGTTCTGCCACTCTGCCCACTCTGCCCCTCCTCGACTGCCAGCGGCAAGATGCCCGGCTCGTAGGGAGTTCCAAGTATCTCATAGCGACGGAGCCCTGTTATAGGATGTAAACTGTGCTACTGGAACATTGAACATGTAAAATGTGGCAATTACATAATATCATTTATATATAATTACCGCAGAAAAAAGGATCGAGGTTCTATATAAGTTTGATCAATAGAAAGCACCAGGTTTCTGGTTGCTTCAATCAAATTACAGACTCTCACCTGCAGCCCGTTTCCGTGGCTTCCCACAGACCCCAGCCGCGCACGGAATGCGTCTTGCCCGAACTTGTTTGGCCATAGGCCAAGATCGATGCATTCGATCCATCCACCGCAGATTGCACCTCTTTCGCAGCAGATCAGTGGGTGGGATCAGTGGGGCCCCAGAACCACGAGACCAACGATTGCAAAGTCGTTTTGTAACCAGATTAGCTATGGCCCATGGCAGATAATGCGAGATATTTATAGAAAATGGGTTCGAAGCCAACAAACAAAACCTGGGGGGTGGCAAAGGAGGGTATGGGTTTTTGGGTCAGAGCGATAGTGAACATGCGGTAAACCTAATAACAATTTAACAAGGTGGACGCATCCAGTTGACTCAAACCTTTTTGTCCTGGGGTTATTGTCATGATATACACCAATCAATGCCAATCACCTTTGCATTATATCCCCATGTTCTATGATTATATTTCCATGTAAACAAACATAGATCCAGAAAATCCACCAATTTGCAAATGGTATCCCTAAGGAGAGCATGTTTTGTTTTTCATGTTTTTCCACATCTATGTTCGTTTGCCTATATGGTATATGTCCATGTTTAAATCAATATGTTGGCAGAGTTTCCAGAAGGATCCAAGTTCAGTTCCAAGAAGTCTTTGTTCTGTGCCCAGCACTTTTTTGTTTCATGTTTGCGGGGAGTAAACAGAAACTATCATCATCATCATCATCATCATCATCATCATCATCATCGCCATCATCGACACCATCATCAACATCATCATGCCATGAAAAGATGTAAAAATGGACCTGTGTTTGGGTCAAACATTCCGCAACCCCGAGCGCATCCCAGGTGGGCCGAACAACGCGAACTGCCAATGATGTCATCATGTTTGCCATTAAGGCGTTCCACGAAATACTGACCGGTTAAGGGTTCAAATAATGGTGATCATCCCCAAATATCCTCAATACATATATTATTGGATAGATTTGGATAATATAACCTGAATCTCTGCCATGCGCTTCTAAAAAGTGTGGCGTAAAAGGTGTCGGTGTCGGGCTGGTAGAAAACCGCAATACGAAATGCATCTTTGGTGGTTTCGGAGGGGGGTGTGGGGTGGGGTGGGGCCCAAAACGTTCAAGTGCACTTACACACATACTTGATGCTATGCTGCTAGAGACATCTTTTCCTGCACATACACACATATTTCCTACTACGCTAGAAGCATTTTCTCTTGCACTCACACACTTGAAAGACCGTATGTCGTATGGAGTCCTGATTGGTCCATCGAACCTGTCTGTCTTTCTTGTCAATTCTATGACATACTATGACATCTGGGAATGAAACCCCAGAAAGGCCTTGCGCCGCGTGACTGAGTCACTGATCCAATAATTGTTTTGTAAGATGACATAAAAAAAATCATGTCTTGGGCACTCTTGGGGTTCTCGGCTTAGCCCCTTGCCATACCGACAGATTAAAATTAAAAAATGAATGGCAGGTACGTCACTGGACGTCTCCAGTGATATCAGTGTCGCATGCAAGCCTCTTCGTTGGGCTGGTACTTGCATGGACAACCAGCCCCCCTGCTACTATGAAACATGTTTGGAAAGGATCAACTGCTTCGACTAGCCCTTAGAAACAGGGTGTGACCCCACACACGAAGGCCGTTTTGTCGCCAAGGGTCTGATGCCTGGCAGCTTGGACCTCAGTGTTTGTCAATGATCATGGTCGAAAATCCTGTAAGAACCAAAATGAAACATCAGCATGAGTCAGTATTGTTCCTTGTCCCGTTTTCTTTTCTCGCTCCTTTCTCGCCGTTTTCTTGGACCATCTTTTGACTCCCATTTTTTTACTAGTAATCATGGAGCAAGCTCCGAAGTTGTTACCGTAGAGGCAATCATGGAATCGAAATCCCCAATCAAAGGCCATTTTTCTTGAGGCAATCATGGGATCGAAATCCCAAATCAGAGGCAATCAAGTATTGATCAGAGCCACATGGTTTTAACCAGAGGAAGTTAGTACAAAAATCCGTTGGGGAGTCTTTGTAGACTCAATCAAGTGAAGAAATCAAGCTTGTCACAGGAAAGAAATCACCGTAATGTCGATAAGGCCTTGTTAGTGCTGAACAAGGACAGATGAATCAAAAAGAGTTTCATGATGGGAAAACCATCAAACCAGAGGAAGGAATCCGAGGCCGGCAAATCACCGGATCACGACCGGAACATGACGGAACTTCGGTCGAATACACACTTGAAAGACCGTATGTCGTATGGAGTCCTGATTGGTCCATCGAACCTGTCTGTCTTTCTTGTCAATTCTATGACATACTATGACATCTGGGAATGAAACCCCAGAAAGGCCTTGCGCCGCGTGACTGAGTCACTGATCCAACAATTGTTTTGTAAGATGACATAAAAATTTCATGTCTTGGGGTTCTCGGCTTAGCCCCTTGCCATATCGACAGATTAAAATTAAAAAATGAATGGCAGGTACGTCACTGGACGTCTCCAATGATATCAGTGTCGCATGCAAGCCTCTTCGTTGGGCTGGTACTTGCATGGACAACCAGCCCCCCTGCTACTATGAAACATGTTTGGAAAGGATCAACTGCTTCGACTAGCCCTTAGAAACAGGGTGTGACCCCACACACACACACACATCCTTTTTTAACGCTGGAGACATCTTCTCTTGCACATACTCACATACTTCCTGCTACGCTAGAGACATCTTCTCTTGCACTCACACACATACTTCTTTTTACGCTAGAGACATCTTCTCTTGCACAAACACACATACTTCATGCTATGCTACAGATATTTTGTGTTGCACATGCCACATGCACACATACTTCCTGTGTCGCTATATACATCTTTGCTTGCACTTACCCACATACTTGAAGCTACGCCCCATAGACATCTTTTCTTGCACATACACACGGAGGAAAAAACGTCGTGGTTTGAAGAAGCGTTGCCCTGTAAAACCCAATGGAACGGTACAATGGGTCTTCAAAGTCCCCGGGATTTTCAAGGTGCAAATCCTAACATGAAGTTATTACGGCGCTGTGGCGCCATGCACACCTGATTCCAAAACATGGACAACTGCTAGCGCGGTTGTCACCCCGCCGGGATGTTTATGTCTTTTGGGGTTTACAGAAACCATCCCCACGTCCTTCAAAAAAATAGTTCATTTTGTTCTTCTAAACTCCAACAAAACAAAAACTCTGTAAAAAGCAGGAGATCTGATCATACCCCCCAAAAAAAAAACACGCGCGAGCTTCTACCAGCCCGACGCGTTCTAAAAGGGTCTTGTTCTACTCGTTGTTCGGTGTTATTTTTTTGGGTTACATCCATTAACATTCATTTCGAATAACCCCATTGTTAACCATCATTTCTGGTGTAGATCCCAGACATGTCTTGTCTGAAATCTGCCCATTTTGGGCTATGGCAACCCCCAATCAAAAAATCCAAAAAAGGATAGACAACTAACTATGAGATATAAAGACTCATCCAATTTTTTGTCTATCTCTTTGGGGCTTGCTATGAATCGTGTTTCATGGTTTCACCGCCATCAGCCAGGAACTAGGCCGAGCACCAACTTTTTGGCGGTCGCATCGAAGAGTTCTCGGTTGCTGGTCCGATCGTCAAAACCTGAGATGGACTTCGGCTGGACTTCATCTGGGTTTGTGTGGCCTCCTGGTGATGTTTACTGGTTTTGAAGTCCATCTGACTATACGAGTACTTGTAATTACCAAAAAACTTGGTGAACATTATAGTTATACACCAACTTATATTTATCTTGGGGGGCACCTTGTAGAAACGTGTCTCCACATGTCACAAATGCTACAGATTTCTACTAATTCCTTATTGAATTTCAGATTTCTTCTAGGTCTTGATCTCTTATGACTTCAACTTAGGAGGTCGGTTTACCTTCCCGGGGGATTTGCTAATTCTAACTTGACATTAATATCTGCACTCCTGTCAGGAACCACATTATTGAAAAATACTTATTGGGAAAAATTGAAAATGCCAGTATCATCGCTATAGCATTTTGGAAACTGTCCTAGCAGTGTCTGTCTAAGGCGTCCAAGAGTTAAAGATCAAAGGGTCTTCGGTGGCACTTGGCTCTGGAAAGTGGAAATTTCAACAAATTTTGTCACCATCGCGAAATCGACATCTGTGGTTAAAAAAAACTGAGGATTGAATTCACATCCTGACATATCCTCTGGTAAACGTTAACACAACGGTGGAAAATCACCATTTTTAATGGGAAAATCCATTATAAATGGTCATTTTCAATCGCAAACTGTTAGTTTACCAGAGGGTACATCCTGGCTAGTCCAATCTGGGTAACCTCTGGGTGTCCCCGACAATGATCAAAGGTAAATGATCCCTTTGACTCGGGCCTCCCTTGGTGACACACCTGGGCGCCGTCCTCATGGGTCATCCATGACTGGATGATTTGGGGTACACCCACCATGACTTAGGACACTCTCATATTTACCCAAATTAAACTACACTGTATGTATATATATATATATTAGATATGGAAAATTTATAAAGATATATACATATATGAATAAATATTGATGCTGAGTCATCGATTTAGCATATTTTAACATCTGCCCAACGAACATGACGACCCTGCCGAATAGAAAAACATGTGTTATTTTCTTCTGGCAATGGGTGATTCTCAGGGTCTCTGTCAGTTGATGGGATGGACAAAAGTTCTTATCCTACTGGCTACGATCCCAAATCAATGTAGGAAGAATCGAAGATTACACTGGCTACGAATCATCTGTATTGCACATTGCATATATTGCATCATCACTATGAACATGATATAGCCATCGCAAACTTGCACACCATGGATATAATCAAAAAAATGCAAGTACCGAGTTGTGCGAAGCATGTAGATACACATGTCCAGGATGAATCAAACCTTTGACCATCCTCCCTCCAGATGGATCTATGATGTTTTCAGGTCTGGGGCATGGAGGAATAGTAGCCACAGTCGTAGGAAAGATGTATGTACAATAGAGCATGTATGTATGTATGTCTGTCCGTCCGTCCGTCGGTCTGTCTGTCCGTCAGTATGTCTGTCTGTCTGTCTGTCCGTCCGTCCGTCCGTCTGTCTGTCTGTCTGTCTCTCTGTCTGTCTGTATCTATATATGTATGTAAGTATGTATGCATGCATGTATGTATGTAAGTAAGTAAGTATGTATGTAAGTAAGTATGCAAGTAAGCAAGTATGTAAGTGTGTAAGCGTGTAAGTGTGTAAGTGTGTAAGTGTGTAAGTAGGTAAGTAGGTAAGTAGGTAAGTAGGTAAGTAGGTAAGTAGGTAAGTAGGTAAGTAGGTAAGTAGGTAAGTAGGTAAGTAGGTAAGTGAGTAAGTAAGTAAGTAAGTAACTAAGTAAGTAAAGTAAGTAAGTAACTAAGTAAGTAAAGTAAGTAAGTAAGTAAGTAAGTAAGTAAGTAAAGTAAAGTAAAGTAAAGTAAGTAAGTAAGTAAGTAAGGTAAGTAAGGTAAGTAAGGTATGTAAGGTAAACAAGTAAGCATGCAAGCATGTAAGCATGTATGCAAGCATGTTTTTCTGTCTGTCTGTATGTATGTATGTATGTAATGTAATGTAATGTAATGTATGTAATGTATGTAATGTATGTAATGTATGTAATGTATGTAATGTATGCAATGTATGTAATGTATGTAATGTATGTAATGTATGTAATGTATGTAATGTATGTATTGTATTGTATTGTATTGTATTGTATGGTATCGTATTGTATTGTATTGTATTGTATGTATGCATGTATGGTATGTATGTATGTATGTATGTATGTATGTATGTATGTATGTACGTACGTACGTACGTATGTATGTATGTATGTATGTATCTATGTATCTTTGTATGTATGTATGTATGTATGTATGCATGTATGTATGTATGTAGGAATGTATGTATATATCATGTATGCATGCATGCATGCATGCATGTATGTATGTATGTATGTACGTATGTGTGTATGTATGTATGTATGAATGAATGAATGAATGAATGAATGAAAAAATGAATGAATGAATGAATGAATGAATGAATGAATGAATGAATGAATGAATGAGTGAATGAATGAATGAATGATTGAATGAATGAATAAATGAATGAATGTATCTATCTATCTATCTATCCATCTATCGATGTATCTATGTATCTATGCATCTATGCATCTATGCATCCATGCACCTATGCATCTATGCATCTATGCATCTATGCATCTATGTATGTATGTATGTCTGTCTGTATGTATGTATGCATGTATGTCTGTATGTCTGTGTGTGTGTGTTTGTCTGTCTGTCTGTCTGTACGTACGTACGTACGTATGTATGTAGGTATGTAGGTATGTAGAGCATTATGAAATGAAATAAACCACCACGTCATTGATCGCTCATGTCCATGTATTTTTTTTACCTCGCTGGTGATCCTTAAAACATAGCCAGGTTGATCTGGAATGCAAAGTGCACCATGGAGTTTCCCCAGTTCCGTGGATCAAAAACCTGAGCCTCCAACCAATTGCTGTCCATCCTTGGAACACGCAACGTGTTGCACTTCACATGTCCAAGTTAGGGGTAAAATCACACAAGATTTCAGGTAACTAGTCGTGCCCCATCCTGGATAATCCACAGAAAAATAGTGTCGGGCATTTTGTTTCTCCACGTTTCTCCCATTATGGCGAAATCGTTTCATAATCTACTAAATCATCATAGCAGCCCAAAATTTAGGGAAGGGTTCAGTATGTATTTAATTTTCACAACATGAAAACCATGAATCGCAATTCACAAGAAACAAAATATGGTGAACACCCTACGTTGCATGTCTCCAGGGAAACTAATCAGAATAAAAATGTGAACAAAAACAAGACAAGGAAAATGTATCTGAGCAAATGGTTGATCATAGTTCGAAAATTGTAAATAGACCAAATTTGGCATGATTCCCCGTATTAACCCTCATTTATGCATGATGGGGTGGTTGTAGGGTGGCTATCTTTTACCCTGGTGTATTGAATACCTGCGTCGCGAGGAACAACCAAAAAATGGAAAAAAAGACGTTGCGGTTGGTACTCATCAGCTTGAACGGAAAAAACAACTCCGCGAAAACATATTATTTCAATAAATGTAAATGTACAATAGTTTCGTCAATTTTACCAAATTTTCTATCCAAAGTTGTTGCATTTTTTGCCCATTCCCTATTTAGTAAGATATGTTCATTACCATCATTACCATATGCAGCGTTCTCTGAAGACCCCAGCAAAACATGTAGTTAGTATTGTCATTTTCAACTAAAAAGTCACTGTTTTTTCTTTTCGGTGCCATCGTCAAAAAATAGAAAGAAGTACACATAAAAATATTATTGTGTATTGTCTGAGTGGAATGTGTATAGTAATTATATTTAGTCGGTGATCATCTCGCTTTGAGTTTGAAAATCCTGAATTGGGCACAGCAGGTACTTACACCACATATTCGTTATGTAAATGGATGATTTCAATGTATTTCTAAATTACATTACAGGACCATTCATACTTGAATTGACGTTCGCGCGTACTGGTTGGTCAATAAAATGTCACAGAATGGTTTGCGACAATCTCCAAAAGATTGGCTAGTCCAAGCCCAAAACTAATCGTCAACCAATCATCATTTACCAATGCTATCTCCTTGTTGTTGACGGTTAAAAACCTAAAAGTGATGCGTAGCTTCGCATTAAATCACTATGATTGGGGCCAGTTCAAAACTAGGAAACTCTTCACGTCGCACGATTTGGGCATCGGCTGGCCGACGTTCAATCGACCAAGCGTAGCCTCACCGCGCAGGGATGTCCCAGGAATCGTGCTGAACAACGCATATGAAATATTATTCGGAAATCCCTATATAATCTTGGATATTATGGGATTTTACTTTATTTCATTACATATTTTATTGGGATATAATTGGATATCACCACTTGATTAATCGGGATATTCCCTATGAATGCAGGTTGTTTATGGGAACATCATCTATACATGAAGGATGTTTCCATTAAAATGTGGTTTCTTGAAATGGTGGTTTCTGAAAAGGGGATCCCCAGAACCATTGGCCTCAATACCAAAATGGTCTAATTTTGTGACGTACCCCCATTTTGGGAAACTTCCATATTGAAACCCAGTGAATCCCAGTGATGTACACACACATCAATGAAATACGCCAAAGTGTATACGGATGGGAGACGAACAACTTACTAATTGGGGCGCACACCCAAATACAATTGGACGTGTCCAGCTTTATGACCGAAACTGGTGGTTAAATAGTCAAATGACGCATTTAAGCAATGAATCATGGGTTTGTCGAAACAATGGGTATCTATCCATATCTATCCCCAAAGGGTTGAACATTGTCGTTCCCCAAATTCAATGAAATTGCAAATTGCAACTTTGATGGGGGAAAATGATGCTAAAGCGTGGGATTTGGAGATACCTTATATTCACACAGCGCCCAGCCAACAAAAAAATAGACATGTCAAACGTGTGATACTACCATTGAAAAACAACACAGGTTTGCTCAAAAAACCGGGGTCCTACAACAGATCAACACACAACACAACTATCATCACTTATGTTCATGGAACCCTGTGGCAATTGTCAGGGAAGCAAAGACCAGCCCTAGATCAGTAGGGTCTAGATCAGCATGTTTGTTTTTTGATAGGAAAAATCTAAGAGCTATAGTATTGCCCTGATTCCCCAAATCAGAAACAACATGTTTTCTGAAAAAACACGTTTTTTGAAACATTCGAGAAAGTTTGGGATAGGTAAAAGAGTTTGAAGTTATCTTGTGATCAAGTGCCAAGTGCAAGTTGCTGCAAATTGTTTTTGAGCCCTGGGAGCCAAAGATCAGGATTGACAAGTGATACAAACCAGTCAGTGCAAGGTCACACCACCAAAAAAAAACACAACTAACATCTAACCACTAACCACTACTACTACAACAACAACAACAGCAACAGCAACAGCAACAACAGCAACAGCAACAAGAGCAAAGACAGCAACAACAACAACACACACACATATTAATATATATATATATACATATGTAAAACATATATTTTTAAAAAAAACGCACACACATATATATATATAGATACAATGTAGATAAGTTTATTCTCTGGATTTTTTTGGGCATTTCTTGGGCTGGCCCAGGGTTTTTAAAAATGACTGAGATTTGTTTGCATTTTTTCTGGTTTAGCCCAGAAATTTTGAGAATGCTTGAGATCTTTTTAGAAAACAATGGAACATTTGGAGAAAAATGAAACATTTTGAGAAAAAATGGAACATTGTGAAAAAAATGGAACATGTTGAGAAAAATCTTGGTACTTTTTGAGAAAAATGATGGTATTTAGATTTTTCAGTTTGTTTGCGTCCTTCCTTTTACTGTAGTATTCCCGCTTTCCTTTGCCTTGGACCTTTTGAGAAAAAATGGAACATTTTGAGAAAAAACCGGGTACTATGGTATTTTTGAGAAGAATCCGGGTATTTTTGAAAATCCGCGTGCTTTTGAAAAAACATATGGGTCCAACCAGAACTCTGGGAGAGCCCTTGTGGAAAACCCTGCCGATCTAGTCCCCCTTTTTGCGCGCCTCAGCAAGTGTGATAACTTTTGAACAAATTCTGTATCAAATTTGGATGGGATTTTACTTACACACACAAGTGTCACTGGCCAGCAAAACATCAGCATTCAAATCAAGTACAAAGTGATAGTCTCCCAAGTGTCAGTGGTGATATCACAAGTGGCACACAGAAAATGTTGAAAAAGGGAATTTGGAAGTGGCACTTGGTCAAGTGGCAAGTGGCAAGTGGTTCCTTCAAGAAAGTTTACCTATCCCAAATTTTCTCACATGGTTGAAAAAAAAACATGTCTTTGCAGGAAACATTTTCTTTGTGACTTTTAGGGAATGCTAAATACCTACCGATCTAAACCCTACTGATCTAGGGCTGGTCTGGTCTTCGCCACCCGGAAGTTGAAGGTAACTACTGAAAATCAGCGTTGCGAATAAGTAAATCATCATGAAGCATCTATAAATGGGCAATTTTCCATCGTTATGTCAATAGCGTAATAGTTTCGGATAGGTTGTGTTTTTCATCCCCTTATAACTCTTAACTATGTGATACTGTGTGCTTTCCGCGTTGTCTTGGAAATCTCGCCTGTCTCTGCGGCAACTCCGGCCAATGGTCGCAAACGCACCTGAGAATACAACAGCCGGCCCATTGCCTTGTCTGTTTGGTTTGGGGTTAAGATAAGATTGGCAGCATGATTGGGCCCATCGTTCGGCAAAGACGCGCCCTGTGCGGACTCAATATCCACAGTGTGTGTTTCGATTTTATATATATATATTAAAGAAAAAGAATCATCACCATGTGCCCTCCACACCAAAAATCCGAGCATAAAAGCCACCTACACCAGAAACCCAAGGTTATCCAAAATGTGACCACGTCTTGCAATGGGTCCGCCATGGTCTGTCCACCTTTCGGTATCTTGAGGGCACGATAGGGCACGGGTGTTACCAGCAAGATAATGGGGAGAGAGGTCTAGTTGGCTTAGCGGGCGTGCAATCAGCAGGAAAAGCGATTGCAAGCAATTATTGGGCCCTTTTCGTCCCCTTGAAAAACCCGGCTCCAAACATGGGGCTCCCGTAGCCCCATAGTTGATCAAGCAGCAGCCACATCCTTCGCCAAGCCACCACCACTTGCAGAGGTTCTTTTGTGACCTCACGCCTGGCGCTGCAAGTTTTGGCCGAGGCTTTAAGGCTTTTGTGTGGCGCAAATGAGCAACAATGCGTAAGGCGGCCGTAAGGTGCGATGCCAAAGTTGACGATTGGATTTGCTCATCATCATTCATCATCATGCATCATCTTTTGTTCAGATTGTTACAACATTGCGTGACAAAACGCTACTTGCGTGGTCTTCACTCGTTTATAAGCCGAATGCTTGGCGATGTTTAGAGGTATCTTGGTATACCCTGTAGGTTTGCAGTGCTCAAAGGTGTTGGCCCTTCAGGGGGCACAAGTTTAATTCCCACGTCGCGTTTTTAATTCGAAAGTTTCCATGTGGTCGCTGTGTCGCCAAAAAGGACTTCAACATTGGCAGTTCACAGCGAAATGAAAAGTGGTGACATTTGCTTCAATGTATTGGGTGGAAGTAATCTCCGTCTTACTGTGACTAAAAACTGCAGCTGCAAAATGAGTATGAGAAACCACAGGTAACCTTGCTGATGCTTAACAAGGAACCAACCAGGATACCAGGAAACCACTAACATCACCAAGAACGTAGAGAATTTAGAGATGTGCATATCCTGTTGCTGTTGCAAATCTAGGAGGGTCCATGATCACTGATCTCACGATGTGCTTAACCCCTGCAGCTACAGAAGAGCTCATCCAGAAACATCCAGAAACGGACCCGATCAACCAAGAACACGACTTGTCCCACGGAACCACCCCAAGAAAATTGCTGAACACCTGAAGCCTGGAATCAAACTTCCAAATTCTACACCGTGCCGTTGGAAAAGATGCGGAACATCCCAGGCATGCTGGTTCAGCAAAGCTTTACACTCCGAACCCTAGCTATGGAAAAAGATTCGAATCCATGATGATCCTAACCCATCCTAGCCCCAAATGAACCACAAAGCGGATGACAGAAGAGTTTTGGACATGGCTGACGTGGCTCAAATAGGTGCATTTTCGCCTTTTTGCTGAGGCAAAACACCACAATGTAGAGGGTGACTATGCACGGAATTTTGGTGATTTGACAAAATTGGACAAACAATCATACTTGGATCCGTGTCTGAGATATATCAGATCATACTTGGATCCGTGTCTGGACCTTGCTGATCAGTGAACACTGGCCCAGAATGTGGTAAACGAAATGCCAGAAACCATCCCCAAAATCACCATTACATGGGTGGTACAGACTATCCCCAAATGGTTGGGTTGCTATTGGGTTTACCACATTAGAATGTTCTACGGGTCAAAAAAAATGTACCACATCTTGACAACTACGTTCAATCATCAAAGTTCGATTTCACTCGCATCTTTTCAGGAGCCGCAAAGCTTCTGACATCCAGCCTTTTATGCGTGATGGTGCAGCTTTAGCACGACAAACGAAGGTGAAATACAACGGAATTCGGCATATAGGTTGTCTGAGCACTGAGGGAAAACCATCCCATGGCATGGTTTATCATGTGTTTTTCCAGTCAGTGAATACGTGGCCATAAAATATGATGAAACCCCATTTAAAAAAATGATGAAATTTGGCACAGCTCTCGGTAACCCGAAACAGTAGCCGAACTTCGACGGGTCTCCTCACTGTGATGGCCACCCAAAGTAGGCTATTTCGACAAGCCACGTTTCTACAGGATGGGGTCCCCAAGGTAGCTAAGTTGCCTTATAAGGGGCTTAACTATGGTTTATGTTAGATATAACTATAGTTAATGGGGGTTATAATGGTTTATAAAGCAACTTATAACTGGGGTGCACCATCATGTATGATATCTCCTGTTGTTTGTTCCCCGCTGTGTAGTTCTTATATCAACACTGTCACTCTCTGCTGTTCAAGGGTAAAAACTGGTTGTCCTCGGCTAAATCCCCATCTTTGACTCTCATACCTTTGTTGTCGATTTGAATTCGTATCCAATCCTTTTTCCATCTTCTTCCATTCTTTTTGGATCTTTTTGGCATGTGGTTCAAAACTGGGAATGCAGAAATTGCATGGTTTATCAAGTATGAACAACTAGCTTTGCTGTGTGGCTTCCATTGGCTTCAAATGTGACCAAGAAATGTCGGATGTTGTTGGCTAAACTTTAATTCAGCTTGCTGGTTGGTGGTTGCCAAACCATCTTGAAAAATATGAAAGTCAATGGGAAGGATGACATCCCATATACTATGGAAAATAAAAAATATTCCAACACACCAGCTTGGGGTTTCAGAAACATCGTGATTTTGGCTCCAAATCGATGTGTTCAATTTTTACGATTGTTTGCTCCATCCCCTTCTCCCAGTGGTTTTCGCAGCATGCTTTTTGGACCCCAGAATTTTTTGGGACCCCCATTCCCCTAAGCTTCCCAGACCACTCCTCCACACGATGGGAGGCTCATTGGAAATTCAAGTCTTACAGCAAAAGCGTATCGGACGACCTGACGACCTTACATCTTACAAGTAGGAACAGATTCTCTGGGCAAATTATGATGAATTATGAGATTTCCATAGATTTCCTAATTCAGAATAATTCAAAGAGGAACCGCTTGGTGTTTTCCCTTACCGCCATTTTCGAGGTGGGCCAGTGAGGTCTCGACAATTGCTAGAGCTCATGGAGAACCAACTTATACCGGGGGCCAGTTTTCATACACCATCATAAGCCCCTAACATTTCGCAAGGAACCCAGACATGGCCATAACGAACAAGAATTTCATTTTCCGAACTTAAGTGTTGGGTCACACATTTCCAATTTTAGGGGTGCGATTGAGCCCTGGCCCGCCATGGTCTTTTCAAGTGGGTTCTCATAGCCAAGTTGGCTAGAACTCTTAGATTGATGATCGTAACATATCATAAATCTGGATAAATGATAACAACTCACTCATCTAAAATATAATGCGAGTATTTGGGGAAAGTTACCCAACAACAATTCCCATCATTCCGAAGTGAGGTCGCAGTAAGGTCATGAGCAACGTTCATCCAGATAACTATATAACATGATAGTATAACTAGATTACGTTTTATACCGCTTGGTGGTTTCGCCACCCCCTGAAAAATATGACTTCGTCACTTGGGGTTACTATTCCCAACTGAATGGAACAATAAAATTCATGTTTCAAACCACCAACCAGTTGTAGTATAACTAGTATAACTATATATATATTATATATATATATCATTATAGTATTATAGTATAACTATTATAGACTATATAACATTAATTAACATTATAAGGTTGGATTAGTAACAAAGTATTAAGGTAGCTTGCGTAGCTTACCCGGCCAGGCCCGGAGTCCCGGAGATGATCTCCGATGGCGATGACCGACACGCCTTGACTTGCTCCTGAACAGCATGACCTGAGGAAATTGTGATGGATTTTCGGGGCAGGCCGGACTCCGGACAAGCAAATACTGCCTCGGACGACAGTTGGACGCAGGTCGTTCAATTTTTTGTTGGGGGCAAATGACAGAACATGCCATACTCACTGAAGAGTGAAGTAAAGCATACCAAAGCCATATATTCGGAATGATTCTACGAAAATTTCAACAAACCCCTGGGGAATAACCCTCGCTACTTAAAGATAGCAATAGCCAATGGATTCCTTTGGGGGTTTTGAGGGACTTGGGGTATGTTACAGGTGTGTTCCAATAATCTTAGATACTTGTCAATGGCAAATTTTAATGATTTCAATGGTTCCTAAATTCCTAAGGCTACTAATCCCATCCTGACTCGGCCGCACTCGCCGGAACTATGGGTTCCTAGGGTTCCCAAACGCCCGAGGCATAGATGAAGCGGCACCTCAAACGGCTGCGATGCGCTGGTGTTCATTACATACTGTTGATATCTTTCAATACTTTTCGGCGCAGGGGTACTACATGTAACCACAAAGCACCCCTTGGAGGGTGCACCACAACCCCTTTCTGAGGGTCCTCCATTGATCCGAGGTCATGTTCCCATGGCGAAAATGAGAGCTTGATCCCAATCAAAGGATGACTGGTTGGTGGTTGAGCCACCCCTCTGAAAAATATGACTTCGTCAGTTGGGATTATGAAATTCCCAATATATGGAAAAATAAAACATGTTCCAAACCACCAATGAGATGAACATGAAGCATCCAGCCCTTGACCCTCCAGATTCAAGTCCAGTTGCCAGGGCAATTGGATCGTGCATGGGTAGACCGTGCATGGCAAAGGACAAGAAAGTCATTGTCTTTGGTTCTGTCATTTGTTTTTCGCCTTGCTGTTGAAGTAGCTGTTGGCTTTGGATACTCAGAATAGGTCAGGAAAAAAGGCTTTTAAAGAAAGGGAAACAAAACAGACACTCGTGATCACTCGTGATCACTCGTGAGCTGGGGAAAAGTTGTCTATTTCTATGTCATCTTTCTCTTTTGATGTCCTGTTACAGGTAAACGATGAGTCGAATATTCGCAGAACACATGTCTTGGCATCCAACTTGGAGAGCAGGAGTCATGATCATATGATTTCTGAATTACTCTCTTGAGCATGAGCCATGCCATTTCCGTCCATAAAGTATCATGACGGGTGGACACATTTGGCAATTTGGAAATAAAGGATATACCTAATTATTGTGTATATATATATATGTGTGTGAGTATATATGCATAAAAAGTATTAAAATATTGCATATGCATGTACATGTACATATATTATATATGTACATACCCCATAATGACTATTAGTCACATCCTTTTTTTTGCACCGAGAAAATCTGTGTCCGAAAAAAGGAACTTGGCACCGTCCCTTAAGGAATCAACATACCATGTGGGGATGGGTCTATAGGGCCTATGGTTCATAGCAAAAAATTGGCGGAATCAACATCCATTACCCTTTGGTTATGACTAACATAGCCATGGAAAATCACAATTTTTAATAGGTAAACCATCTATTTCTATGGGCCATCTATACCATGGCTATGTTAAATAACCAGAGGGTAACATCCATGAACTAGCTAGTTTAGGCTACCATTATCCATAGGATCCGGCTGGTGCTGGTAGAAAAATGCTAACATTTATTGGGGGTATATTGATGGGATCCATGGCACACCATATATAGCAGCACCATGGATCCTATGGGTTATGTAGTATGATTCAGGGTGCCAGGGTTTTGACCCATTCCTGTAATATCTATATATATATAATCCCTGTAGTTATCCATATCTGGCTGGTGGTTTGGAACATGAAATCCTATTTTCCCATTCAGTTGGGAATAATCATCCCAACTGACGAAGTCATATTTTTCAGAGGAGTAGGTCAACCACCAACCAGTCAAATTATCCTATTATACCACCTATACCATTATAAGTTTCCTATTATTATCATAAGACACCATCAGTTTAGCACCCTTTTGCTCTGGCCAAACGCCCAGCGTGTTGAAACACCCTCATCTCAAGGACGGCAGCCACCAGCGAACCCCAGTGGGCCTAGCAACGTTGAGAGCTGCATAACCCAAGCTGTTTGATGGGCATATATAGTGGAAGTCAATAGAATGTAACAGGATACATATATGTATCTTCAATATATATACATATGTATAATATAATATCTAATATATACATATATAATATATATATATATATTATATATTGCTTATGTATACATATATATATATATATATTCATATAAATGTAAGGCCTTATCATGTCCTCCCTGGATTTTCCAGACCCCCATAGACACTGCAGCTGCGAATCTTCCACCTTCAGGTTGATCAGACATTTCCGCAGTAGAACGGCCGTCTCGGTTTATCCCCCAGTTTAAGACAAACCCATATTATATACTGTTAATAATCCTAAAATCATCCCTACCATTGTGGTTAATATACTGTTAATAATGGTTAATATTAATGGTTATTATATGGTTAATGATGGTTAATGTATATCTGGTTGGTGGTTGACCTACCCCTCTGAAAAATGATGGACTTCGTCAGTTGGGATGATGACATTCCCAACTGAATGGAAAGTCATAAACCAAAGGTTCCAAACCACCAACCAGATATGATAATCCCATATCCCCTATTTCCCCATTGATATCCCCTACAGCAATTTTCATGTCAATGCGATGATGGCTATGGAAAGTCATAAAATTCCATAAAATTCCATGGTTCCAGTCACCACCAACCAGTTGATACATTTCCAATGTCTGTACATGTTTGGTATTTTATCATATACCATAGTGGATCAATACCATTCAAATAAACAATTGGATACCAAAATTCCAAAATTTTGTAAAATATTGATTTTACTTTTTAAAAAAAACCATGGATTTTACCATATAGACTATATAACATTATAAGGTTGATGGTATCCCAACGTTGATACATTTCCAATGTTGGTGGTTTGGTATTTTATCATATAAACATTATTGGAACATGTCCAAAATTCCATGGTACCAGTGGATTCCAATGACAGTTTCGAGGATTCGCCTTCGAACGACTTCCACGGAGACCGCATAGCGCTTGGCCGTCGCAGGCCTGGAGGTGCCCGGTGGTACAAGGTGGGGCCCAGCAGTTACTCAGTGATGTTTGTTGGTTGATTATATAAACACCATTAAAAAGCCCATGTTTCTGCGAATTTACAGATTTTAAAATATTTTAAAGGTATCATAAAGCATACAAACATTGGAGTTCTGTAGCTGCCAACTTAGTGATTTCGGGCCCAGGGGGCCCCACTTTGAGGCTTTGGAGGATCACCACTATCTTCAGCCTCCAATGCCTAAAACGAACATCTTCACACCCAACACTCGGTGAGTTGTTTTTGAGTACCATCATAGTCCTGAAACAAAAGTAAATACAGTAGATTCATAGATTCAGTAGATGTAAATAGAATATGTGATCATATGATCCAGAAAACTACAGAAAAGAAATGGAACTTATATCACCTCGGAGGGGTAAATACGAAATTCAAACATTTCGTCCATGCCCAGTGACCAGGTTTCAGAGCTTCCAGTTGCAGTGCCCTGGCGTGCCCGAGCCCCCCTTTTAGTTGTGGGATATGTTCCTGGAGATATAAATGGAATATATAATGAATAGGATGCACGTGAGTATCCTGAATAGTTAATCCATGTAATCCATGTAAATCCCATTTGAGTATAATGAGATTGATATATAATGAAGAGGATGAACATCTTTTACATATTCAAAAGATCTATTTAATGGGATACTCATGGGGTAGAATATGGATAATATGGTAGAATGGAAGCGACGACATACTACACTCAATTTTCGACAACCCCCTGGAAGGGTCACCCCATGGGAAATCATGGGGTTTTTCAAACATGAAATGGATTGAAAAACCGGCCTACCATGGCACATTACGACATCCCCCAGATTAGTTGAAGGGAAAAATTGCAGCTTTCACCCGTAGGTTTTTCTTTGGGGGCTAGAAAATTCATGTCCGGTGTCCATTTTCCCTCCAACAAAAATCACTGACCTCGATATCTGCACTTTGTAAACCCACCCAGTGGTCTAGAAAGTGTAGAACCTCTGAATTATCCTTGGTTTTTGTCAGGATTATCCCACATTTTTCCAGGTGTTTTTTTCTATTAACCCCATTTCGCCTTTCCTACTCCCCAAGCGCCAAACGCCTCAAGCAAGGCTGCTGCAGAGACTGATCTCGAAGATGAGCTGCTAGGTCTGGGCGCACGCCCAAACAGGCTGCTGGGAACAGCGACATCGGCCTGAATGAAGCGACGGCATCAACCATGGTGGGTCGTGAGGGTGTCTCTTCCATATTTATATTCATTATTTTGAAGACGAATCGGGTCCTGATTTTACACATAGATCAATGATCGGTGGGTTTTCGTTTGAAGCGGATGTATTTCAAAGTACCAAATAGATCCAAATAGTACCAACACGTGTCTTTGTTCTTGTGTCCGGCACAAAGAATCGAGCACCTGGGAACCTGGGAACTGAGAGAAACTCGCTACATGGGAACAGTCTCCCAAAGATGATACCATCTTCAGCAGGCCAGTCGATCCTGATACGGAGTATGGGCTGCTACGACCAGCCCGCTTTGTAGCGGTGATCTGTGCTTTGTTGCGCAGTAAACCCCATCTTTGCAATGCTACCCTCTGGTAAATCTGACAAAGCCATGGAAAATGGCCAATCATGCACAGATGGGTGATTTTCCGAATCTATCTGGCGCTGAATTATAGTATGTTGCTGACCTGAACATAGCTGCAACAAAGCCGATTTTTTTGGGATAGCTACCCCTCACCAACCATAATTCTAGTGACGTCACAGTGAGGTCATGATCAAATTCATCCAAATTAATTCATGCCATACATAAGTTGGGTTAGATATCCCATGAAAAAATCCATATGCTGTAGTTCATCCATATCATTCCATATCCGTGTCCTGCCAGACGTGATCCCAGAAATCCATGGGCTGCAACCATTCATGACACTCGATTTTTGCGGGGTTCCGCACCCGTAGCCGCACCACACAAGAGATGTTGGAACGGCAAATAGCGCACTGGGCCTGACACGAGAATCTCGGGCAACGACACGGAAGGACGGTACCATTCAGAAAAAAAACATGATCATCCGCCGTGAGTTTGGGCTTGGAAGATCTTGGAAGGTCAAACCAATAAGCCATTACCATCTGGTTATGACTAACATAGCTATGGAAAATCACAATTTTTAATAGGCAAACCATCTATAAATGGGGCATTTTCTGGTGATTTTCCATGGCTATGTTAAATAACCAGATGGTAGAACCATTACCCTCTGGTAAACTAACATAGCTATTGAACATGGCCATAGAAATTGTGGATTTACCCATTAAAAATGGGTGGATTTTCCACATCTATGTTTGTTTGCCAGAGGGTAGGGTAGATGATGGCAGATCTCAGGATGGAAACACATTTTGAGACCGGGTTTTCTTATCGGGAAATCATCAACAAACAGACCATGTTCCATAGCTATGTTAGACTATATTTTTATAATTATACCTTCTGGAAAACCCAATGAATTGAATCCCCCTGATATCTCACTGTATCTCATTATAGTTGGTCTAATCACCATGTTGGTTGACGTAATCCCCATTCTTACTCGCCTAAAATGGCGAGTGAATATCAAGAGGTGTCTCGTTGAACATTCCGAGGGTGTGAAACATAGAAATTCACAGGCTCTGGTCTATGGCCAAGAACTGTTGATCGTTATGAACCATACCATATAACCATACCCTAATGATAGCTGTATCAATGTGTTTATATAGTGATATATGCCCCCGTAGGTTATAACTATTAGCTATGGTCCCCATCAATTCAAGTACCTTCTTAGGAAGCACTTGGGGTTTGATTTAGAGGATTCAGTTCCCTATCAGACAGTGTTTGGATACATAGGGATCATAACTGTCATAACCTCCTCGGCCATATCATTTGAAAGTCATGAACTAGTGATAGTTGTGAACTACTGATTAGTCGCCATTTACCATTTACAGGTTTCTAAAAAGGGCATGTACTATTTCCTACCATGGTGGACTAGTAAGATGTAATAATAGTCAATACCCTCTTGTAAATTTGTTACAGTTCGCTATTGAACATGGCCCAGTCGAAATAGTTTTTTTTACCCATTAAAAATGGTGGATCTTTCCATAGTTCGTTAACGTTTACCGAGTTTACCGGGTAATGATGACTTATCACCACGAAAAAAAGTTGCTACCAGGTCCAGGTGGGTCAAAAAATGCTGCGAAACTTACCATAACTTACCACCCGTTGCCATGATTTACCCATGGCTAGGAGCCTAATCACCTGAAAATCTGGATGGTACCCTCTGGTAAACTAACATAGCTATTGAAAATGGCCATAGAAATAGTGAATTTTCCCCTTACAAATGGTGGATCTTTCCATAGCTATGTAAACGTTTACCAGAGGGTAAAACGTCTGAAAGGATTGCTGGACTCGCTGGACATTCATATCTGGATCGGAATCATTTTCGGAGAATTCCGATGGGAAAATCCCACCATGTTTCATAGGTAAATCATCTCTATGGCCACTTATACTGGCTGGTGGTTTCAACCATCTTGAAAAATCATGGAGTTCGTCAATGGGAAGGATGACATCCCATATTTTTTTTTGGAAAGTCACAAAATTCTATGGCTCCAAATAGTTCCAAAGCACCAACCAGCAGCATATGTGTTCCCTTCCCTTTTTCATCACCAACCACAATTACCCTCTGGTAATTTGTTACATAGCTATTGAAAATCACCATAGAAATAGTGGATTTTCCCATTGAAAATGGGTGGATTTTCTATAGTTATGGGACAGTTTACCAGAGGGTATCGCATGGGAAATGTCCAGCAAAGCATAGAGCTGATGACCAGGGATCTGATGGCGACAGACAGCCCAGTCGACTGACCTGTCTAAAAAAATACGCATCGGAGCACTACTCTTGCCACCCAACTTAGCCATATATATATATTATAATAATAGTAGTAATAATAATATTATATATATATATACTGATATATATATATCATATCATATCATATTATATAATGTGTATATATATATATATTATATCGACGTATGGGGCCCTTCCCAGATCCATTGCTCCTTTGACCCATCTGCCTGTCCAGGGCGACGTTCTAAGAGTTGCATCGCGCAGGTGACACACAAACCTGTGGAGCACATTGAGGCACGGTTTCAGGCAGGGCCTGGGAAACATATTTGCCAGTTAACCATGGAATAGTGATATCTATATATATATACATGTAGAGATATTATATATATATATATATACATTAGGTACTTACTATACCAATCAATCAATGACTATCAATATGAACAAGGATTATTTACCAGCAATAATCGAATTGAATTATGAGATATGAATTATATATATATATTATGTATGCTTGTTTACTATCAAACATGAATACTATAATATATATATAATTGATACTATTGATACTATTATATAGTACTATAAATATCTATGAATACTATTATTCCAGGGGTTGGTAAATGTCCTATTTTTCACATTACCCAACAATTGGGACCAACTGGGTATATCATATCCAACAAATACAAGTGATGTTAAGAGTCAAGAAAAAAAACGGACATATACCAAGCCCTGTGAGGGCAAAGGGAACATCGGAAGAGGGTGCAGTGGTGCAGGTGAACAGTTCCATGACGGTTCCATGACTCAATTCATAGTTTGTCAAATACATAGTGGACACCAAAATAATGGTTTGTTGTTGTTGGTTTGTAGAGGTTCCCCGTGGATGAAAATGACCAATCTGGTATAACCTCCTATAGCCTATAGTCATCAACCAGCTGTGCCACTGGCAAATCATAGTATACGGGGTCGGGTCATCCCACTATCATGAGTGGGATTCCCAAAAAGGATCACGAAGGGTAATTACATTGAGGCCTATGCATGGGGGATGACCATGCCCCAAATTTGGATATACAATCCAACTTGTGAACACTACCCATATGTTTACCGCGTTCCCAAAAAAAATTAAGGACTGTTCCGTAATTTTTCACCTTAGACAGTTCTTGGACAGAAGGGAAGCTGAAGAAAGTTGGGTCAGAATGAGTGGGTGGCAACCTCTGGCAATAGAAAAGCACCATTTGGAACAGTGAAATTTTGGAAAATCATCTATATAATGTGGTAAACTCCAGGTTATTACCAGGAATATAGATTATTTTTTCTTTGGGTTTATAAACTATATAATCTATATAATAATCTGTATAATCTATATAAACCAGGAACTGTTTTTTTCTTTACCATGGTTTACACCAGGATCTAATGGCATACCTCGATGTGATGCAGACAAGGAGGGAAAATAGAACCAGCAACTACCAGTTTTTCAGGGCACCAGAATTGAGGGAATCTCATTATTCTGAACATGGCGTACCTCCAGTGTCAAATCCGTCAAAATCCACTGGATTTTAGGACCGCAGTCGTTTCCCAACGTGAAGCCAGGCCATCTGGAGGACCTAACCCACACCATACAGATGGTAATGATGGTAACATCAGACCACCTGCATGTCCACACTCCAGCAGAATGGCTTCTGGCACCTCAGGGGCATCAGGGGCAACTCTGCGCTTGTAGCGTGTTTTTTTTGATTCTTGGTGACTCAACATGACGGTAGCTCTCAACAATATGTAATTATGTTATTATAATTATACATATATATATATATTGATATTGATATATATATATATATATGTATATTGATATATATATATATATTGATATATATATATATTGATATATTGATTGTATATGATTTCTAAAGATAGATTAATCAACATCTGATCTGAAAGAAACCCACTTGATCAACATATCACTTCAGAATACCTGCCTGTGCAATCTCTGGGGAGGTGTCATCAAACGCGGCTGGTTGGGAGATCCCCGAACTAAATGGGCGTTTAAATCGAAAAATGTTCGACAAACATGGTGGAAATTCCATGGTTTCCATTGCCATGTGTGATTACCGGAGGGTAACATCAGTTTCCGAAAAAGGTGTTGATGATGTTTGATTCATCCCCATCCAATCTGCCGCCATCAACGCCGCCGCACTTGCGGCCCACTTGCCGCCCCTGGCCTGATCGTAGCAAATGAAGCACAGCTGTTCAGACCTGTCGAAAATGCATGGGAACAGAAAATTAAGAAACTTCCCATAGATCCTAAGAGACTCTGCAGCTGTAGTATCTGTAGTTGGTTCGTTTTCATCCTGAAGATTTATGGGCACCTAAAAGTCCTAAAACCCACCCTGGGCCAGTATTGTCTGTGCACAAAATTTATGGCGAAATGCAAATGCCAGCATTTTCCATGGTTTTTGACTGTGACGTTGTTGCTGCAACAAGAGTAAAGCAAGGCCACAGAGCAGGCCACTATTCCCATCTTTGCTCTTTATGTCACATCCCCCTTTGCTGGTCATACCCCCAACATGGTTCATGGTGGTAAGTACATGAAAGTACTAGCCCCATGGTTGTTCAATCTACGTCCAAATGGCGAGTCGTTCACAAATCAAATGCAGGTTTACCCAAATAAGTGCTGGCATGTGCTGGATAATATCACAAATCGTTCACCATATGTTTCCTCTTTAAACCCCTATTCCAGACCAAAATTTGTCATTGTATAAACCGAAAAAAATCCTTGATGCTTATGCCGCATAAACTTATGCCATCTTATGCCCACCATTTCCTATGCTGAAACCACCATTCCGTCCATGACCAAGGCACTCCACGATGTCTGCGAAGGTGGCTCCGCGGGCTGACAAAATGGACCTTTAAGGCAGCAGATGATGCACATTTTTTTCACCTCTGGATGGTTTACCCTCTGGTAAACTGTCCCATAACTATGGAAAATCACCATTTTGAATGGGAAAACTCACTATAAATGGCAATTTTCAATAGCAAACATTACCAGAGGGTAAGTTTGATGGGTTTTAAAAAAGATTGGAGATACTTGTAGGTCAAACTGTGGGATTCCATGGGATATTATATGGATATGATTTGGATATTGTATGGAGATTATATGGATATTGTGGAGATGCTATGGGGATATAACATGATAGAACTTACGGTTTTTTGGGAATAGAAAAGGGACAACACAACAGCCCACAAGAATCATCCCTTTTCGCAGTCGAGCGGAGCTTCATAGATCATCCAATGATTTGATGCGGGTACACCATGAGTTACACCGTGTTAGTTATACATTTGGACTATGTTTACCCTCTGGTAAACTGTCCCATAACTATGGAAAATCACCATTTTTAATGGGAAAACTCACTATTTCGACTGGGCCATGTTCAATAGCTATGTTAAATTACCAGAGGGTAACCCATTGGGCGGAAAATCAGTGAATACTCTTGGAACATCTGGGAGAATATGGCAAACATCCTATCTGGTTGGTGGTTGCCAAACCATCTTGAAAAATATGAAAGTCAATGGGAAGGATTATCCCATATATTATGGAAAAATAAAACATGTTTGAAACCACCAACCAGATATGTATATATATAGATGTTTCAAATGAAACAAACTGTTCACCAACATGTCTTGATTGTTTCCTAGCAGAAACAAGTATTCAACATGGACTAACCATCGTGAACAACCCCCTGTTTTTAGGTATGATTTTTCATCCCCCTGTTTAGCGTTGGTGCGTGAGAGAAAGCTCAGTGGGATCATAGTTGATTGGTTTTACACACCAACTTATCTACCCTCTGGTTGTGGCTAACATAGCCATGGAAAGATCCACCCATTTTTTAAGTTCGGTAAACCCAGGTAAACCATCTATTTCTATGGGCCATTTTCCATGGCTATGTTAAATAACCAGAGGGCACTTTTGGGGCTGACACATGATGCTGATACTTCACCCGGCCCTAGGTCTACTTGAGAGTTCCAGTATTTTGTGCAGTTGCCACAGGAGATCGAAAACGACTGAGGCTAGCACGAGGACGGATCCAAGGGAAAGGAACGCATCATTGAATAGGCGTTGGACGGGGCCGCCTGATAGCCAAAGATGCCTAAAAGTTGAACATATTTGGAAATTATGGGGACTTCATCATCAAACTACCATCCTGGTTGCATACTTTTCGGCACCTTTGAGGGTTACTGTAAAGAATCCGAAAAACTTCATGGAACCTCTCTCAACTAGCTATGACTATTGAGACTGGCTTCACAGGTTCTGAAAAATCATTCAACATTTCCAGCAGAACTGCAGAACTGCAGTAGCATTTCAAGCATTTTCAACCACCAATCATCCGAAGGTTGACCTAAAAACCTGGAGGGATTAGATCACCTGGAGACATGCTTCAGTGAAAGCTTCCCACACTACGTGAATGTGAATCTAGCCATGAAAACCTGCATTTGACGTATAGGTTAACCAAAAAAACATTAAAAAGAAGTGTTCATGTGGGTCTTACTACATTCTACATTATACATACAATATCATAACTGTATATATCTTCACAATGTCCATCTTACATATATATATATATATATAGTACACACATACATACACGTGTATATATATATATTTAATATGTGTATATATATAATGTAACAATTGTATATATATATAGTTATATATAATTATATATATATATGTATATGTATATAGTTATATATATGTATATGTATATATATATATCAATGTAGCTCTTCCCCAGTGGTGGCCACCACCAAGTAGTTGCCCGAGGCTCGAGCCTCCAAATCAGCTGCCGCCTTTTAAACAGCGGTGGCTTTCTCCAGTGATTCAGTCGTTGACATCAAAGGACATGACTTTAATAAACCATGGGCACAAGCTGCATATTTCAATCGTTGAGAATCAAAGCGGAACTTGCCGACACAACCCGGTATTTAACAATTATTTATGACATTCAGAATGGCTATATTTATCGATTAATCAGTAGGTAGACAAGTTGATTTTCCATGTGTAAAAAAAATCACCAGCTACTTCTCAGATACCCTCCAGTAAACTAACGTAACTATGGAAAATCACCATGTTCAATGGGTAAATCCACTATTTCTATGGTCATTTTCAATAGCTATGTTAAATTACCGGAGGGTAGGTCACCAAAGCAAAAAAGAATCGTCGAATCGCCTCCCAACTGCGAGAGTAGTAGGTGGCAGTGACTCTGAACCTGGAGCAGAAATCAACGGGAGAGTCAACCACAACAAGGGGAAACCGTGGGGAAACCATGGGGAAACCATGGGGAAACCATGGGGAAACCATGGGAAAGATCATGGAAGATGATTTGGAAGATGTCAAAAAAAAAATCATCCCATTTGCCGGATGTGATTCCGGTGGCACAAGAGTTGGGGACCAAGAAAAATCTCATGACTTCCGGGAAAGAGACTTTCACCCATATACCCATGCCACAAGGGCGATAACAAAGAAGTTAAAGCAGTCGACAAATAACAGTTCATAGAGAACTTACTTCTTACCTCCGCAAAAAAAAATACTTAAGTTTGGAACAGTTCAGGTGCAACGCTTAAGATGTTTCTGCAGGACTTGAAGTCCACAAAGGCCAGTGTTTTAGTGGAAAATTGGGCACCCAAAGATTTGGAGAGTTGGCAACAGCCCTTTTTTTATGTCCCAAAGTTCATCTCACGAAATCACCTTGAAATCCGTAACATGTCCAAAATTCATCAAAATTCGACATGAAATTACGGTGGGTGGTTGCGAAATCCGATAAACCACCAAAAGGATGGTTGAAACCCCAACAAAATCATGATAAATCATGATAAATCATGATAAATCATGATAAATCATGATAAATCATGGGATGTTTACCACCATTTACCACCATTTTCAACTGGTGCTAACCGGATTTCGCTGGCCCATCAAATCCCATGGACTCTGGTCTGGGCCCCCACAAGACGCTCGGAGGAGGTAGATCCCTTTGCCTTGAAATCGCACCATGTTTTTTTTCGGAACGAATTTCTTCGGTTGAATGGGATTTGCAAATTGAGGATGAGTGTTGTTTTTATTCGACCTTTTTTTACATTCATTAATTTGGTTTTAAGTGTTGTTCGGTGGAAACCACCGTGTTTCATGGCAACAAAAAACTGTGTTCAGAATCTTTCAGCTCTCGATTTTCCCTTGAACTACTCCAGTGAATATTCCAATCAAATAGTAAAGCAAACAACCGATGGATTATACACTTATAATTTATATCATACTCAACAAAAAACAGTTCAAACAACGTTTGGTTCGATAATCAACTTGATTTTCCCGCCAATTGGTTGGTTCAAGGACAATTTGGCAGTTGAAACCAATTTGATGGCTAAAAAATATGGGGTTCTGGTGATGATTTTCCCTATAAGAACCCATCCATTAAAAAATGAAATCACATGCTGGATAATAAATAATCATAATCTAAATTATGGATCCTTACCAGTACCTTAATTCCGAACTGCGTGCATCACTGCAACATAAGTAGACATCTGCATCATCCGGTGGCCAGCCATCCTTCATTGGAATCCTAAACGGTGCGATTGTCGTGCCGTTGATCATCGTTGATCTGGTGAATCGGTTGAAGGTAGACCGGTCATCAAAGGTGGCAACTGAACATCTACCCTCTGGTAAACTAACATAACTATGGAAAGATCCACCATTTTTAATGGGAAAACTCACTATTTCAACTGGGCCATGTTCAATAGCTATTTTGACATAACCAGAGGGTACCAGATTTTAGGATGACTTTCCCCATTCAACTCCTCCATTTTTTGGGGCCCAGGTCCCAGCCATGTTTGACACCGCTTTCCGTGCCGCCCTTGGCTGAGCTCGGCATCCGCACAGAGGCTGGGCCACCTATCACCGAAGATGATCCGGAGGGAACCACCATACTCGGTCACCAAAGAGACCATGATGGGGGATGTCTCATTATACAAAATGATGATATATAGAAATATATAGAAATATATAGAATAATCATCAGCATCATCATCATCATCATATATCAAATTCTGCGAGGCCCTGTATACTTAGAACAGGATCTACACTGAGGACATCAGCCATCCCGCCACCCGTTGGACTTCAGCATTGGACCTACCGCAGAGTGGGGTCCAACTTCTGGCTATTCTTCGAAGTTCAAGGCCCTTGGCCATTTTTTTGGGGTATCATCCACTATTCAAAAGTGTAAAAAAAAAAGCAGGTTCCACAATGTGTTATAGCTATAGTTTTGTCAGTAGCAAACTAGGTCTATCATATTCTACGTATTCAATGTTTAAGGATTACAACCTATAATTAGAACCCAAGTATTCAAGTATGCCCTAATATTTTGTTTAATCCAGAACTAGTCTGGTTGGTGGTTTTAACCATCTTGAAAAATATGAAAGTCAATGGGAAGGATTATCCCGTATATTATGGAAAATAAAAGGAAAATAAAAGCAATGTTTGAAACCACCAACCAGTTATAGTATATTATCAGTAACATTGAGTAACTATCATCAGTAACTATCAGTAACAATAAGCAACTATCAGCAACATGGTTTAACTATCTGTAACTATCATGTGATAACTCTTTGAAACCACCAACCAGTAGTTAAAATATCATCTCGGGGCTACGCGGCCACCCCCGGCCTCATTGCGCCCTGGCTGGTACCAGGCATCGTGCAAAGCCATCGCCAAGGGGCGCTGGCGCAACGGTTGCGAACGCTTCCCACATGGATCTGGGCTCAACATCCCAAAATTAGCCATGTGATGTCGTTGTTGGCAACAAAAAAGCCAAAAACAGGGGAAAATCATCGAATCAAATGGGCGTTTCTGCCCCTAATCCCTGAAATGCAAATATGAAGTTTCTGGCTGAATCATCCATTCCCCCTATATAATGTTAAACACTCCCACAAGAAGGGTTTTTTTCAGGATCTACACATATTTGGGACCACACAACTGGGGTGTTCAATATGAATGGGGGATGGGAGAAACAAATGCATTCAACCCCATTCTATTCCCATGATAATCCCATAATTTATATGAGTTTTTAGTAACGCAGGATGGGCGGCTTGAACCTTGGCCAGAGATGTGGCGATGGCGAAGGCTGGTAGGAACACCAACCTGGCAGTCGGTCGAGATCCATCGGGAATGAACATCAGCCAGAAAGCACCAGCCACAATTTTTTTTGATCAGTGATGATCTTGAGGATAATGATCAGAACTTCAGTTTCTTGCTTTCTTACCCTCCAGTAAATTCACACAGACCCTGGCAGTCATCGGTGTTGGAAGATTAGTTTCCACTAAGAATCGCTTATTTTCAGTCAAACTGTTAATTTACCAGAGGATATATTCCATAAACCATCCCATTTTCCGAGACGGTCTCCCCATGTTTTTCCTGGGTCTCCAGACGGTCTCCCCAGAGGGTATATCCCAGAGGATAACCATTTTTCTGTGGGAAATAACGCAACGAAATGATCGAACGTCCCATCTCAAGGCAGGGGCACCAGGGCCAAATCGACAGCTGGAGCTTTTGCAAGCACCTGGAGCGTTTGAAAAAAAACACCCAACGGACAAGGTGTCAAATACTGAGGATCTTGTGGTATTCAGACCTGAATCAAGCCTCAGATTTTTGGTGAGTTAGGAAAATCTCTGGGAAATATCCGTGCAATCCGTTCCTATCCGTTCAACTGGCATTACTTTTCAGCCCATAAAACTGGGATTACGAATCGGTATCCATCACAAATAACAGGCAAACCTATCAGATAGGTAACTCCAAGTTATCATGAGGTAAATCATCACCTGCAAGTTGCCTATCGTGCCTATCGAGTCTGGAAGCTTAGGGATTCATAGGAATGACTACAAGAATTAACATCAATGACTAGTCATATGGCCATGGATGCCATGGATCAATACCAAAAAAACCACCAGATCTTTTTCGGCAAATGATCCATTAATCCCAGCTATAACTTGGTTTTTTACGCTGATGCTACAAGGATCTACTTAAGGTTGACCCTAAACCCCATATGGGTATGGGTCAATACCTATAGATACCATTTTTTAGTGGGATGAACATCCATTTACCAGCTATGACTTGGGGTTCACTAGGTACCAGGGTTTTGACCCATCCCCATATTTTCTTGGCACCTCGCAGACCCCGAGCTCGGTGTGTATGGGGGATTCGAACCTCCGTGGCTGAGTTGAGCCATGGATTTCCACGCCGGTTTAAGCACAAAGACTGGGGATTTCACCAAGAACAACTTGGGATTTACCCTCTGGTAATTTGTTACATAGCTATTGAAAATGGTCATTTATAGTGAGTTTTCTCATTAAAAATGGTGATTTTCCATAGTTACGTTAGTTTACCCTCTATTAGTTTACCAGAGGGTAGACTTGAAGAATGTGGATTTAACATGATTTAACCATATTTAACCGTGGGGATGATTTACTCATGTGAAATTGATGAAGAAACATGACATGACACTTCGGTGTCATCGAATATCGCTTGCTGAAAATTTTCCCCTTTCATTTCGACAACTTTCTGAGCCAGCCATGTTTGATTAGCGGAGGGAACTCCCCATGTTTAACTTCAGGTTTGGAGGGGGTCCCTGCAATACGTTCCAGCATGCTTAATATATGTTCTTCTGAAAGTTGCTGTTTGGGATTTCCTGAAAGTTGCATAAAGTCTTGTTTCGCTCTTTCCACAAGATTGAAGCCATCTCATCACTGTGGATTTGAATAGAAATAGATAATATTAGTTTCAACAGTATCATCACTAACGTGTCTATAAGTACTTTCAAAAGCCATGTTTTTGCCAACGGACTCGTTACCGTCACACAAATCCACATCCGGTAGCCTGGGGTGGGGTGAGGTAGGGTGGGGTGGGATAATAACGCCATTGGCATTTCCACATGAACCTGATGCTACGCTCTATGACCTTCAATTGCAATTCCACATGAACTTGGTGCTACGCTCTATGATCTTCAATTGCAATTCCACACATCCGCATCCGATAGTCTGGGGTGGGGTGGGGTGGGGTGGGATAATAACGTCAATGGCATTTCCACATGAACTTGATGCTACGCTCTATGATCTTCATTGGCATTTCCACATGAACCTGATACTACGCTCTATGACCTTCAATTGCAATTCCACATGAACTTGGTGCTACGCTCTATGATCTTCAATTGCAATTCCACATGATCTTGATGCTACGCTCTATGATCTTCATTGGCATTTCCACATGAACCTGATGTTACGTTCTATGACCTTCAATTGCAATTCCACATGATCTTGATGCTACGCTCTATGATCTTCATTGGCATTTCCACATGAACTTGATGCTACTCTCTATGATCTTCATTGGCATTTCCACATGAACTTGATGCTACGCTCTATGATCTTCATTGGCGTTTCCACATGAACCTGATGCTACGCTCTATGATCTTCAATGTGAGAAAAAGTTGCGGTTGCCCTTTTTGAGGCTGAAGTGATGGAAGGGTTGTCATTCCCAAAGTAGACGGACCTTTTTTTTTGATAGGTTTTGAATGCAAAAACTGGCTCCTCGCTGTGAGGACGTAGTAATTTTGATCATTTTCGCACGCCGGTAACGCTTCCGCCGGGATGTTTTTGTTGAAGTGAACATACCCTCAGGTGGTCAAACATGGCTTGGAAAAATACCACATTGATAGATGATTTTCCAGCTTGTCATGGAGCTGATCACACCGTTGCGGGCGATCAAAATGTCTGGTTTCCAGGTCTTTAAACTTTGGCCCGAAGACCGCCGCTGAGTATCATATACTTATTAAAATTGTAACTTTGTATGATGCTATAGTATATTATAACATATGCAGTATACAATACAGTATAATTGTAACACATTGTAAACAGTCATGTTGGGATTCCTATCAAAACATAAGCACAAATAGGCATACGGCAGGGGCTGGTATACCCCCACAGAATGTGGAAATTTGGGGAACATTCGAAGCGACTTCGTGAGAATATCAAGCATGAACAGAAAATACCACAGAGATAAACATCATGAGAATGGATATAATCTCAGATATAATTACCATCAACAAAATTCAGCCCCAACACTGGATAAGAATGCACTGTATTAAAAGAAGAAGAAAAAACGTGAGGTGCTTATTGTGGGACGGCTCGTATTCCCATCGCAGTGTTTACTGAGCAGCTGACAAACTTTATTGTCCAAAGCATAGGCGATATTGTACCTGTCAATGCATTGGAACAACAAGAAGGAACCACGGTCTTCGGTGATCATCTCCACCTCATGGATTGATTTTCGAGGGAAAATCTCCGCCGGAAGTTCCGTGGTTTTTAACCCAAATGGCTGAGGTTTCTTGCAGATGTTCCCTTCAAACAATTCCAGTAAGCTGCATTCTCACCAAGAACACAGAGATATGTGGAATACGGGGATGAGTCAAAATTCCTTCAAAATGTTGCCACAAATGGAAGCATCAAATTGGGTCATGTCATTCTTGAGCAATGGTATCTGGGGTATGGTCACCCATCCCGTGATCGGAATCCTTATTTGTATATATATATATATTATATCGATATATTTATACATATATACATATAACATCATATAACTCTATACATATATAACTCTCTCTCTCTCTGTATATATGTATATATATACCACTACTAATGGATTGATGACATTCCCCCCAAATGAAAAACAACAGCCCATGCTTTGACCAAGGCACATATATCCAGGTCTATGCCGCAAGTTCTGCAGAGCTCTAGATATCGGTTGACGATTGCCGAAAATAAATGTGAATATCCCACTGAAAAAAGTCGGCACCCACGGACGGAATATAATATCTCATTGTATTATATGATGTTATATATATATATATAATTACTATATACCGATATCATATATGATACGTTGCAACTGCTACATAATATCATATAGATGATACTATATATGATATTATATCTATATACACATGATGTATACAGAATATTATATATGATATTATATACATGATTGTAGTCGTTGATCAATATTAAACCAAAATTACCACCAGGTAACAGTCCTCAGGGGTCCTTTCCAAAACCCTCACCATGTCACCACTTCAGGACCGAAAATCAGCTGCCCAGGGGACATGGAAATGAAACTGGTGCTGCCCAGCGCCAGCCCGGACAGCAACACCCAGGAGAGCATCAACAACCTGGGTGAAAAATCGATCGAAAAAGAAAAAGGACTGGGCTTGAAAAAGGGTTGTATAACTGGTATAACTGAAATGTATATGTATATTAATATATATATAACTATATATAGTAACATGATGTACTATGTGCCATACTTGATACTTAAGTATGGTGTAACTCTATGAAATGTTCCCATGATCATCCCGGGACCGGAAGTTGTGATCATCATGATATTTCAAGAGATTTTTTCACATCGGGAGGTTTCCTAAGTCATGGGGGTACCCAAAAATAATCATCCAAGTCATGAAAAATCTGCATTTTTGAGTTTTGAAAATTTTGAAACCATCTGAAACCCAGACGACTGAGGATCCCCCATGACTTATGAACCCCCCAGATTTGTTTCCCATTGGAACTTGGGCGATCGTCCCCTTCAGCGTTTCGACAGCTAAGCCACTTCCTCGGGTCAGTGACGCTGGACAAGAGGCCTCGAAGCAGCTAGGGATGATCGAACGGATGAAATCTGTCGATATCAGGAATGATGATTGGGGCTTATTAACAACTTATTGTCTTATCAAGGGTTTATCAAGGGCTTATTGAAGGCTTATTAAAGGCATTTGAAGGCAAGTTAACCACCAACATCAACTAATAAGGGCGTGATAACCATTTATTATTTGGGACCGTCACCGTTTTTGGAGGTTGTTGAATGAATCCTCATGAAATGAATCCACGTGTGAACTGTGTAAAATATGGAAGTGTATATTTGCATGCACCTGAACTTCTCATGGACCATGGCTATATGGGGTGTTCCATAAATGGGGGTCCCCCCAAAATGGAGGTTGTTTTTTTGGAAAATCCATCTATAAATGGATGAGAACTAGGGGTACCCCCATGACTTAGGAAACCTCCATATATGCAAGCTAAAACTTCAGGTATTCCATGGGGCTGATGCGAAAAAAGGATGATCATCATCCCGGGTAGATGCATCCCACGTAGAGAATTTTACCATATTTTACCATAGCATGGTTGAAAGATGTTGGAACCACAGCCGTCTCATGTATTGAAATGGAGTACTACTTCAAAGTTCTGAATCGGATTGCAGAATATGCAGCACTTAAATTTGCCAAATGTAAGGTCACATGCCACATCTGAACTCTACAATTCTCAATTCTAACTTTCAAGAGTCAGTATTTCAATATGTTCATATATACTGTGTGTATATATATATACATTACATATGTATAGATCACATAATTGGGTAGCCCAATAATTATATATGTGGTTATATAAGACACTGTATATACCCTCTGTTAAATTAACATAGACCCTGGCAATTTTCGGGGTTGGAAGATTAGTTTCAACATGTTTCAACTAACAAATGGTGATGTTCAGGGTCAAACTGTTAATTTACCAAGAGGGTATATACTAAAATCAATCTGGGTAAATTAAAATATTTCACTAACCTGAATTAAGGCCATTTGGGGATGCTTCCCCTTATTAACCATGATTCCAGTGAGGTCGCAGTGAGGTCGTTATAATTTACCCAGATCAATCTCTGGTCCTTCCCTGAGTGCCAGGGCAGGCGGGCAAAACCAGCAGCACCACCAAGGCGATGACGCCCTGAACTCGCCGTTCCGAACCGATGAGAGTCATTCCGTCGTTTTTGGTTCGATGGGTTTAATAGGAAAACCATAGGAAAACCATAGGAAAACCATAGGAAAACCATAGGAAAACCATAGGAAAATGGTGGTTTAATGGGATTTAATGGGATTTAATGGGATTTAATGGGATTTAATGGCAAATACCCTCCAGTAAACTAACATAACTATGGAATATGGACCATTTGTAGATGATTTACCATGATTTACCTACTAGAATGGTGATTTTCCAGTTCGCTATGTAACAAATTACCAGAGGGCAATATCGAGCTAGTTCTATAAAGTTTATCGATATTCAATTTTGCTTCATAACTATGACATCTTCAACATATATCTTTGTTGCACCAAAAAAAACATGGGATGATGACTGGGGGTACGCGCATTTTAGGAAACCTTCATATACATCGAGCTATCGATCGTTTACCATCAAACATCACATGCGGGTCACCACCTTGATCCACCCGAGAGACCCCATTTTTTCGCGCCAGGCGAATTCTGCGACAAATCACTGGTTGGTGGTTTCACCATCTTGAAAAATATGAGTCAATGGAAAGGGTTATCCCATATATTATATATGGAAAATAAACAATGTTTGAAACCACCAACCAGATCACATCTCTGTCAATTTGATGTAGCTTTAAGATGTAGTTGTGATTTGGTTTGGTTTGAGTGTGATGT